TGCGAAGTTTCGCGACTGTACTGTTGGAGGAGGAGGAGGAGGAGGAGGAGAGAGTGGAGGTGAGTTGTGGAGGTGGATTCTGTCTGGGTGAAGCAGGGACAATGCGCGCGCGGAGATGGAGGAGAGGAAGGTGGATCTCGAGGAGAGATGATGGAGAAGAGAGCAGAGTCGGGAAGAGTGAGTGAGTGAGTGAGTAGGAAGAAGAAAAGAAGAGGACAAGACAAGACAAGACAAGACAAGACGAGATACAAGGCAGAAGACGGGCGCACGGGGAGTTGTAGTCTTCTGGGTTAGGATAGGATGTAGGATGTTGAGGTGCAGCAATGGATCAATGGTTGAAGGTCAATATGGGCAAATAATGGGCATAGAATGTCAGTCTTGGGGTAGTAACTACTGTGTAGGTGGTGTTGGAAATGAATTGTAAACGTAACATGTGAAGGAAATAGTCAGAGAGTACGGAGTAGTAGAGAGTAGTAGAGACTGTGAATAGTGGTGGACAAATGGGACGGCGGAGGAGATGGGAACTAGCGGGCAGGCTAACCTATGGAATAGACTACTCTCGTAACGTAACTGAACTGTCGGAACAATAATAGGTCACTACTAAGGCATGTACTCGGTAGGATAGACAACGACTGAGACGACGACGATGATGATGATAATCTACTCGTAAATGCAAATAATCAGGTAGATGTTACGGAATAAGCGACGGGGGCTAGGGTGAATGATTGGATTCGGAAGGGAATTGAGTGGATTCGGTTGGCAGAGACTCGAGAGAATCGTAGACATTGATAGAGACTAGAGTAGAGACGAGGACAAGAGGCTGGAAAGGGTGGAGACAGACGTTGGAAACCCTTACGTGATGAATTACCCAAACAAGTTTAGCCTCAGATTGGAGAGAATCTCCCGGTTTGTCGGTCCCTGGGCCCTGCAAGATAAGAGATTCCCACTCATCCACTCTCCCTGCCCATCGTCCAATCACGTCCTCCCCTTGTCTATGTCCCTTATCGTCCAATCATATCTCGACAATGTTCCCCCACCAGAGTTGATCTTGTGTAAAAGTATTTGCCCACGTTTTCTGCTCTTCAGAGATTCAACCATACAAAGCCACTCCGCACACGATAACGGAGATCTACACCAGTAATTACATACATACTCCGTACATACTACTCCGTACATAGGTACACTACACACTACGTACACTCTCCCCAGTAGTTACAAGTACCGGGACTATTCATACTCGCACTAGTTACTGTACATACTGTGTACTGTGTAACCAACTACGAGTCACTAATCGACAATCCACTCTCTTCAATCACCACATGTATGCCAATCCATCATTCAACCCTTCCCATTACCGTATTAGCCAACACCCATCAACTCTACTTCTAACTACACTTCCCTTTAACCTCAACCCTCCCCTTCCCTCTCCCTTCCGCATCCAACCAAGCGACCGAATTACTCTTATGTACTCGGTATTGGCACTGCGCGTCATATCCCTTCCAACCCTCTTCACCTTCAACCGCCGTTCTAACCTTCTCCTGGCTCATCATCATCCGTTCTTCTCCATTCGTCTTCCATAACATAATGAAAATTCATTTCCCTCATAACCACACCACACCACCTCCGTAGCTGCGCCCCTCTGCCTAGGAAGCCATCTTCCGTCTTCTACCGTCTCATCCATGGATTTTTTTAATTTTCTCTAGGTCTCTTCGCGTTCGTAATGATTTAATTATTCTTACGTCGACAACTGCTGCGTGCGTATCCAGATGCTACCGAGAATACTCACCGCCTAGGCAGGGCACGGCACGTGTCCGGGCCACTGCCGATCCTGCCCTGCGAATTTCAGGGTCCGGGTCAAATAATCTCCATAATATGTATCCATCATCTCGTCTGTCGTCTCGTGTCTCGTCTCTCGTCTCTCGAGGTCGCACGCATACGAGATTTGTACGACTCCACTCCACTCCGCTCCACTCCACCTTGCCTTACAAGCTACTCTCCACTCTGCAATCGTTACCTAACCGACCGAACTTTTACCATATCCGGTCCGGAGTTAGGTATCGCCGTCGTTGATTATCGTGCCTTGCTCCACAGCCAAGACAATCGTCGATATCTCCCGTTTTCGAGTGATGTTCATCGTGTCTATCATTATGTCTATCATCATCATCATTACTCCGTAGAATCCATATCATTCCAGGGTCCGAATGCCCTTTTCCATCAATCGCCACATCTTCGAGAAGAGTCATCTTCTCTATCCTCCAGCAAATGTACCGCTACATCTCCACGCCTACCTCTTCAGCTCCTGCTTCTATTCTTATATGTAGATACGAGCGTCGCTCTCCACCCACCCTACCCATGCCATGCCTCACCCACCCTGCATGTCCAAGTCCTCTGCATACGTAGATACGACCCTGCCACATCTCCTCATCCAGCAGGTCTCTATAGTTAATCCTCCCGGATCCAACTCTACGCCTGTCTCCGGCAGCAAACGTGATAATAAGCCCACTCGTACATACATACAAACAACTACACCATTATCGATATCGTCTGAACAAGAAAACCAGATTTGTTCGCACACCAAGCTGTGCTGTATGTACAAGTACCTAGTAGGTAAGTAGGTAGGTGTAAGTACGCACGTAAGTGACCCCCGTTCCACCAATCCCGTCCCCGCTGATTGCACTTATCAAACCACAAACCACCACCACCACCACCACCACCACCACCACCGACAACCGGCGAATACGCTTCCAGCCCAGCAGCCGAGGTACCGGTACATCGTCTTCCCTGCCCATCCTCACACAAATACCCGTACCGTGTACATTGCTTCAGTTTCGTCCAGATACGGCATCTTACCCACCCACTTACACCTCCCCCAAATCCAATTGTTCGCTGGTACCTGCCTACTCTGAGTCTCGAAGCCAAGACCAACTAACTAACTTAACTCACACACTTTCCCCGAGTAACGTCAAGTAACGTCAAGTTCAACGCGACCAGTGCAGTCACCTAGCCTCGTCTACACTTCCCGTTCGAGCACTCCACCCTCCCCCTTAGACACTTTAGGCACCGCGATAAGCATAGTGGCGAGCGAGCGAGCGAATGCCCATTAGGTACGACGTACGTAACTGGCACGCCGCACACATGGAATTGAGCCATTAGTCTTAGACGGGAGAGAGGTAGGTACGGTACGGTACGAGTATGGTAAGGTGAGGTAAGTTAGGGCTGGGGTGTGTGTGTGTGTGAGTGGTCTGTTTGTCAGGCAGGACTGTATTAGATGTCGGGTCGGCTTTATGGATAGGCTACTCATTTTCCCACCAAATCCCCCATCCTCAAAGTAAGCCTCACGCTGGGGTGGATCGTGGTGAGTAAATGGATGGACGACGAGCGCCAGCCAGTAGTGAAATACTACCAATTGTCACAGTCGGTCATCTGGTGGGGCGGGCTGGTGGAAGAAGACAGATACGAGCGATGTTATGTTCGTCTGGGACGGAGTTGATACTGCGCCTTGTGAGGGACTGATTGAGCACTTTGATATGTAGCGTTCTTTTCGCAGTGACCGATCGACACTATCACACATAACTAACCGTACGCGTGAACTCACGATATCTCACTCTCTCTCTATGTCTGCGTACGGAAGAAAACATACGCATCAACCTGAAAATTGAAATTGGAAGCAGACGAAGGAGGAGAAAGGCATAGCGCTACCTGTCAAGTTTCTTTAGATATACCTAGCAGACGCCGACACCTCTCCACCGTAAATGACACATCTAAGAGGAAGGAAAAGAGCAAATGTGTGAAAAGGCTTTATGAAGTAGATTAGGTACACAAGACGAAACATCCAAAACTGGATGGATGAAAAGGAGACATGGATACGCACGTGTACATCTATCGTTGGTGTTCTAGTAGTGAAAGCAAATCGGGTTGAGAAGAATATTGATGGATCATATCGATATTGCATAGTATCAAAAGAACAAATACAATCACGCGTCATCTATACCTCACAACCCCCCTCACAGTAGAACCAAGAAAATCTCAAACAACTCCACGACACAATAAAAATCAATGCAGACAATACACATCCACGCTATTCGTCATCCGCGCAACACTCGCCCCGACCATCGAACTATGCAGCACAAGCCCCCCAAACGCCCCCTTCTCCACCCTCCTGAACAGCCTCTGTGAGTTCTTCGACAACGGCCCATCGACCGCCTCGTCCCTGACGTATATCCTGTTCCGCGTCGATGCGTCGAGCCGCCGGCGGTAGAAGACTGGGCGGAAGGTCACGGCGTCGATGGGGAGGGAGTGCAGGGGGAAGCCTGGTCTGTGGTGAGTGTGCTGGGAGGAGGTTCCGGGGGATGGGTTGGTGGTATGGGAGGGGGAGGAGGAGGCGTTGGTGCCGTATGCGAGGTCGATTGTCGCGGCGCGGGTGAAGAAGTGTTTTGAAGAGCGGATCTCGCGAGCGCCGGAGGAGGGAGCAGGGAGGGATTGGTTCGAGGCTTTGCGGCGGAGTCTCTTGCGGGGCGCGGTGGGTCGGAGGGGCGTTTCGGAGAGGTCCATGAAGTTGAGTTTGGGCATCTCTGGTGGGAGGTCGGTTGAGATTTTGGGGTTGCGGTTGCTGGCCTTGATGGATACGGAGGTTGGGTCGGTATAGGCGCGTCGGAGGGCCATGGTCGCGGGGTCGACGGGCTCGAAGATGGAGGGTTTTTCTTTCTTGCTGGATTTCAAGAGGAGGGGCCATCCGGCGAAGAGAGTCCCGTCATAGCTTGACTTGTGGTTGTCTTGGAGGTGCTGTCGGAATCGCTGGCCTGAGAAGTACAGTCGTTGATTGCAGTTGCGGAAGTTGTGCTGGTTGATGTGGTCGCGGAGTACTGAGCCTTTGACTCTGCCTGATCCGCGAACGAGCGTGTCGTTGCAGTAGCAACACACCGCTTCCAATTCTTCCTTCGAACCGGCGGGATAGATGGTGTACTGCATGCCAGGCAGAAAGCTGCAGGACCACATCGAGCAGACCGGGTGGAGCTTCTGCGCCGTTGCAAGGTCTGCGTAGGTTCGTTCGCAATAGCTACAGCTGTAAGGTACATTGCTATATTAACAGTTAGTCCAACGCTTCTGTCCTATCGATCTGTATACTCACGGATTTCGATGCATTGATTCACTAGGTTTCGGATGCGGGACATCATGATTGACACGAGCACTCCACCAAGACATCATGTCCTGGCCCTCGAGAAAGTGCTGAGCCACATGTTCTCTCCGCCCCTTGTAGCTGGGAAATGTCTTCCCGCAGAATCCACAGTGTAAGGCCTGATGCCCCTCCCTCAGAGACAACGGATGCTTCCATGCCTCCAGCAATTCGGTCAGCCGGAGCGGCTTTTGTCCAGGACTGACCTTGTGCTCTTGAGCAATGTGTTGCAGAAAATGGTCTTTCCGGTCAAATGTACGTTCCGAAAGTGGCTTATTCTGGCAGGTCAGATAGTTGTGGTCTGCGAGATGCGCTGGACTTGGGTTGGTCTTCGCACAAAACGGACATCTGTCTGGAAATTGTCCTGTACGGGGGCAGCAAACCCAGAGCTCCTCGGGCATGTGGATAGTCTCCTCGTGCCTCATCCATTCCAATCGACTGTGAAACCTTTTCTGGCAGAACGTACAAAAGAACTTCGGACGTTTACTGGGTTTGCGCTCGAAGAAGCCAGCCGCTCTTTTGTTGACTGCAGCCTGTCGTGCCTTTTCGTCCAAAGCTCCACTGGACCGAGATCGCCTCAACTCTTTCTGTGGTGCCTCTTCTTTCAAAAGACCGCCAAAGTCTGGCCGCTCAGCAGCATCGGTAGTGCTTGTCAACGCACTCCCACTAGACTTTGGTCGCTCAATGCTCTTAGCATCTGCTATATCACCGCCCAAGATCCAAGCCAGCTTTGGACGAGCGGCCATTTGCGCGTAGGCCATTTCGTCAGTGACTCTAGGAACGAGCAACTCTGGCGATGCTTCCCTTTCCTGTTTGAACTTTCGCATCTCTTCTTCTAGCTCTCTAGCTTTGTCCTGTATGCGAGCGATTTCCACTTCTGCCCTTGCGCGATAGTCGATCTGTGTGTCACGTTGGTAGCCTGGCATCAACTTCTCCATCTGTTCGGCCCAGGTTTTCTCCATGTCGACTGTACCGGATGTTGTTGGGCGCTCGGGAGAACTGACTTTAGCGGCTTCGAACTCCAATTGCTCTGCTTTGGGTACCTCGGGAACGTCCGGTAAGGAAATGTTACGCTGGTGGGCACCTGCGCGGTTGGTTTTGGATGCGAAACTGTACGACGTACCGGTCGAAGTTGGGGCGCTCCCGGATGTGTAGAAGGTGCGCCGTCCATCCGAAGCCGCGTCGTATGAGCTTTCTCTAGAGTGCGTTGTGTGATGTAACACTGGAGCAGTCTGAGACTTTTGGGAATTCTGTCTTTTCAAGGCTGCTGTGATTGCAGGTACTGATGCAGGCTCATCTTCCAGTGGGGCTTGGAGGTAGCGCTCTATCGACATCCTGCTTGATGTACTTGATACAGCAAGCTTGGCAGCATCATCCAGTCGAAGGGGTGGTGGCCTTTTGGGCGTGGTCTTCATGACCTCGAATGGCTCATCCTGCTTGATTGGTAGCAGGTGTGACTCTGTCCGTGTCAATATATGATTCACGTTATGTGAAGTGTTACCATACCTGAACGTTGTTTGCGAAGACGATGATTATGGAGCCAGCTCTTCATGGTTGCAGTCATAGAGTGAATCCAAATTGAACAAATAATGCAGTCTCTGGACAGTTGAACTTTTCCATTCTTTCCTTCCAACATCAATGGACATGGACCTGTATATACACGCCGATCTCTTCTTTCGCTCGGTCCATATCCGGCCACCACGGTTGAGACGGATTTAGCCTACTACGGGACGGTATCAAGACTGGTACCGAGAGTGCCCATCTGTGCTTCGGAAAGACGTTCACTATCCAACCAGCAAAAGAGGAAGTTGGACTATCGGGCATATTGCAGCGCACGGATCAAGCGATGGCTGAAACTACTTATGCCTGGCTTTTGGTCGGTCTGGGGTAACCAAACGCGAGATGCTGTTGCGAGGTCGAAGGACGAACCGGAGGAAACAGCCGAAAAGCGATGAGGGTCAAGGGGTCTGCAGGGGCCGTCGATAGCATCTCAAATATACGGAAAATGATGCCATTGTCTCCGGACAAAACCCAGTGTTGTCGGATTTGGCGAGGTGCATCGTGGCGGTAGAACAGGAACGTAGCGACCGCTTTTCTCGAAGATCTGTTGTTTTGAGTAACAGTAAGCACAAAGTTTGTAGCTCGGTTAGGTCCTGGTGTGTTACGCCTTCATAGCTAAAGGTCTAATGATCAAATTCTGGCCATGTTATCAAGATTACATTCAAAATTCATGAACACTACATATCCTCCATTACTGAAATCGCCCAAAGGCTGTTGCCTGTAGCCATAATCATCCCTCAGGCCATGCGACCATCAAGGGGATCTCGGATGCCTTTGAATATCAAGCCGTTGACAGACCGTTGACACAGTCAAGCGTTCGAGAGCTCAGAGCTGTCGAGTGCCGGTGTCAAGAGCGGGCTAGGACTGGGGCAGTAGATTGTATGGACAGTTGAAGACGTCCAAAGTCCGGTAGAGTTAATTTATCCAGATGCTGAATGTGAGTGTTGATGCGGTCGAGATGAAGGCCTCCTGCAGAACATCAACACTGCGGAGAGCGCTAATCCCAAACGGTCGTGTTGTGACTTCTCCGATTTCATGCATGCGTTCCTACCACCAATCGTCGCAAAGTAGGAGCAGGGAAGATGGCGGTGGGTGCGCATGAATGATATGCTTCTAGAAAGTCGCCTTTTCTGCTGAGTTAATCGTTCACACTTCGTACCTACGAGGTATGAGTCTCGCCCCTAGGGAAAGAATATTAGCTACTAGATACAACGATCAGAAGCCTTACTCCCAGGAGTCAGAATAATAGTAATAAAGTATAAAACTATGATTTTCTCAGCCTTAACTTTGAAAATTTACTTTTTAAAATAAAAAATTCATTATTCAAAGAATAATAACTTGTGTATCCTTTTAATTTTAGCTAGCCTCCTAATTAATCAAAGATTAGACAGCTACATTTTGAAGCAGAGAGCTGTCTTTATAGCAATTAATTCCTCTATCTAATCTTGACATCTATATTGTGCCTCAAGTAAGCTAGATGAGATTTCATCTCGTTATTCATCATTGACCAGGCTCTCAGCAGGAGCGGTAAGGATCGAATACTGTCCCCCTGCACCGGCCCAATTCACTCTGGCACTTCTCAGCGCAGTGTTATCAATCAGCGTCGCGACGCTGATATCTTCTGGATCGTCATCATTCCCTCCTTGTCCAAGCTGGAAGGTAGCGTTGAACCCCCATGAATATGCACGCCCGTCGTTCGTCACAGCAATTGTGTGGTCGCTTCCTGCTGCAACAGCTGCCGTCTGAATATCTAGAAACATGTTAGATGGCGAATATATACACAAATCAGTTGAAAAGGATAACTTACGAGGAACAACGGTGGGTATAGCGAGAATCCGAGGATTGCCCCGGACATCCTTAATCACCCTGTCTTCCGAAAGACTCTGCACGTCGATACCGCACTGCCCGCCATCCAGGCGCCCCCAAACCAAACACTCACTGCCTGTTGTTACGCCAACCGAATGGTGGGATCCGCCGTCCACGGCCGTCAATTTCTTGCCTTTCATGTTCTCCACCTTCTGCGGTAGAGTAACGAAATGGCTAATCGCCTCATCCTCCGCTATAGGGATGCCTGTCTCTCCGTAGCTGTTCAGACCCCAAGCCCACAGCCCACCATCTTTATCGATGGCAAAGGAATGATATGCGCCGCAGCCAACGGCCACGATCTTCTTTCTGGGTATTGATACCTGGCTGGCAACGAGAGTCTGGGTTGTTGTACGTTCGCTTATACGGCGACCGAGTTGTTTTTGCTGACCATTGCCCCAAGCATGCACTCGACCAGATTGATCTAAAGCAAGGACATGATCTGCGCCGCAGGCAATCTGGACGATTCCCTTGAGTGTGGGAAGCAGAATCGGCGTCGGTTGTTTTTCGATGACATTGCCCTGCTTGGAGATCGTGAAGCCAGCGGCTCCTTCATTGCTCTAAAATATGTCAGCTCTGTTAACGGTAAGGAGACTGGTAACATACTCTGAAGGAACCCCATCCATAAACACGCCCGTCGTCAGTAAGGGCAAAGCTTGAACTGTCACCCGCCGCAACTTGGGTGAATGTAGTGTTCGGGGGAAAGTGATCTTTGGAAATGGCTGTCGGTGTAGACTCCAGCGGATTCATCCCAGCGTCGCTATCACTATCGGCATCGTCGATATCAACGAGCTGGCCCTCCCACGTAGTGTCACGTCCAAGGGCACCATTGTCGTTCACACCCCATGACAGAATTCGATTGTCGTGCGTGAGAGCAAGAGCATGCATGCCTCCAGCAGCGACCTGGACAACCCCCACGGGATCGGGAAGGAGATTTGGGTTAAGTCGTGGTCGCTTCACCTTTTTGACTTGCGGGCCGAGGCCGAGCTCGCCTCCGCTGACTTCTCCACAGACGTAGACGTTGAGCTTCTGGGTGGGAACTTGGTTGATGATGCGGCCTTTGGCGATGATGCGGCCTTTGGCAAGCTTTGGTCGCTTCGGATGTTGTGGCTCCTCTGGTTCAGTCGCCTTGCGCTTCTGGCCCTTTGCGGTTTTGATCGCGGGTTTTGCCTTGCTCTTGCGTTCTTGTGTCTCTATACAAGCTGTTAGCCTTTCAAAGCCACGAAGTCAAAATGCGACGGAAAAGCAATGAGAAAAACATACCGCGTGTGGTTTTCTGATCCTTGTTTGTGTTCGTCTTCTTTCTCTGCGAACGCCTTGGCTTGTCCGTCTTTCCCTTGACGGAGTTGCTACTCGTCGGCGGGATCGCAGCTCCGCGACGTTTTCCTGGGCCTTTGATGACGGATTTTGCTATCTTATCAAGAGAATTGTGCTTTTCGGACAATTTCTCCTTTGCCATAGCCGCAGCAGCTCTGGTAGGTGCCATTGTAGATCGCTTTGTTCACTGAAGCGGCTTGTAGGGTGGTGTTGAAGAGCGTGTCTGAAGTTTTGATGCTACTTCGAATGAGTATTGCGGGAGAAAATTTGGATGAGGTAAAGGTGCTTAAGTGGCTCGTGGTGTAAAGGAGAGGCTGGTGATTGTCGCGCGTACTCTTTGTCAATAAACAATGCAATGCACGTGCTGGCTTTCTGCGCCTACGCACAATAACATGAAAGAAATGGGTCCTGGCTAGGCAACAATAGGCCATGGGAGTTGAAAGATGTAGGTAAGTTAAGTTTATTTGAACATCATTCACTACAATGCGTTCCTTCATCAGTGATTCTATGAACCTGGAAGCGGTCTTACGTAGAAACAAAAACACTGATCAAGGCCGAAGACTACTCATGAAGTGACTGGACACTTGCTGAAGGGCTTGCGCCCAACGATGTTGCGCTCTCATTGAATCCACGGCAACAATCACAAAAGGTATTCCGCACTCATAGTGAAGTTCCAAGCAATATAGGACTGAGGTAGAATCACCAAACCAATCCAGGAGCCAAAAGGAAGTAGGTCAGCAATAAAAGCACAAAGGCTGGTAGTCTTAGCATAGGAAATCTAAACAAACACTTATTTTTCTGACCCTATATGCTTAATCTATTTGTTTTTAAGGCATCTTATAAATACTAATGTTGTTTTACCAAGCAAGGTATAAGGATAAGTAAATCCTGTTTAGGCGTTAAAATTAATTACTTAAGAATCTTTAAACCCTAATTAAATTAATAAATATTCCTATTAACGTAGTTTATCTCTAGAACAATTGATTATTATTTTTTTAATTACAAGAGCAAGATCATTTGTTACAAGTATAAAAGGAAGATATTGAAGGTATGACTATGCTTCGGTTGCGGACATTCCTTCTTCTCCGATGAAATACTCCGAGACACACGCGATTGGTTGGAAAGAATCTTGATCAATTATCAAGACAGCTCGAACAGAGCCACATTTCAATCGCGTCGGCCTCTCTCGTCTCCAGTCGCACACATACACCCTACAGCCCGCCTCGCTGTCTCAAACTCGAAAACGGCTGCTCCCGCATGCTATAGTGGCTAGAATTAAGGGGAAAGACGACCCATGCATATCTCAACTGTCGATCCAATAGCTGGCCCGGATTCCCGGCCTATACGGTTGGGTCGTACAAAAGGATACCTAGACTGACCTAAACACTGTAGATACGCCCCAGATTAACAAGCAAGTCTGCAATCTGTACATAGTACAGTGGTACACTCTTTGTCGTCTCTAACTACCTAGCTAGAAGTGAATGTGCATGCATGCATGGCTGCACGCACTGACCATGAGACGTTCAACTCGTCACGGTGATTTCGTAGAGTTGCACGACAGGTGGTGTATGCATTGGCAATCTGGGTCTTGTATGGGAATTCTGAAGTTGCTGGGATGTTTTCTGGAGTGGATTCTCGATGAAGTCATCTGCGATATTCGTGCGATGATGATTGCGCGCCACGTTTGATATGTACAAGTATTGTCCTAGATTCTACCACAGGCTGCGTCTTGCTTCTGTCTTGGCGGCCAGGTCGCAGGGTTTGCATCCTATTGTTCAGTTTGCGTGTGACGTCGTCTGATCATTCGCGAAAGTCTTATCTTCTTAATGGGATCGGCCAGATGCAGGTAACTTCAAACTGGTTTTGTTAATACGGATTGGTAACGCATAGTCAGCAGCAAACATCAAGTGGTCTCCCGAGTCAATCTTCGACAAGCAGAGAGTGATTTCGAACCGTTTATTCATCCATTGATACCTGATAGCCCATGTGCTGCTTATATGTACAAAGGTGAGCATTCGTCATCAGCTCTAAGTATCGCTATTCGCACGATCGTAATATGGTGCAGTTGGATAGTGATTCGTCCCGCCATTATCATGCTGTCGTAAGATAGATCCGACCTAATTCGCCAAAAATAGACAAGGAAGCTGGGAGTTGGGGACGGGGCTCCATAGCGGGAGGTGACTCGGTGGCGCGACGACCGCTCGTGGGAGGTATACGTTGGGAAGGATGTCAAGAGAGAGGAGCTATGGCGGCTTGCCGGCCATATCAGTGCATCGGTGGTTGGTAGTTTATCGGGCGCCTGCGGTCGGTTAGATGGTTCCCTGAGTGGTGGAGGGACGAGGTTGCCTACTTGAAGAGAAGAATGTGCGGCTCTGGTTCATGCACCTCGTAATGTTCCCAACCCAGACTCTGTACTTGTTTAGTATCTCCCTTGCGTTGGTATGGTGGGTTTCCCTCATACCTGTGTGATTCCGAGTGCCCGCCATTCCTCTTCCCAAAGAAGTTTGAGCGTTCCTCTCGCACCGTCAAAGTACTCCTTCGGGATGGCCTTCAGCATTTGCTTGGGAAGCTGCACATGTCGGTACTCGTATTCGCTGTCGTTATAGCTAGTATTATCGTCAGCGCTCACTCATTATCGGGACCAGGAAAGAAGAGAAAAGTAAACAACGGACCGAGAAGAGTAGTGGATGGAATCGACGAACTCGTCCAGCTTCTCCTTCTCCATTTCGGACAATGGCCTCGGCTTCTTGTTCCGTCGCGTGAAATCTATGTCAAGACCAGCCATGGTAGCGGTAGGGAGGGGGTGTGGATAGGTCGTGGAAAGTCGTGGAGGATGCGAAAGCGGTTGTGAAGAGCTCGTGTGCTCCGTGCCGTGCAGTGGGGTTGAGGTTCGCGACGACCAACGTTGTTGTTTAGGTGGGGCGAGATCCCGGTAGGCGGTGGCAGTAGGCAGTGTTTATACCTTCGCGTGTGCTGGGCGTGATCTGAATGTAGGTAGGTAGGCAGGCAGGAAAGGAAGTGAAGAAGTGAAGAACAAAGTACAATGATAGTCAAACAGTCGGTCAGTGGATGAGTCGGTCAAGTGCCAATTCAGGTCAAGTTATGTTATTGATTCATTCGTCGTCCTCTTCTTGGTTGGTTGTTGATTCTTCGTCTTGTTTATCCCGCGCCCGTTCGCTGTTTTTCGCCTGCCATTGGTCTAGCCGTTGAACCTAACCCAACCCGGTCTGGTCACCATCAGTCACATCACACTTCACTTCCACGCTTCTTCACGTCACTTCACGTAACTTCACATCACTTGGAGCCTCTTCACTTCACCGCAGTAGTATTCTATTCCAATTTCAACCTATAATAACAACAATACAACTAGGTGTTGATATGATACTGATGTTCAACGGATCCACCTGCCAATGGTCCCTAGAGTGTTGTAGTCCACCAAGATGTACCACGCGTTCTACATCAACAACACTCAGGCCTGTTCCCGGTTTTCGATAGACATATACTGGACCCGAAGTGCATTAGGATGTGGTCTCATATTTTCCTCCAGAATCAAAAATAGATGTTGACTTGAAGCAAGAAAAAAGTCTGCCCATATGAATAATGATGATTTCGAATGACATGAACAAGCATGCGGTGAGCAAATACAGATCTCATTTCACACATTTGTGCAGGTCTCGCGGGCCAGACAAGACATATTTTGGAATTAACGCACGTTTGATGTTCGACCTGGGTACCGCGACCGGGAACAAGATGCATGATGCTGTGTATTTCCGATACTATTGATTATTTCGTGTATTTCGACAAGAATTTCTGAGACATGGGACACTATGCATGCGAGGCATCATAGTAATTGTGAATGTGCTTCTCAGGGCCCAGCCAGCAACCACATTTCGTGGAACAACCGAACTTTGGTTATAGAGATGACGAACAAGAAGGAAGGGCATGCTCGTCGGCCCGGTGGTGGAACGGCTGCGGACGTTTTCCATCGTTAGAATTGTTGAGCTCATCAAAGTGAATGGTCGAGAAGTTCGGAAAAGTCCTCATGCGACGTATGGACAGAGATTTTGAAGCTGTAATATCAGATGAGTCCCTGTAGAAGTTTTCCGAGCCGTTCGACGATCGAGGCAAGCTGCCGGCCATAAAGCCTTTGACAGGACGTCTTCACACCGCATAAAACCGCGTAGAATTTTTCGAGGGTTGTTCATACCACACACCACATGTAAGGTTTTCTATGTGGGTTTCGAAAGATTCTGACCAGCAGCCCATATGCGGACAACCCATTCGGGTTCTTGTTTGGTGGTTTTCGGAGGACGAAAATTCGAGATATGCCCTGATGGGAAAAGACAGTTCCTCCATGAAGAGAGTCTGGTGTGAATGCTGCCACGTGAAAGACGAGCCCGCTTCGTATATCGCGTCGTGGACACGCATTTCGAACAACATGCGACGCAACGTGGTCCACTTCAATTTTTTTCGACAGCTCTCGACGGCACCCATAGGCCACAATCGTAACTGTTTAGGATACACAAAAACTATAATCGTGGGCAGAAGTAAGGACACATGTCTTCGATCCAGAGTTTCATTTGGGATCCCGCCATTTGAAAGATAAAGTAATGATTGAAACGACATTTGGCAGTCATTGCAGTCCAGTTTCGCAGATGTTCCATGATTTCTCGACCGATACTTCAACATATTGCGTTGGGATTACCGTTTCGTCTGCCCAACCAACAAAGAAACATAACACGGGTGATTTCATGATAGGAGCTCACCAGCCATACGATAGATTGTTTCTATGGTAGTGAAAGTATTGCATTGTTCTGGTGATGCTAAGGTTGGCTACCATCTGGCTATATAGATGGGGGGTCTGCTCGTGGTCATGTATATGGCACTGACCATGGAAGGCTTGTTGAAAATTCGAATTAAATACCAGAATTTGAAGAAATGACATGCGCGTCGAATCGTCAGGTCTTCATCATGTAAATCGGCATACATTTCGAATGCGGAGAGAGGAAAGGTTCCACACATAAGGTAGACAGTAACGTGCTTTCGAGATTTCGAACACCAGACCATGTCGTTGGACCCGATAGTTTTATGTAGAGCGGGAAGCGGCGGAAACACCAACATAATACATACCGTGCTTTGGTTTGAGCTTTCGGCTTTCGAGACGGGCAGACACGCGCGCAACATAAATACTGCACATGGCAGATTTGAAAATTTTCTTCTCGGGCAGTGCTATTCGAGAGGGAAAGTATGGCTTCTGGTTCTCAACAGCAGAGACGGGCCATGAGATTCAGTTCAGCCCATTTCTAGAGTTTTCGGATTTGTGCAGATGAGCAAACGCAGACAGAACATGCAGCTGAGAGAAACTCACTTCAAGATTTTCATCTCATCGATAGCCAAATTATATCAAGGGGATCCATGGGTTTCGTCTTGCAAACAATGCAAAGTGTCACGACCCTGTGGTGTAAGGACCCATGTGCCGCGACCCCATCTGGGTGTTGAGACATGCATCTCCAATATCCGGAAATTTTCAGTAGAAGAGAGGAAATGTTTGGATTATTTTTGCCTTTGTTCCGCGTTGGAACAGGGCGACGCATGTATCATAATTTCGGGATGAGATTTTCATGAAACATCCACACTCGCCAATGTGTGGTAAGAACACTTCTGTGAGAATCCAGTAAGATGTCCTATACACTGCTTCTGACATTAAATTTGGATTGCGCGAAGGGTTGAGATTAGATTATCGAAGTGAACTCGGTTGGACGGGTCAAAGTCAGCAAACATTGTGGCAACCTGCTGTGTAAGGACTTGGGAGGTAGGACTGGACTTCTGTGGGCGAATCGTGGGTTGGATTTAGGCCATAGCAGGAGAAGAACCGTCGAATTTCGTATCCACGAGCCATCGAGCGCTCGGAAGGACATAGAAATTTGCCAGGAACTCTCCAGTAAGAGAAGCAACCTGCCTTGGGGAACTAAAAGTGTATGTTCCAACGTCCACAACTAAAAGCACAGGTAGCTTCTTTTTCCATACAAGTATGGAGATCGTAAACTGAAGTCTTTTATCCATGTACCCCAAAAGTCCAGCAAACAGACATAATCGTTCTATGGAGTAGACTGATGTCACTGGGAGTTCCACTCTCATGCATGTCGTCGGGATCTTTGGAAAGGATGCGTTCATCTGGCCAGTCACGTCGCACTGGAGCAACATAGATCGTGAATGTAACTCTGTGCATGGTTCCATTTCATCAGATAAGGAGCTTTCTGCGCTGATCGAGAAAGAGAACTCTCTGAAAGATTTCTGAGCTGTACTGATTATCGCAAATTGAAGGAGGATCACGGGGAGCCGCATAGCATACATTCACTCCTTCTTTTGGACGCACATGCACACCAATGCAAAGTTCTTTTGCACGTGGCGTTTTGTATTCCAACTTAAATTCGGCAGCGTTCTGTCATATACCGGTCGTGAAAGAATACTGGCATACATGCTTTCCGAGACAGCATGGATTGTGACAACATTGTCTGTGGGTAATTGTTGTTTTTCCTCCGAGGACAGCCATGGGCCATGCTTGATTATTTTTTTTTTTTTTTGGAGGAAGAAGGGTGCAGAATCTCTCACATGATATGATGTTAGAATCTACCGTGATGTCCCGGAACAACAGTCATAAACAATTTCGTTTGGGATTCGGATGGCGGCTTTTCGGATCGGAAGTCGTGATATTTTTAAGCTTCAAGGATCCGAGTCTACATCACAGGGGAAGAGCTCCTCGTTTGTTCTCGGCGATTCCAACAAACACGTATACCCAGGATTCTGATAAGTTTCTGAATGAAATGGGAATGTATAATATAATCTCTCATTTTATCGGGGTATTGAATCTTAGATACAACATCGCGTGTATTGCTTGCTTTTTTAGCAAAAGATTTCAAGTCTCATTGCAATGAAGATTGTCGATTTTGGAAAATGAAAGGCGAAGGCACCATCGCATTATTTTTTGCAGCATTAATTTCTCGAAACATCGAGAGGGTGGTCTTCGAGAACGATGAATGGAATAGACAAAGTGCTGCACTGTATAGTACTCATCGATCACAGGTCTTCTCATGGGTGAATTCGATCGGCTGGATCATGTTGTACATCGTCCATATTGTATACTAAGATTTTGAATCGTAGTCATTGGCTGTCCGCTTGCAGTGAGGGTGAGACGGTCGACCCATGCCCCTGCTACCTCTTTTTTTACTCATGATATGATTCAAGAACAAAGTAACTGGTCACTGCAGAGACAATTAACGAGAGTGCTCTTGTTCTTTTTCTGTGTCAGGTTACGAAATGTTACTTTTGCCAGCGTTAATCGGTAGATACGAAGTCGCACCTTCCTCTCTAAGGACCAGACGTGTTCACCCGACCATGCAATGTTGTCATAGCCAACCTTAGATGTAGTTTTGGTTTTGTGAAAGGTAGATGAGCGGTGCTCCCATTGCTTCCCTCCCCCGTGTTTTTGGAGCGAGAGATCAACGAAACATGTATGAACAATTTGTCCGGATGCTTCCGGTCATGCGCTCTTTGTCATACTTTCTGGACAAGTGTTCTCGAAGACATGAACTGACGTTTGAACATTTTGGAGCGATGCGTTCAATCGTTTCGTTTCTTCCAAAATCATTGAAAGATTGCGTGCTCGACGTTGAGAATAAATTTCCCTTTTATCGCTATAGCTCTTGCGTATGAGATGGACAAGCGGTATTGAATCAAATATCAGGAGACAGAGGTAACATGAGGTTCATACATGTATTTTTTGTTTCATGTCCATGCCAGCATAACCTTGATTGATTGGAAAAATAAGTCTCATGTTCGATTTGACGTTTACCTCGCCGAAAACAACATAGTCATGTAAATATGAAGTTATTCCTTTGATTTTCTTCAGGGGCAGCTCTTTTCCATTTTGTTCTTTTTGTGCTCTTTGCGTCTTGTTCAGCTACAAAGTTTCGGGCCCAGACTGGGTGGCACTCTCAAATTAAAACATGGGTCTTCCATTGTCCCGTCGAAAGATAGTCAGTGGAATGATGGTACATGCAGAGGTTGAGTGTTGGCTTTTGTTCTCTCGAAGACCGCATTGACTTTTTGAAACCGAAGGTGCTTCAATGAAGGTCCTTCACTGGGATTCGATTCTGTCCATGTGGAAAAAAGGTGGAAGAGACACGTAGGGACATGTTCTCAACTTTTGGAACTCGGGTCAACCGTAGAGGCCACATATCATGCGTAGTTGTCTGTTTTGTTCTCGTTGTTCTCTCCTTAGAAGGCACTGCAGGTTCGAATGTTTTAATTGTGGAGAAATTCGTCCCTGGAAGTGCAGGCCTTTATACCAAGCCAGAATCTTGAGCGTTTGTGGAGTCGTTTGAGGGGACTTTCAAATTCACTGCGCCTGCCCACGTAAGTGATGCCTTGGGCTGGCCGAGCAATCATGTGAGACTGTTCGAGGGGTCAGTCCTCTACTCTTGTGAAATTCTTTTTGGGCCGAACATATGGGTTCGGAACGCGTGTGATCATGCCCTACAGTACGCCCTTTGTGATGTTATCCTCGTAGCCACCACCTTGATTTGTTTCACTACGCCGGCTGGTTTAAACAGTCGTGAATACAACCCCGAAACAAGAATTATAGTCGGTCGTGTTCTTGGAGAATGTATGTAGTTACTGCGATAGTGTTGTTCACCGCAAAGACGCACGGGGACAAGCGATACACTAAAGCCATTTGTTATCGGAGGCTACGTTGCGTACCCATCGATTACATTTCTAACAGTAATCACTAGCACGCGTTGAATCTATTGAGGTCTCTGAAACTCGTCGCATAAACTTTACAGCTCATGAGCTGGAAGTTAACATAAGAAGGTTTCCTTCCTCCACAACGTCATACCTATATGCCATAATCGCAAGCTTTCACATCAGACCCAGCGATTTGCTTTGTTGAAGGATTCGGTCACTTACTAATTATATTGACGAGATACGCCCCGCATACTCCGGTTGATAGATGTTGCCGTCTATGGCCCGTGCAGCAGCTGTGCCACTTTATAGCTGCTATTCATCTAAATATCGTTTGGTGCCACACAGTCTCTTCATCTGAACATCCTCACTTGTCTTTTGTTGAGGTTTCAAACAAGTCATGTCTTGGACAGCCGCACTTGTGGTTGTTGCTCTTACAACCGCGAGCTATCTGTTCCATAAAACCTATGTTCATCGTTCTAGGATCAATGACCTAAGAAAGCAAGGCATCGTAAGCTATCGAAGAAAGTGTTTCTTGTCTTGAGACCTGACGTATCTCCTAGCCAATGCCAAAAGAGTGGAGTTGGTTCACTGGCCACCTCCTAACGCTTCAGAAATACGTCAACAGACTACCACCTGATGCGAACGTGAACCTTGCTATGCGGGATCTCGCCCTCGAGTTCGCCGATACAGAGGTGTTCTTGATGGACTTTTGGCCTGTGTATCCGCCGCTTCTAGTGGTATATGATCCTGATGCCGCTGTCCAGATAACGACCAAGTACAATCTGCCAAAGACTGATATGCATTTGCAATTCATGAGACCGATTACCGGCGGGCCAAATCTCATATCCATGAGCGATCAGGAGTGGAAAATTTGGCGATCACTTTTTAATCCAGGTTTCAGTTCATCAGTCATGATGGAAAACGTACCGCATATTATCGACAAAGTCCAAATCTTCTTTGAAAGGTTGAAAGAGGGGGCGAAGAACGGTATTGTGTCGCTGGACAGCCTCACAACGAGTCTGACTATGGATGTTATTGTCAAATTGACGCTGTCAGTTGCCCCCAAAACCGTGAACACTGATAAACCCTCATCTTACATAACTCGCCTACAGAGATGCCGATCTCGATTGCCAACGTTCAGAAAGCGCACTTGTTAGTGCGATGAACAACATCATCGCGTGGCATTCATTCTGGGATCCAAGAATTCTGATGCATCCGTTCCGCCCTCTCGTTCAAAGGTACTATGGCAGAGTAATGAATACCCATATTCGAAAGGAGCTGATCAAGCGATTCAATGATCTGAAGCAAGCAAAGCTTGATAGCAACAAAACAATAGAGCACACATCTGGAAAATCTGTAATAGCTTTGGCAATCGAAGCATACATCAAAGAAAGCCAACAAGACATACGTACGCTAGAACTGGACGAGCACTTCGCACGCTATGCAACTTATCAAACTCGTCTATTTCTCTTTGCGGGTAACGACACCACCTCATCTACCATTGTATATGTCTTCCATCTTCTCTCACAGCATCCTGAAGCCTTGAAAAAGCTGCGAGACGAACATGACACCATGTTTGGAACCGACGCAAATCAAACACCCCGAATGTTAAAGGAAGAGCCTGCCCTATTGAACAAGTGCTCGTTCACGCTCGCAGTCATTAAAGAGACGTTACGTCTGTACCCACCAGCAGCAACGATGCGCGCTGGTCGAAACGGTGTATCTATTACCGATCGTCACGGAAACATTTATCCAATGGATTATGTAGGCGCAACAATTCTTCACCCAGCAGTCCATAGCAATCCTCGCGTATGGGTTTCGCCAGAGAAGTTCATTCCTGAGCGGTTCCTCGTCGGTGCAGAGCATGATCTGTATGTTAATACTGCGGCCTATCGTCCTTTTGAGCAAGGACCACGAAATTGTATTGGACAGACACTTGTATACAACGAGATTCGTACTGTAATGGTCATGGTAGCAAGAAGCTTTGATATAGTGCCTGCTTACGATGAGTGGGATGCCATAAGAGAGCGGCAAATGTGTGGTTTGGCACGCCTTAAGGTTTGGGCCATGGGGAAACCTGTCAAAACTGTACATGGCGACAGAGCATATCAGACCGAGAAAGCAGGAACACATCCTGCAGACGGGTATCCTTGTCACGTATCCTCACGTTGAGACAATCCGTGGACTTATAGGGAAAAGAAAGCTCTGAACTATTGTCTTCTGTACCATCTCAAAAATGCGAGGCGTGAGGCAACAGACTGATCGTGAAAGGCTGGTCCACACAGTGGTATTCTACACTCAACCATAGAAGACCCTCTTTAACAGGCCACCAGGCCAACGAGTTGTTATCATCCATATTATGTATTGGTGGCTTGACTTTGCATAATGCCCTGCCAACCACGCCACAGCGGCGGGGAGACCTTCTAGAGGAGTGACTCTCAGCAAGGTGGCTGCACTGTCCAGCAAACATACCACGTGCTATCACGCACTCTGTAGCAGTCAATTCAAGGGTAGCCAAGATTTAACTATGAACCAATGATACCGCGATCGCTTCTATGCTATTTTTGAGTCATGAATTTGGTGTAGCTTAGAGTCAGAGGTGCGCTGTTGTCTCAGCCTGATCGCTTGATTGTATGTATATCAGGCTGAGATTTTGTCTTGTTACTAGCACACCTTTTCCCATGCCAACACTTCAGATTTATGACACTAGCTGTCAAATATGTGTGACAATCAATATATTGCAAAACTTTGTGCCGAATATAGCGTCCCCCCTCTGGAAAAACCTCATCGACTAATCAGGGTACCCAAGCCAAATTTCCTAGGCCCTAATGACCGCGATGCCGCTCTCAAACACCTATCGCATGCTCGACATGCTGCAAGAGGTATCAGAGAGCTGTACAGAGATTATGGAGCAACGATCGGTCTCCACGGACAACAAATGAGTGGAACCCCGAATGCCGCATTCACTTTGCAAGAACGCCAAGACGCCTTTGACCATTTAATGAGCAACGGCATTTCAATCGGAGTCGCGCAGGCAGTCGTGGACTTATACCCCAATCGATCCTTCGATGTCAATGTACGTCGAGGTAACAGAACAAAACATTCCCCTAAGAATCGAGCTGTCAAGGACGAAAACCTTGACTGGCTGCAGCGTGCGACCAAGAACTATCAAGAAGATTATGTGCAGCTTATAGCGAGTCGTCACCCCAAACAGAGTAGTCTTGATGAGTCCTTGGGAATAGCGATTGCTCAGAGATCTTTCGATATTGCTACGGAGCTGCTTCGTTGGGGGGCCAATCCAAACAAGTGTCATCCAGATTTCCTTTCTCACGCTGTGAGCGGAAACATGAGCTGGACAAGACTACTCTTGAGCTCGCCTACGCATGTCATTGACCAAAGTGAAAGAGATAAAGCGCTACAGGCGGCCGTCATGAGTAATAATTTCAACATGGTTTATGCACTACTCTCTTACGGGGCAGATGTAAACTACTCGTCTGGCCTACCCTTAGTATCTGCCATACGCACAAATCAAGTTCGGATCTTTGTAATGTTGATATCTACGACACCGAGCCAACAAGCATTGGAGAAGGCGATGGAGTTTGCCTGCACTATGGATTCCCCCATACCACCTCATCAACCGAAAATTCTCAGAATCCTACTTTCAGCAGGTGCAATTGTTTCTAAAGAAACTCTCCTGCATTCAATCGCCCAGGAAGACTACGATACAGTTAGATTACTGCTGGATTTCCAGGCATTAAACAATGAGTTACGCTCTGAGGCCATCACATCCTGTCTTCAACTTGATAGGGTCTCGAGGCTTCGATTCGCTAAGCTTGTCACAGTCCATCAGATTGATAGCTTAGTGTGGAAAGCTGCTCTACATATGTCAATCCAGGAACAAGATCTTCATTTCTTGAATCTCCTACTTGCGGACTGCGACGAACGGCATTCGGAGCTTGAAGACGCTCTCGTCATGGCAACAGAAACCCTCAATCCATCCCTGGTGCAAGCCTTGCTGTTCAGGGAGCCTGGAACTAGCGCAATAGAGAGGGCTTTTGAATTGATGCTAGACTCAGAGAAGATACACGACAGTAGCAATTCCTTGACTATTTGTCTTGCGCTTCTCAAATGTAATCCCAAGCAATCACTCAAGGATCGTGCTCTTCTCCAGAGTTTAAAAGGCTACAAGAAAGAGCAATCTGATTTCTTTTGGGGATTGATCCGCAGAGGGGCAAATGTCAACACAGAATCATGTGCCTGCTTTGTTACTGCTGGTCTACTGGACGATCTCGAGGTCTTTAATCTACTACTCTGTTACAAGGCCAACTTCGACTTGGTCGTCGAGACACTCATTGATCACTTTCAGCACGCGCAATATGAGCGTTTGTTTGACCTTGTTTCCGCCACGCTGAATCATGAAAATTATGAAAGCAGAAATCCGGGAGTCGATGTGGTCTTCAAAGCTATGCGCCGGTTCAATGGACACGAGTTGATAAGGTTGCTAGTAGATCATGGTTATCCTGCAGGGGAGACTTTGCCCCGGATTGGTGGCAATGGAGAAGCTGTTACACCACTCATTTGGGCCCTTGAATGGGCAAAAGCCGAAATTAGCGACAGTCTTATACTGGAGTTGTTGAGAAGAGAGGAACGAGGTCTGTTCATCTGATCCATTGATAGCAGTACAACACCGGTACTGATTGCTTATAGCAAACGCAAACTTTATGACAGAGATTTCCGGAACTACTGCCATCAGCTTAGCAGCTCGATTCAGGCGGCATAAGATACTTGAGAGGCTGATCGAAATGAAGGTTGGCCTGTCGGCAGTTGATTCTTCGGGGAGATCCCCCCTTTTCCATGCTACAGCAAATGAGGATAGCACGTCAGTCCGCTTCCTGCTAGAAAACGGTGCGCAGCGCAATGATGGAAGCTTACAGGAAGCCTCCCGTCTTTGCAACACAGACATGATAGTGCTACTCATCGACAAGCACCATGATCCAGATTTCCCCAGCCACATACACGAAGGGAGAACAGCTCTGGGAGAGCTCTGTCACCGAGCTACGCTGAAGACGGGACAAGAAGTTTCAGGCGCATATGAGGCAATCAAAATGCTTATCCGTGTGCGTTCCGACTTGAGTCGTAGGGTGAACGGGAAGTCCATTTTACACTTGGCTCTAGACAACGAGCAGCCGGTGGAAATTACCAGACAACTGTTGCGGTTCCCGAAGATCTACAGGAACATTTGCACAGACTCGGAGTTATTCATCTATGAGGATGCGCAGGGAATATTCATGTCCCCAGACTTCTACGTCAGACAATATTCCAAACACACAGAAGATATCAAGTCATCACTCGTCACTCTGCTGCGAAATAGTGGGTGCAAGGAGAAATGGTTCGTTATGGGTCATCGTCAAGTTCCCAGACCTAGGGGTCTCCCGCCTTTGTTGAAGGAAGCGACAGAGAGGCAAATGTTGTCGATTTTGAACAAAGATGCGCCATTCAGCGACAGCATGACGGTACAAACGCCAATATCGATGACATGTATCGATATCATAGGGCTGCTATGGCACATAGCAAGCAGATGACTATACAACGGCGTGAACATAGGCAAATTGAACATTCTAACGAAATGGGATACATGCAGGAGAGTAAAGAATTGCAGTTTTCACATCAACACCGGATGATTGAGAGTCAAGAGGACGCTGAGAAGCGTAGCACGGCTAGAGCCATGGAGAGAATGGACCATCAGGACACAAGTGTACAACGTGCAGTGGAAGGCCAACGAAGTATATATGCTTTACAGGCAGGGAAAGAGGATTCAAATCAGCTCGCTATTGAGTATGAGCAACCAGATTGACTATGTGGCGGATAATCGGTTTTGTTACCCAAATATTTCAAGTCTGACAATGGAATGAGTGGCGTCAGAATGTTGTCTATAGGTTATGAAGCACTGTTGGACTATGAATACGTTTTAGATATCATTCATTCATGCCCACTGATATAGATCTCTCAGCTATTCTATATAGATGTAGTAGACGATGAAAATCCCATCGAATGTCCCTCCATAGTTTTACATGTCCCCCCCCTTCTTACTCGCCGAACTGATTGAAGCATGGTCAATGGACGTATGTGTTCATACATGTGCTGCTTGGAACATACATTTGTGTTGAATCGACAATTAGCAGAATCTTTGCTATCGTCATTCAATCCAACTAAGAATGTTGTTCATTGAGTAAACGCTGTAGATGAGACGGTCTGCGAGCAATTCATGTTGATGTTTGAGAGCATGCCCACTATTGGAGGGTCGGTTCCTGAGTATTGGTTGCGTTAGTGTTGTTATTGGCAGTTGCGTGATCAAGCAGTAGACAAGTCACTGTGCTTTCTCTTAAGAAACCATAGGAATATAGCAGAGCACAACCAAGGGGTCGTGGCTTCGATCTGTATCCTGTTCCTTGCACGATGAGATATTTCCAATATCTGACATTCTGCGATATATTATTTAATTCGTTCCCATGGAGCGTAGAAACAACGCATTTCAGACTATTCAGTCTAGAAGAAACACGTGAGTAACGCGGCTTTATTGAAATTACCACAGTAGGGCATGGGCAAGGATGAAGATTCATCCTGATGTTTTTGCAGTAATATGAGGACATTTTGAGATTGGTATTTTTTCCGACAGAGCGTGTAAGATCCCTCAATCCAGGTCTTCAAAATTCCCTCGTCCGTCCTTTTAGAACGATATATTCAATCACAGACACCTCGTCCCATTTACTCTAACTTCTCTTAATTACCATCGCATTGGAGTAGGGTCCTCGGACATGAGGTGCTCACAAAAGCTATATGAGCGCCTTAGCAAACGCGGCGATTGTTGGGAGAGCAGAGGCCGAGCACCACGAATGGAACAGGTGCCACATGTTTTTATCGATTGTGGATTGTACCAGAAGAGAGCTCATATGGATTGCTTCTGTCATATTGTATTTTCATGTCGAGATCAGGAAGCGTCTCTGATCTGGAAGATCCGATGATGCAATCAATTATGGTAGAGTGGAAGAAGATGATATTACCATCTATGAACTGCTACAGGAGATATCTCCAGGCTGTGAATGGCAGCGCCAATACAAGGTTGCATTGGCGGGAATCTTCTTGGGATTGCTGTAATTGATTGCGCCTTTTCCGAAGAAACAAAGCATATCAAGAGGCAGCTACTTCAGAGGGTTGCGGCGCGAGTCGATTCCGATCACATAGACAGCAGGATCGGAGAGAGTCTGCACCTTCTACAATTCTTCTTGATGCTTCTCAGCTTCTTTTCCCGTCCACATTGGTGGGTCAACCTCCGGTTGAGCGGATTCAACTGTCTGGCGGGCGGAAACTTCCTCCTTGACCACTGGGAATTCTGGCACGCAGTAGCGGGGCCTTGCGAAAGGCCTCTTGTCATTATAGTCGCTCTCCAATGCTTCCGAATTCCCCAATTCATGGGTCTCCGGGGCCTCAAGTTAGGCAGCGTTCGGCGGGGATTCGAACAAGGGGTCATTATATCTCATAACGGGCTATAGGGCGTTTTATGGACCTCAACGATTGATGGACGTCCATTGCCCTCATTCTCTGCATGTACTGATAAGCTTCGTATTGAAGGTTGAAACACCGGACTTGAGGCATTTCTGTTGCAAGATTACCGCCAGCGGGACATTAGTCGACAGTAATGTGGATTGCCCATTTCACGAATTAAATTTCATGTTGAAGAATGGTATTGGTGAGGTGGCAAATTGCAGGCAGATACTCCGAGACCAATATATGAGAAGGCCTTTCGGTTGTTTTCCAACCCTGCAGAGAGCATAGGAGGCATGCGCCAGCCACGTCGAATGTACTACATCTCTGCAAAGGCCGCCTTGTCCAAGGGGGTCTTCTCTCTGTTCGCCGACTACTTACGCTGTCCTGTGGGACTGCTGTGGCTTGTCCAGGCGCTATAATCAGTGTAAGGTATGTGTAATTTGCTTTGTCCTCGGTTCGGACAGAATTTAAACGGATCCCTACAAGCGTAAAAGGCATACTGATGCAGACAAGTTTGATATCGTTGCAACCTTGCCTCTTCTACGATTGAACGTGGTCATTGTTAATTTAGGCTCGGATTGATGATCCTGAGAATGTGTATGAGAGAAAGGGACACGAGCCGTAGTGCATGGTTTTCTTGATCTCTCACACTCCCATCGGGGGGTAAGCTATAGGTTTTGACCAGGTATGAGTAAGAGTTCGCAAGTCTCACAGCCCCAGACGAACCATGTATTGGTATCGTTCTATCAGTCGGTCAGACACGGACAGATCATGAAATCGCTCAGCCATATTTGTTCCTGGATCGAACAGGACTAGAATGGACTGATGTAATAGTGCGGGGTGGAACCAAACGAACAATATCAAGCATTTTCTCTCTCATTTTGTTCCAGACGTGACTGTTGTGAAGGCTTTTTGAAATTTCTTAAGATGCATCATCCAGCCATTCATTTTCGATAGAACATAAGAGGAACGTTGAGAGTATTATATCCACAGACGAGCCACTTCGGCATTAGCTTTTGTTCTTGTCCGTTACCCAGAGAGAGACGCAGACAACACCAAAAATTCATCTAACCTTTTCAGTTTCGGATTGGATGTGCTCGTGGATAAAGATTTTCTGAATCGGTGAACTCCTCTTACCGAGAGAGGAACAGACAGAAACATTACTCCTATGTTCCCAAGTTTGATCTCTCAAAATCTCATCATGGCCCAATACTTCTGTTCGATCGGACATAAGTCAAGGGAGCTAGTCCTTCAAGTGTCATGTCCCTACTATCTCGTCATTGAACCAGAATTGTCGTTATTCGAGCCTCTAGATGGAGACGCAGTCAGACAGACACCATCATGACTTGTGGCAGCTTTGTCTTTCGATCGGACATGATGTGACTTTATTACTTGGAGAGACGCAACCAAAGAGACAACGTCAAAGATGTTTCCCATGTCCTATTCTTTTGGTCTAGACCGCACACGATGGCATCTCCATTCCTGCTCTCACTTTCTTCTCTTCCACTCCACTTCTGTAGGTCTTTCTGTTGTGATGGCTGGTAGATTTTCAAGACAGATCAGAGGACATTTTTTGTCTTGCTCAACTAAGACTATAAGAATGAAGTTGTCTGCGCCCGGCACGGGACATTATCGTTTGCCAAAGTTCTTTTTAAACGAAGTACTTGGAGAAACAAGGGAGAACAGACGACATGTGACGATGACATTGTATTTCTAGACTCCCACTCTCATGGTCCATGTTTTCCTCGTCTTTTCAAAGACCGCTTTACAGCCAACACCTCCCAGCTCACATTCTTTGTTTGGCACTCAAAGGAAAGGGTCAGCCAGACGGACAGTGTGAGCGTCCAGGTATATCTTTTTCCGGCCCCCCAAAGAATTTGCTTCATGATTTTCCCTTAAGCTCTTTTGAAGGCGGATTAAGCATTCTGATGCCATCTTTATAGCTCACAGCTCCAGCTCACATCAAGAGCTTCTCTTTTAGAAGAGACACAGCCAGACGAGGGACATGAAAATCACAAACTCCTTTTTGAGTTTCCACTCCCATAGTCGGAAGATATTTCCTGGTTTGGCTCATTGAGAGGCACGATGATCTTTTCTGAATATAGTCACAGCGAATGCCACAGAATCTCTCTTTTAGACGAAGAGACACAGCCAGACAAGATATCTAGGAACGTCTGGACAATTTTCACCTCATATGAGGTGCTCTGGTTTGTTTTATTCCATCATCGCGGCTCACAGCTCCAGCTCACATGTTTATTTGCGTTTGTGACTTTTCCCTGAAGAGACAAAGCCTAAACAGACAACATAATGAAAGCTTGATATATTTATCGGACTCCCACTCCCATGCAGAGTAATCGCCACGTGGTTTTTTTGACATCGTTGCCAAAGTTCACGGGCCCTGGCACATGCTTGACGTCACCAATGGACAAGAGATGCAGCCACCGAACATCTTTCGGAAGATGTTTGAATTTTCCACCTCATACTGCAAGGAAACATGGATCCAGGCCGAAAGCGAACTTCATGTTGACTTTTGATGACTTTTGTAGCCACCGGTTCCAGCTCATATGCAATTTCCTCTTCGCAGAGAAGAAGAAGGCCGACGACATAGCTAGTAAGGAATCCCGCTTTTCCCAGCTCATGGACGATTGCTATCTCCACTTCTGACACCATATCGGCTGGGTTCACAGCTCCAGACACATGTATTCGTCCCGTTTCTTTTTTCGGAGAAGAGACACGGCCAAACCACATGGATTTTGGCAGAAAATGTTTTTGGTCCCCCACCTGAGACGCAGGAAGACCAACATTGAACATGCTCTTAAGTCGGTTTTCAAGGAGGCACAGCATCCGCTTCCCTCACCAATGTTTTGTTTCCCCCCACATACTCAGGCGGATTGTCTAAATTTTCTCCCCTCCCATCATTTGAGCTCCTCAAAGTTTCTTCCTCCCTCCTCCCCTCCGTTCTTCGCATACGTTGATCACAAACTCATCTTTGATCCTACTCCCTCGTCTCCAGGCACACGTCGCATTTATAGTGAATTCAGTGCTTTTGTTCTCCCACACATTTTCTGACAGTCTGTGTGCTTTTCCTCTCTCCTCCCATTGTTCCATTTTTCGGCGTTATTCTCGCTTCTCCACACCTCTGACTCTTATAGTAGAGGGTTTCTTATTTTTTTTTTTCCCGGGCAGACGATATGTCATTCCGATGAATTGTTTTAATCCCGCCCAAGACATCGTGAAGGCCTCGTACTCATACATCTCGACTAATCACATTTTTCGAACATCTGTCGATTTCTTTCTTCCTTTTTTCCCATAATTCATAGCTTCTCCTGTGTTCTTGATCTCCCTCGCTCGACCACTCGCTCATAAAGAGTGGTGTGCATTCTCTTACACCCAACCCAGGCATCATATAGTCAAGTGTCTTTTCTCCGGCGTTCCTCCTCATATCATTCTTCTGATCGCTGTTCCCGCACATGGACCGTTATTCTATCGTCGTATCGCCAGCGGACGAGGGACGCTCATGAACAACTCGAACATCAGTTTGCACGCTCCACATGGAATCTGGGTCTCGCATGTTTTCTTTCCCCATCTCCGCACATAAAGGAAGAGAGGTGAGGTTGGAAAGTTTGAATGATAGTTTGAGAGGCGAACTTGGAAAGTTTGAATGATAGTTTGAGAAGTGTGAAGAGAAAGAAAGAAAGAAAGGAGGAAGGGAATAGGGAGCGAGGGGGATTATATAGTGCTTCCTCCGCTAGGGGAAACGTGTGGGAGGGGGAGGGGAATGAGGGTGTGGGTGTGTCATGGGATACATTTCGTTCGTAGGGAGAATCATGGGGCGTGATATTGTTTGCACGCATTCACATGGGGATGTGTCGTCCGTATTGATAGTATCCTTCACATTGAATGTCGACGAACGGCAGCCATCACCAATTGCATGTAGCAAAGGCACGAGGGTGTTTTGAAATTACCAACTCCGATTTTTCTACAAGTGTCTAATACTGCTCACTCCCGCCCATGCTATGCCCGTCCCATACATCCATCTCCTTTGCAATGCCTTCAGAGTGTGTAGCCACGTGACCAAAGGGTCACAAGCTCCATCGCACCGCACCGCCACACCTACGCCACGCTATACAAACTCCGGTAATCCCCGTTCCCACGATCCCAACATCGTCCGTCCGTTCATAGCAGCAGCAGATAAGAAGTATTATGCTCGCTTCTGCAGGGAATTGATTCAAACGCCTCCTTTGTCCCTCGAGAAGTTTGGAAAACAAGAAAAGCAGGGGAAGAAAAGGCGGGTCTTTAGCCAGTCCTGAAAGAAGAAGAAGAAGCCCGCCATGGTCTATAAGAAAGCTCGAGGGGGAAAAAAGATGGATGATAGATGGAACTAGGAACCAAAAAAGCAAGCAAAAACAGGGAAGGAAGGGGTATGATAAGGGAAACGCAGGTGTTGTGTACTCCTAACAGAGAGCAGCGGATTCGAAATTCTTGAGACTGAAAGAAAGCACTCGAAGTGCTGCCCGAAAATCCGAACGTTAGCTTCCGAAGCCCAATAGAGGCTTCGTCGCTCGCGCTCTCTGAACACCCGACCCCAATGCTAGTTCGTATTTCGTGCCCAGACCGGTTGTGTCGAATCCGCTCCGCACGCTGACGCTGAATTCCCGCCCACCCTCATCGTGTATGCCATTAATCATCCCGCAATGTCTTCGTTATGCATTTACTGCGACGCGCACTGGACGCGCTCGGCACCGGGGTGCATGTCATCGTCATCCTCGTCCATGGCCATTCCACGGGCGCGGGCCTGCTCTCTTGTTGGGTCAACATCCTCGAGGGTGAAGTCCTCAGTCATGGCGTCTGGTGGAGGAAGAGAGGCTTGAGGCGCACGAGGGGGGAGGACGCTCTCCAAGGCCTTGATCTGCTCGGGGGTGATGTTGCCACCATCGGGTCCGGTCAATCGCTCGGGGAACTTGACGTCGAATTGGATGTACAGGTTGCCGTGGTCGTGGTGTCGGTATGAAGGCATACCCTGGTTGCGGATGACCTTGACTTCGCCTGTTGTCATAATTAGTTTCTGATCATTATCTGTGATGAGTTTCTTTGTCAACGTACCTTGGCTGATGCACTCTCCGGGGATGATGTCGACGGTCAACCACCTCTCGTCGAGATGCTCGATGTGGATCTGGCCACCGGCAAGGGCAGTCAAGAGATCGATTTCAGCGTGGTAGAACAAGTCGTCATCCTTGCGCTGGAACCTAGCGTGGGGCTTCTGCTCAATCTCGAACACGACATCACCAGGCTCGACGCCAGGAAGCTGATCACCCTCGCCGCGGAACTCGATCTTGTGGCCGCTCTTAACACCACGGTCGACATGGACGTGGAGGACCTTCCTCTCGATGATGGTCTTCTTTCCATTGCACTGCTTGCATCGGTCCTTGTCGCGGATGATCTCTCCCTCGCCCTGGCAGTCGGGGCAGACGGTCTGGAATCGCTGGATCATAGGACCCATCTGGCGCATCATGTGCTTCATACCGCGACCATCACATCCTGTGCACTTCTTGACCGCACCCTCCTTTCCTCCGCGACCGTCGCACTTGGGGCAGATGACGGATTTCTGGAGAGCAAGCTTGGAAACCTTTCCGCGGTAAATGTCCTCAAGCGACACCTTGTGGACGTGAGAGATCGTACGCGCCTTCTTGGGGCCGGTCTCCCTCATACCACCACCGCCGCCGCCGAACATGCCTCCGAAGGGGCCGCCGCCGCCGCCAAAGAACTGTGCGAACAGATCCTCGGCAGCCATGCCGCCGCCGCCCATACCGCCCTGCTCGAGACCCTCCTCACCATATTGGTCGTAGATCTGTCTCTTATCGCTGTCGGAGAGGACCTCGTACGCGTGTGACAGGTCCTTAAACTTCTCTGCGGCTTCGGGGTTGTGTGCGTTCTTGTCTAGGTTGTGTCAGCCTGGGGCTCACTTTTGATTTCTCGAGGAGACTGGGCGGGAGAGCATACCTGGATGATGCTTGAGCGCACCCTTCTTATATGCAGACTTAAGCTGAGCCTCAGTCGCATCTGGGGAGACCCCGAGGATCTCGTAGAACTTTGTGTCTTTCACCATAGTTGTAGATTGTGTCGATTACCGGAGAAAGGAGGGGGATGGCGGGGTATTGGGTATTTATAGGATCGTAATAAAAGATCTAATGAGGAGCGCGAAGGGTCGAATCTTCTGGTTCTTATTCGGTCAGCGGGTCTTAATACGGGTGGAGGTTGTTACGATTGAATAACTCGAAGGGGGGAGGTTTCGCCGCACTGTGGCAACGACGAGGCAGGCTGACTGTTCAGCAGAAGTGGGAGGAACTCACCGAGCTTCACCGTGGGGAGCCGTGCAACACTGGGAAGTGATTCTATGAGGAAAAGATGAAAGGGTGATTCCAAAGTCTCTGGGGTGGTTGACAGAGAAAACGGAGGTGATATGTTTTATTTGAAGGGTATTGGGAATACAATAGGCGTGCGTAGAGGCGTGGACGGCGTTGAAAAAGCTTTGGGGGACTTAAAAGAAGGTTAAAGAATGGAATGGCCAACCGGATTGGAGCAAATCGGCTGTGCCGACCGAACCTTCGGTGCGATTCTATGGCCTTCCACAGCCAACTTTCAGCCTCGCCGCAGCTCAATTGTGCGAGTAAGACAATAGAAAACGCCGACAATGCGAATAAATATTTATTATACCACTCTAATATTTAGAAACTGAATAAAAAGGGACAGAAAACTGTTTCTTTGGTTGTCTATTGGGATGGGGGAATGGATGTAGAAGGATGGGGATGCATGACTAACGTTCCATTTAGAGATTTCCATGGGCGAAACATGCGCCGACCAATCAGCGGCCGAGACGGATGATCGACTCTTATCGCGATAGGCCGGGAGAGGAAATCGATCCCAGATGGTCTTAAAATTCTCCCATACGAGTCGACTTACAGTACATTTCATCGTAATACGGGAAGAGAGATACCCTCAGAGACTAGCAGATCCATATTAATAGTATGTACTCCGTAATCAATAAATTCATAATCCCACTTCGATAGCATTCCTCCTTTTCTTTGTCCTCTGTATGCCTGTCTCATAACATCTTTGTTCTCCCTCACACACTCCGCTATATCGAGTGACTATTAGTAACCAGGTTCCCCTAGCCAAATAACCATGGAGTCGGATATCGGATTCAAGGCAGCCCTACAGGAGGCAGAGCAGGGCAGCTCCGAGGGCGGAGTCCCCATCGGCGCAGCACTTGTCTCAGCTGATGGCAAGGTACTGGGACGAGGCCACAATATGCGCATCCAGGAGGGGAGTGCCATTCTACATGTTTGTTGCCTGTTCCAAATATGTGTGCCGTGTTTCCTCGACTGACAAATTGATTCCTGAATCAGGCCGAAATCTCAGCTTTGAACAACGCCGGAAGGCTGCCGGCTGGTACATATCGCGGTGCTACGATGTACACGACACTGTCGCCGTGCGATATGTGTACCGGTGCCTGTCTCATGTATGGTATCAAGCGTGTAGTCATTGGTCAGTCTTCTCCTGGTTAATTTATCATCTGTCGATTTCGGTAGCGTTAATGTTGCGTAGGCGAGAACAAGACTTTCCTAGGAGGCGAAGAGTATCTGAAGCAAAGAGGAGTCGAGGTCGTCGTGCTAGAGAGCGAGAAGTGCAAAGAACTCATGAAGAAGTTCATTGCTGAAAAGCCGGCAGAATGGTACGTCATGCTAGAATGCAACAGAACTAGATTACACCACTAACAATCTCACAGGAACGAGGATATTGGTGAAGAGTAGTACCCAACATTTGGGTTTAGTTATATGACTTGATTATATCTTGACTTTTGATACGGCCGCCGAGACGACTTATGAGGATGTATAGAAATGTATTTGTTGGAAGTAGAACTTGAGATCGTCGGGATTGACGAACGGTGTAATTCCTAGGAAAAGTCAATATCAAAACACATCAATTAATGCAACTCGGACTCAACATACCGTGACCCAGGTTGGCAATCCATCCCTGCTTGCCGCCACCGAAGCCGGTGACCATTTCCTTCACGACCTTGGTGATTGCTTCCCGTCCGCCGTACAAGACACCCGGGTCTGCGTTTCCTTGGAGGGTCTTTCCCTTCGCGCGTGCAATCTTGTACGCTTCCGCAGGGTCGTGCAGCCAGTCCAGACCGATGACATCGTAGTTGGTGTCACAGAGACTATCCAAGGCGTACCATGCTCCTTTTGCGAAGACAGTCATGGGGACGCGCTCGAGACCAAGCTCTTGTAACCTTCGGGGAAGGTTATCTGCAATATGGGTAAGATATGGCAGAGACATTTCCTTGAAAGAGGCCGGCGAGAGCTCTCCTGCCCATGAGTCGAATACTTGGACCATCTAGTCGTTGTTAGCCAATACTGCTCGTCTTGGGGTGATCATTGATCACGAACCTGTGCTCCAGCCTGCACTTGAAGTGCCAGATACTCCACGCAAAGCTCTGCGATCTTCTGCAACAACGCTTTGCTCTCCTCTGGGTGCTTGAACAACCATGTCTTCGCTTGGATGAAGAACTTGCTGCCTCCACCTTCCACCATGTAGCTCATCAGCGTCCAGGGAGCGCCACAGAAACCAATCAATGGAACTCTTCCCTTAAGCTTTTGTCGTGTGAGGGTAATGGCCTTGTATACGTAGTCCAACGACTCCTTCACGTCGACTTTACGATCCATAATCTCCCTATACTGCTTGTCCTCCGGCGACTGCAATGGCTCGGGAAAGTGCGGACCCTTCTTATCCACCATTATAACCTCCATACCCATTGCCTGCGGTATCACCAAGATGTCGGAGAAGATAATGGCGGCATCGATGAGACCTTCGTAGCGCTCAATAGGTTGCAGGGTGAGTGTCGAGGCGATCTCGGGTGACCGGCAGCATTCGAAGAAATCATTCTTGCCCTTTGCTTCGTGGTACTCGGGGAGGTATCGTCCAGCTACGAAATTCTCAGTGTCTGAATAGCATCAAAGGCTCATGAAAGCTCACCTTGTCGCATTACCCACATGGGTGGTCGCTCCACCTTCTCACCTATGCGAAGAATTAGTGTCAGCTGTTCGACAATCTCTATGGCATTGTGTACCTCGCGCAGTTCGGAGAATGAGGTCATTCTTCATGGGTTCAAATTGGGGCGCCATGATTGTCGTAAAGTCGAAGTATAAGCTCAGGCGACGTCTGCTCGAAAACTGGCCTCGGTTTTGTATATTAATGAGAATGCGGAATCATCTCGGAATGCCCCGCGGCGGTGGAGCTAGTCCCAATCAGGTGCAACTAAGGCTATATTTTGTGACGATCTATGCCACCGCGATCCCCACAGCTCACTCTTGATTCTCGGCATCAGAGGAGACCATGCTGCTTAAGCATGGTTCGAACGGACTGCGATACCAAAGTTTGTCCAAGCTGGGTCGACGAATCCCTTGGATTCCGCATCAGGCATCCGTCAGTTCGCTTGCTTTCCCTTACCTGAGCTCGACGCGTCTAAAAGCGAATTCACGTGTAAACCAACCTCGCCAACCGCGGTTCTCATACATCCCAATTCGTGGTGCCAAAAGGAAGACGCAGGTTAATTTGGAAGATTTGCCGCAGGGAATCATTGGGAATGATGGCGAACCCCTCCCACCTCAGGATGTTGACGAGCCAGAGTATCCACCGCTTCTTCAGCAGGTGCGGAATAACATGCTGAAATTTAGCCATTGCGTCCTCCTGACACGCGTTGGTGGTTTTTATGAGCTATACTTCGAACATGCCGATGAATATGCACCGCCACTGAATATAAAGAAGTCGAGAAGAAAAGCACAAAAGGGCAGTAAACGACCCGCAGTGCCCATGGCTGGTTTCCCCGTCTATCAACTCGATCGATACCTCAAGATTCTCGTGCAGGATTTGAATAAGCATGTTGCCATTAGTGACGAGTTCCTCAATGATGCTGCCACCAGGGCCAAAGGCGAATCACTCTATTCGCGTAAAGTATCCCGTATCGTGACTCCCGGGACGTTGATCGATGAGCATTTCATGGACCCTTGGCAGAACAACTACCTTCTGAGCATTCACGTTGACCCTGAAGCCCTGAATGTCAACGACGCCGTTGTGAAAAGTCCTGGCAGTCAAAGTGTTACTTCCATGCTCAATCTTCCCCGGACAGAGGTTGGTCTTGCTTGGATCGATCTCTCTAGTGGAGATTTCTCGACCCAGACCACAGACATCGCATCACTTCCCTCGGTTGTGGCACGGATAAAACCGCGTGAGATTGTTTTGGATAGTAAATTTGAAGAGGACGGTCAATCGCGTATCGTCTCGATCCTGCAGGACGATGGCCATATCATTACTTTTCAGCGGCCGGCGGATAACCAGTTGACTCTTAAGGATTGGATACCGATGCTCGAAGAGGTAGTTGCTGATTTCGATACTTCGGACTTCACGAACTCTGAGGTGGCTGCTGGTGGCTCCCTCTTGCATTACGTCAAACACCAGCTGTTGGACTCAAGGACAAGACTACAAGCGCCGGTTCGGCACCAACCCGACGATCATATGAGCATTGACAGGAACAGTCTTAGAGCTTTGGAAATACGAAGCACTATACGAGATGGAACCTACGAAGGAAGTCTTCTTCATTCGCTGAAAAAGACGGTTACAAATAGTGGAACCAGGCTGTTGACCCAGCGTTTGTGTAAGAGCTCTTGTCAAACAAATGATACCCCATGATACTGATTTTGAATTAGCTGCCCCTTCAATGTCTTTATCAACTATCAACGAACGCCTTGATCTTGTCGAAGAAATGATAGAGTACCCACAATTACGACAAGACGTGATAACTTTACTTAGCCACACGTTCGACTCCCTCCGACTAGTCACTAAGTTCACGGTTGGTCGTGGAGACGCGGATGATCTTCTTGAACTTTCAAGGACTATTTCGACCACAGTCACGCTTGTCAATACGCTTCAAGAGCACTCGCAAACGCGCAGTAGTATTTTTATTGGCAAAGAAAAGCAGGAAGTTGAGCAGCGTCGCCGGCAATGTGTGCCCAGATTAATCAAACGATTTGATCTAGGTACACCCCTTTCACTATCGAAACGGATCGAAGAAGCGATCGATGAAGAGGGACTGTTGGAACAGCATCGCATTGAAGATGACGAAGCGGCGGAAATGACAGACCTTGCGCAAGATGTCCTTGGAAAGGAAGCCGGAGAGGAGGACCTCAAACAAATTCCCAAAAGAATCCAGCCTAAGCCTCATGTGATTGCTCCCTCTTTCAAGCCCGCTACGGATGGTAGGGACGACATCTGGATCATGAAAAGGAGCGCGAGCAAGAATCTAGAGAAGCTGCATGATACTCTTGAATCTCTTATCGACTCGAAATCCCAGCTCGAGTTGGGCCTACGAGAAAAACTCTCGGCGTATAGTCTAGTTTTAAAATGGACCCCAAACCTTGCTCATATAGCCCATGTGAAAGGTAAAGACGTTGCTCGGGTTACTCCACACTATCCGAAGAGCCTCAGTACCAGCAAATCTACGCGATCGTTCCAAGTCCCAGAGTGGACACAATTGGGGGCCCAGATGGACGAAACACGTTACCGTATTCGTAATGAAGAGCAGAAAGTCCTTACAAGCCTTCGCGAGGATGTTGTACGAAACCTGGTCAAGCTGCGTCGCAATGCAGCCGTGCTGGACGAACTTGACGTGGCCTGCGCGTTCGCCTTACTCGCCGTCGAGAAACAATTTGTACGCCCCATCCTGAACTCGGGTACGTCGCATAACATCGTTGGCGGCCGTCACCCGGTGGTCGAAGCTGGGTTGATCGATCAGGGGCGGAAGTTCGCTGTGAATGATTGCCTACTCGGAGACAACGAGCGTATCTGGCTCATCACTGGGCCAAACATGGCGGGCAAAAGTACATACCTACGACAAAATGCCCTCATCTCCATTCTTGCACAAACAGGTTCTTTCGTACCTGCTGAGTATGCCGAGATTGGGCTAGTAGACAAAGTCTTCAGTCGAGTGGGGTCAGCAGATAATCTGTATCAGGACCAGTCAACTTTCATGGTGGAGATGCTGGAGACTGCTCAGATTCTCAAGGAAGCCACACCTCGCTCTTTCGTCATCATGGACGAAGTGGGTCGAGGCACAACACCAGAAGACGGAATCGCCGTTGGATATGCTTGCCTGCATCATCTTTATCACAAGAATCAATGCCGGACATTGTTTGCAACCCACTTCCATGCCCTCGCCGATATGACGAATGGTTTCGAAAAGTTAGCATGTTATTGCAATGATGTATCGGAGAAGGAAGACGGAACATTCTCTTATGTACACCGTCTGCGGAAAGGTGTGAATCGAGAAAGCCATGCACTCAAGGTTGCACGGGTTGCTGGGTTACCCGAAGAAGCAGTAACGATAGCTGCAATGGTTCTTGCTGAGCTCAAGTCTCATCGACCAAAAACTGAACTTGTCGAAGCTAACAAATAGGGATAGCGCTTTCCGCAAGCCACCGTTCAAAATGGACCTTTGCTTGAGGTATCATCCGAGGAAGGTACTACGCGCAACGACTATCTCCGACTTCATCTCTTGTATTTCTTCATGTATCATTATCTCCACTTATTCAGCACAGCGAACATCGTTCTCGCGAATACCCATATATTTCTGCATTCACTCCGGAACATCTTCACTTACTGCGTACTTCGTTGAGCTACCAAAACATCATCTTCTCATCGCAACTCAATATGGACGAGCGATACCAATGGCTATCCAATTCGCCCACAGGCATGCGCCTACCTACTAAAGTTCGCATCATGCGCAAAGACAGCGCTCGCTCCGAGGCAACTCAATTTGCACATGATCGACTTCACAGTCTTTTGTCATCCATGCTCATACCAATTCCTGACACCTTCGAGTCGATACAAAGTGTCGGGGTCCCTATCACAATGCAAAGCGATGGCGTTAACTTAGATGTTGACCTTCAAGTCTATTTTCTCATGGCAGAAAAAATGGCGCTTGTGCGAGTGGTCTACAGAGCCTGGCCTGTAGTCGAACAGCAAGGACACCCGGTATGCAACTTGACCTTCTCACATACAGTAATTCCAAGATCATGGGAAATCTTGAGCGATACGACAGTGTGCAATTTCGCATGGCTGTAAGTAAAGTTTGCATTCTTGTGCACACAATTATTGCAGTCTTATCATAGCATGCTGATGCTGAGCCAGGGGAAAGCAGTTTCCAATGTCAGACTTTCTAGGTCCAACTTGTCCCCTTTCCATGGTCCGTCGATATCTTGCAACAGCATTTAAATGCACTGGCGATGGCACGTGTTTGCGGCAGTGTCTTACGGTCAGCTCTGAATCGACTGAATCCTCCCATGTTTCATCCTTACACGAACAATCAAGTGGCACCGACCGCTCCGAACCCGAGTCTGCATCTTCGCCACCATCATTGAATGAGGCGGAAAGTGGCAACTTGGATGATCACGCAGATTCACGGACGGATCCTATCGTTAGCTTACCGTATGGGCCCTCCAGCTTTCTCAATGCCGAAGATGAGATTAGTCAAGCAACCACAATAACGAACAGTCGAGCTTTAAAAGTACAACTTGGTGATACTGACCCGTCGGACGTTGAAGCTGCTGTTTTGATTCGTGGATTTCCCTACGAAGCAAGAACCGTCAATGGCAGGCCACGGCACACATTGCATCCTGATATGGGAGAGTGCACCACGTCTCAGAAGTCAGGCTTGTCAAGCAAATCTAGTATATCAAAGTCAACATCAGCAGTTACCCTCGTCCCCAAGCGAAAAATAGAGCGCGATTTGCCTGGACACGATAGCGTATGGGGCGACTCATCTTCAAATTGGGACCTGCCTGCCCAGTCAAACATTGGTACCGATAATCATCCGAAAAGCGATCGAATCAATGGTAAACCAGACATTGATAGCGATATTCATGCCAAAGGCGATCAGACCAACGATAAATCGGACAGCAAGAGAGACGATCAGAGCGAGGTGCATACGAAACGTGAATATCTAGATTCTGTGATGCGTAGTCTCAACAAGGCTCCTGAGTATGCCATACCATGGTCAACAGAATGGAATTCGAAGGCTGCCCATGAATGGCTCTCGTGGGTGCTTGAGCCCCCCTTTCTCGCTGGACCAGAGATTACCTGCGATGCTACGATTGACGCGAACGTAGAAGGGGAGTTCGTTAGTCCTAGCCGTTTTTCCGAAGACATCCCAGTCGAGCAAAAGCAGTCCATATCTACGGGACGTTCATTTTCTAGGTCTGCGCCAGGTATTCCAGTCGAGGAAAACAAGGCCACGCCTTCTAGACGTTCGTCGTCTGCGTCTGCATCGAGTATGGAATATGAGCTTTCTCTGAAGGAACGAGAGGAAGATCGTCTTCATCCTTGGTATTGTACACTCGCTGAATGCCCGCGGTGTGGGCTGGCTCAGTCTGAGAGCTAAGGGACTTGATCATGAAAGCATCAGACCCTATAGATGATAATAGAGCTTCATTTCTTTTGGCATTGGTGACTTGTAGCGTCTTGCTAATGCATATTTCGCAGCACGCTGACACTACAATCTCAAGTCAATGCACACTGCAGAAATGGTACAAATCGTCTCCCAGGACCAGTTGTTCATCTCCAAGGTCTACTTTCTCATTGTCTCTGTGTCTCTCACCCTACCACGGCAAGCTGCTACGGCGTGAAGAAGCGATTGGGCGGACTGAGATATTTCCGCCTCGCGATTTAAGTGCTGGCGCCTAGAACTCCTAAGACGGTAATCTCTATATTTGTCCGACATTGCTGGTTCCGAAGTTTCGCAGGAGGCCGAGATTTCTTGCTCAATATACAGTATAGTGTCAGATTTGCATGCATAGGTGCTCAGGTTAATCTTGAAGCTCGGCATTCTCAGATCTTGCTGTATGCTAATCTTTAGATCTAGGAACGAGGAATCATCACCATAGTCAAATACTCGAATTCTGTTTCTTTATCGACATGTTCTCTTTAACAGTCTTTGGCGTTGTTGTCATCTGGCAATTTCGACTGGGCACTCGGCAAAGTTACATTTCTCCAAGGGGTTTCATATATAACGTTGCACAGGGCCACTAATATCTGCCTAGCCTAACGAGCGCAATCAGCCAAATCGTGCAGCACTCCATGCCGATCATACCATCCGCACATACAGCCGCCAAATTAAGCAATACACAGTTGCCAATACTCAGCCGCGACCAGTGATTGCCGCATGGATCAGCTCCGCTCACCAGTCATGAACCCCTCCTAAAACTCAATTTCAATGTCTACCTCAAGCTTCCAATCTACGAGGGGAGGCCTTTTCTAATATACAAAACCCAGGCCGTAGAAAAATAGAAACCAAAGAACAATCCACTGCACCGAATACGAGCGATCCCCACCCGCCTGCTTTCTGAGCATGAGCGGCCCGCTATAGTGCTTTCACACGTATGCCCTCTCATTCATCATATAGAGCATATACGAAGTCGTTGCCCTAATGCGGATATGTTGCATCCGTGAAGTACATGCTGGTTTCGCTCGAGGAAATGGAATCTGTCTCATTATAATGACACTGGTCTGCGTCTGTAGATAATCATCGATTATCAGATTCAATGAGCCGATTGTCTCGTTGTGCTGATTTTCACACTCCAAGGTTTCTGGGACAGTGAAAATCTGGTGGGTGATACTGCATATTCAAACCATAGCTACGGGATTCCCTCTACAGATCGCCAGCATGAAGATTCCCACTACCGTGGCCTACCTCCTGTGCACCCTTTCATTAGCCAATGCCGCAAGCCCGGACAGGACTGAGAAGATATTGGCAAGAACACTTGCAGTGATACCAAGTTCCTCACCCACTCTCGATCCGACATGGCGACAAAATCGAACAAGACAAGCTAAACACATTCATGACTTCTTCAAATTGTTTGGATGGCTCCGACGAAATGATACGATACGAGACCCGGACATGCCGCGAGCCATACGGAAGATTCAGCGAGTGCTCCGAGAGCCAGAGACTGGTGTCTACGATGAGCGGATGGAGACGGTGATGAGCAGGCCTCAGTGCGCGACCGTCCAGCCATATAACGAGTCCGACGCAATAGTCGATAACAGTACTATGCATAAGAGATATGTGCTCTGGGGACCAAAGTGGGATCGTACAGCGTTGACTTATCGGTTCGTTAACTACACGGCGGATCTATCACAGGACAGACAGAGGGCTATTATCAGGTATGGATGAATCTTTCTCGATGACTGGGAAGATTAGTTTGCCTTCCCTTTCCCGCTGCTATGGAACGGGGATGTAGAGATTATTGGGCTTTTAATGTTAACAACTGGGTAGTGCTGCATTCGACAAATGGATGGCCTTTCTTCCTCTGACCATTACTCAGGCCTCGACTTCGACACCTCGTGCTGACATTCATATACGATTCATATCTCTGGGCGCTGCAGAAACCGGGTATGCATATACAAACATGATCGCAGATGGTCTGACAATGTCCTCTGGCCTCATCAACGTGACTTTCAACGACGACTACAACTGGGCTGACGACCGTCTCTTCAATTTCACCGCTGTCCATGAGATAGGGCACGCGCTTGGCCTCTCCCACAGCAAGGTCGAATCTGCCATCATGTGGCCATACTACGATGGCATCATCCGCCCAATGCATCCAGACGACACCGCCGCAATCCACACACTGTATGGCTGGAAGGACCCACGATGGAACCGCATCGACACGAATTCCGGCACGAAAGACATCATCCAAGTCTCCACTCCTCTAGAAAATACAGCCTCCGCTCTAGACGGCCTCTACCAACTCCGCTCATCCGGCCAAGTCCTCTCCTACACCCCCTCATCGAACGCCTGGAAAGTCGTCGACTCCAACAAAGACACCGCCCAAATCGCCGGCGCAGGCGGCAACATCTACCAACGCCACACCGACGGCTCCGTGTACCGCTACTCAGGCACAGGCTCCAACTGGCAATACATCGGCGCTCCATCCGACAACGTCGTCGACATCGTCGCCGCCTCCGACCAAATCTACGTCCGCCGCAAAGACGGCTGGGTCGCGCGCTGGAGCGGCAACGGCCTCATCTGGACGACCATCGAAAAGGCGCGCAACAGCAAACAAATCGCCGTCACCGACCAGAAAACCATCTGGAACCTCCTCACCAACGGCGACCTCGTACGCTCGACCTGGCCCTACGGCAGCGGCTGGACCATCGTCGACGTCAATCCACTCAACACGCAGATCGTCACCGGCGGCACCGAGTTCTACAAGCTCCAATCCGACGGACTCGTTGTCTGGCTGGAGTCGGTCAAGTACTACTGGGTCGTCATCGACGATGAAGGGGATGTCGTGTCAGTGTTTGCGGTGGGCATTTATATCTATGCGAGGAGGGCGGATGGGAGCATCTGGAGGTATACTGGTACGCCGCATGTGTGGGAGCAGCTAGATGATAGGGAGACGAGTGCGAGTGTCGTGGGAGATAGGAAGGGCGCGGTTTGGGAGATGCTGGGGGGTGGGGACGTGTTTAAGTTGGTTTCCTGATTATTATATATATCTTTTGACATGTAGATGTTCGTATATAGCAACGAGTTTCATGATGCATGGAGAACGTGAAATGAAAACACATTTGTTTCTCTCCCCTTACCTCGATTTCTTATATTTTCTTTTTACTTCTTTTCGTACTCTTCCTCGAATAAAGTTCCTTGAGGATTATCTAACCTAATTTTCGTCGACGTGCTCATCCGATCAACGAGTCGCCGTTCTGACGTTGCCCGCCCACCATGCCCGCCGTGCCCGCCCACTCCGCTCCAGGCCGCTCATGCATCCCGCTCGCCACCCCGCTCGCCGCGCAACCTCACCTACAGATCCAATAGTACTCGCACTCAACCCATCTCCGCCCGAAATGGAGCGCAAAAAAAAACCACGTACGAGCGGGGAGTTAAGCCGGAGGCGGGATTTCGAGAGTTTGAGCGGGCTCGGTGATAAATGATGGAATGATGGAGATATGAAAAATACGCCGAGCACAATTGTTCGAAAGGGTGATAACAGATATGTATATAAGGTTGAAATAGTCAAGTAGATACATTTTCGCTATTAGATACTCATACAAGATATCAATTACCCAATTTCCCATCTCCCAGACGCAGAAAACTGTTTCAACTACAACACAACATCCACCATCCATTCATCAACAACAACAATGGCACACGAAAACCGTCTCACAAACCGACATGTCCTCATCTTCGGCGGCACGTCTGGCATAGGCTTCGCAACAGCCTCCATGGCGCTGTCCAACGCCGCCAACGTGACCATCTCTGGCTCCCGGCAGCCGAAAGTCGACGACAAGGTCACGCTGTTACGGAGCTTTTACCCGTCCCTTCCTTCTGACAAGGTTGCCGGCTTCGCTTTGGACTTGTCTGACACCGTGAACCTTGAGAAAGGGCTGATCGATGTATTCGAGAAAGCGACGAACGGAGGGGAGAAGAAGGTCGATCACATCGTGTTCACGGCGACGGGGGACATCAACGGGAAGCCGACAGTCGAGACTGTGGATCCCGCGACGGTGTTCGACGGGTTCAAAGTGCGGTGGCTCGCGCCGGTCATAATTGCGAAGGTCCTCGCGACGAACCCGGGCAAGTACATGCCGGTCAGTCACAAGTCGTCGGTGACTGTGACTGGCGGGACGAACACGGTGAAGCCGATGCCTGGGTGGTCGATCGCGGCGGCGTGGGGAGGGGCGACCGACGGGCTGGTGAGGGGCATGGCGGTCGATATGAAGCCGATTAGGTGGAATCAGGTTGAGCCTGGTGCGGTGCAGACGGAGTTGCTCCAGGGGTATTTGGAGATGTTGGGGCCGGATGGATTAGAGAAGATGAAGAGGGAGGGGGGTGTTACGGGGGAATTGGGGCAGCCGGAGGATCTGGCGGAGGCGTATGGGTGGTTGATGAGGGATTGGTTTGTTACGGGGAAGACCGCGAGTTCGGATGGTGGTCGACTTCTGGTGTGATAGGATGTAGTGGGTGGTATTAGAGGCTGTGGTGTAGTCAACTGTAATTCCAATTAATTCGTTTCCGTGCTGATTATTCTTTCGTGTCATCGTCAGCAGATACGTATCAATATAGTAATCAAGAAGAATCATCAAAGATCAGTTAATTACGCCTTTTCCTCACTCTTCGGTTCGTAAGTACAAGCAGCACGCACGCAAGAGCCACAGTTTCCGCATACATTCGAATGGATTGGTATTCATTGATGTCTATGTGGCGCCGTCGAATCCTGTCGAGCGATCACCTGCCAATGCCACTGATCATCTCCCGCTGCGTTGCTCGGTCCCGATTCGTCTGACTGAGCGGTGCGATGCCTATAAATTCCGTCAGCGAGAACCTCCGACCGCGCTTCTTTTTTATTTCCATACTTCTCAGGTCTCCTACGACATCCTTGGCCTTGCCGAAGTAGACTTCCTGAAGCAGGTTGCGCATCTTGAGCTCCATGTCTTCCACCATCTTGCCGATGTTGGCGACATGGGAGCTGTCGTCTTCAACAGCCATGTCGGCTTCGACTTGACGGACCATGTTTCCAGAAAGATCAAGTCCCCCTAGTGCTTCCGAGTCGGTGCCGAGGGAAAGAATGACGGTGGAGGTGAGCTTGTAATGTGCGGTACGAGCACGATCTTGGGCGTCAAAGACGTGGATACTGTCCCAGCTGCCGGAGCTCTTAGGGGACGGAGAAACGGCTGCAAATCATCAGCGAATGTGAGGATAGTAGAGCGGTTTTCGTACATTTCTTGAGCAGCACGCATCCTGCAAAACCATCATCCATATCCCAGAGGTACACACTTGCAATGCCACCCTCAAAGTACCTGGGGGCGGTCAGCTATGTTTCTTAGGATGTGATCCGCTCGTGAAGCTCTATTCCATCCAGATATAAAACTCACAGCTCCCTGTAAACATCAAAAGCCTCATTAGCCCTGATTTCCATCTTCCTTATGCGGTCACTTGGAGTAACACCCTCGCCGTCGTCCAGCGGCGGCTCAAAGTCGTTGCTCCATGGACTCCTCCAGCTGTCACCGTCACGGTTGTAGTCGCAGCAAAGGAAGTCACGCTTTGTCTTCGAGCATTTCTTGACCGAAAGTGGGATGTCGACGGATTCTAGGAGGTCTTCGGTGAGGTCGGGGTTTAGGCTGATGAGGTGGTCGACGTTGGCCTTGACGTCCTTCGGGTTGAGGCGTCGGAGAAGGTCGCTGGAGAATGGCGGTCAGCTGCGGTCAAGATGGAATATCATGAGGGAATTTGGGGTATCTTACAGTGCGCTGTCTATAGGGTCGGCCATTGCTCCAATTGTGCTGTGGTCTAGGAAGTGGAAGAGGCGTGGGTCTTTGATGATGCCGAGTGCTGGAGAAGCTGCATGACCATGCCCCTCCAGCATATGCGCTTGGGCCACCTCTCTGCCAACGTCAATGCCAACCATGGCCCAAGTAGGATAATACAAATTGATCGTTCGATTACCGTTGCAATGATTTTTGTTCAATTTGATGGATGAGCTGTGTGATGTTTTCATGTGGAAAGAGCACATAGATGCTGTGGAAAAATCTGTTCATCTTACAATTTCACTCACGTTCCTTCCTCTCTGTATTGTGTTTGTTTATCTATAGTGAGTGAGCATTGCCACCTTCACTGAGCACGATCAAGGCAGCAGATTGTGTTTGGAATGATATAGAAGACATTACATCGACTTGAGATATTCAGAAATAGCATAATGAGAGCATAGAAATATAATTAAATAACTTATCAATATCTAATTCGATAGTTACTTGCTTGAGGTATGAATCACATTCACCTGGCTTAGACACATTCCATGCAAGCGTTTGACCAATCAGAGCACGAGAAAGAACCTCCGAGAAGCCGCCGCCACCGTCATCTTTCACGTTTCGAACAATAACAATCCAATCCAATCCAATTATATCATCATCGTTCTACTCCTAATCTTGCTCTTTCTCCTCTTGTTACAGCTGATTATCTTGATGACTTCAACATGCAGACCTTAACAGCTCCCGCATCTGTCGCTAAGCGAAAACAAGCTTGCTCAAGCTGTAGGCATCGAAAGAAAAGATGCGACGTAAGTCCTGCCATCAAGATTGACTCAATCACCAGCGCCCTCCCTTTATTCAAACTGACACCGCTGAAAGGGCATTCGACCATCTTGCTCATTATGTAGGAAATGGGGCATCCAATGCGAGTATGGTGCACCTCCACCAAATAGGCCTGAGGAACCGTCTATGTACTCTTTCCCCGGACCACTCTTTCCAGCTGCCCCCAATTTTCCAATGGGCCTAGAAGGAATAAGTGATATGAGTGCACTACCACCACTCGAAACCAACGATGAGATAGCAATAGATCCGGCACTGCTGAACGAGCAGCCTTTTGGCTGTCCGACCCCTCCCGTATCAGATTTGGTCCCTCCTCCGGTTGACATAGGATTCAACCCAGAGGAAGATCTATTACCTCACACAAGATTACCACCAGATAAGATATTACTTGAACTAGTCCAACTCTTCATTGAGAACGCCTACCACTACTATCCTTGCTTCCATAAGCAAACCCTTTTGGAGGAGGTCCAGAGTCGAAAACTCCAAACAGAATGTCCGCTTGTCCTTTTCGCCATCTGCACAATTGCTGCACGATATCATTACGATTTCAACATTCGCGCTCGGCAAGCTGAGTGGTACGACCTTGCGAAGCAATTGTACGAGGAGTCCACGAGATACCCGGATTATCCAGTTCGTCTGCTCCAAGCTGCAATATGTGTTATGAGTCACGCCAATAACTCTGGGGACTTTTCTACGGCGTGGCTAATCCTGGGAAAAGCATGGCGACAAATATGTGCGCTCGGATTCAACCGTTTGGATTCGACCGATGACACGGTATATGGGCTCCCGCAAAAGAGGCCACATTCTGATCTAGGCAAAGAGGAATTGAGGCGAACGCTTTGGCTACTCTTTGTCGTGGATCGAAATTTCACCTGGCCAGTAGGATGGCCGCATGCCATGGACGAGCGGCATATCATGGTCAATATACCAATTGCGGAACAGCTTTTCCAAAGTTTAACTGCTGGTGTAAGTTAATAAATCGTCGACTGCGCCCACCTTGTCCAATCGTGATAGCAAAGTCCTTCGTATCTTACACACTGCCGAAAAGCAAGACTAATTCCAGCAGAGCACTCTCGATCCGACGATGACTGTACCGTTCTCGAGACGCTTGAATACCCTCATCCTTTCCCGGCCCAAGCCAGCAGAACCGATCAATGTCTTCCATCATCTTGTTATCGCCCATGTGTTGCTAGGACGCATCACGGAAACGATGCATTCGGTCCACGCCACCCCGAACTCGCAAGAGTTCGCAGAAGAATGCGAGGAGCTCGACTCCTATCTCGGTAAACTGTGGCTGAGTGTACCACGAGCCGCGACATCGCTTTTGGATGTACAGACAGAAGATCAAAGCCAGTCGATCTGGCTCTCGTTGACACTGAACCTAATGGCTATAATTTTGCATTTCCGTTCCGCCAGAGGTGCAGACGAGGAAGTTGCAACCGATCAATTTGCTCGTGCATTGCTGGCAGCGAAGAACATTGTGAAAACGATCAAAGACGCCTCGAAGATATCCATGGATCTTGTAGTCTCACCACATTTGGGTTCTACGCTATACCTCGCCGCATGCGTCTATATCATACAGTGGCGAATGACCGGAGATGAAAGCCTCAAAGATGATATAGACCTCTTGGATGTTGTTTTTGATCGATACAATGAAACGTTCGTTTTCACGGGACACAAGTTCAAGATTGCTCTCGAGCACGACGTTCAGCGAAGTGTGGAGGATATAGAAAAGTTGAAGGCAGCGGGATTGCGGGGATTGTTGGCAGATTGTAGCAAATGGGGCTATGTACAGGATGTCGTCGCTTCGAAAGGTATATCGGTCAACATTACGTAGCGTGATGTCGCCCTGGAAACTGTAACACCACTTGTGTTTGGGTGCATGTAATAATACTAAGCTGGGATGTCCATTGGAGGACGTTGGATGTCTCGCGGCGATATGTCTTCGCGACGAGCCGGCACATCGGCTAGAGTCAACATAGAAAAATGAAAAAGCCACCCAAAATATGCCCCAACAATTTGGCATTGACTATCTCTCATTGACTATGTGAATAGCTTTCCTAATTTATCTTACTCAGCCAGTAGCAGTACAGTTAGGTAACCGACGCATAAACTGCCGTGCCGTGCGTCAAGAACACAGTGAGCCCGCTTCATCGTCCCATAGTCGCCTCGTCAACGATCACCAATTTACTCAGGCTTAACTTCACTTCACTTCACTTCATCTTACTCGCATCTACCTGTCAAGAGAGGCAGCGCTCGCACAATGAGCAGCAGCACACTGCAATTTCCGAGGGCGCTGCTCTGAGGTGAGAGTGAAATCGCGAGCGGCATCAGACCGCACAATTTTCGCTTTCACCTTCATTCGCAATCTGCTCTCGCACTCTCACCGTCTCCCCAGCCTCCTATATATCTTTGACTTCCGCCTGCTATCCTCCATCTCTTTTCTCTCAACATTGATCTCACTCACACCACGCTCCTAACGCCTATTCTTGATCATCAACTCTTTCGCATCTACAATCTTCTTAACCATCTTCTTCTCTTCTCATCTCTTTCTTCCAACCCCATCTAACTCATCATCAACTTCAACTTCAACATGTCTGACAAAGGATCCAACACTGCCGCCGAGGGCGCCAAACCTGTCTCTGGCCTCTTCACCGAGCGCGAACTTGAGCTTCTCAGCTTCGCCATGCAGTGCCTCAAGTCGGGTCCACCCGAGGTAAATAAACACATCCTCCAACACCTTCAGGCTCTTCAGTGACCTAACATACTACACAGGTCGACTACAAGAAGCTCGCTCAGATGGCCGGCATGACCAATGACCGCTCCGCGTCCAACGCCTGGGGCAAGATCAAGGTCAAGCTCATGTCTGGCGGCACTCCAGGCTCTGCTCCGGCCACTCCCAAGCGCGGCGGCGCAAAGAAGCCGGCTGCTACTCCCAAGGGCAAGACCGAGAATGGCGACAATGAGGCAGAGACCAACGGCGGAGATGGTTCTCCCGCACCCAAGAAGACTCCTCGCAAGCGCGCTGCTAAGAAGCAGGAGGTTGATGGTGAGCCTTCATCTCCCAAGAAGAAGGGTGGCCGCGGTGCCAAGGTCAAGCAGGAATCCCAGGAGGAGGCTACCGGTAAGTCTTCTAGTGTTTCTCTTTCACTTTGCGGTGTGTGCTAATACCTCTCGACAGAGAAAACCGAGGCCAAAGTCAAGGCTGAGGAGCAGTCTGACGAGCATGAGTCTGGTCCCGAGACCCAGGACACCACCAACGGCGACGACGAGTCGAACACCGAAGAGGTCGTCTGAGTCTCCGACCAACAACCGCGTGCTTGATAGCATTCTTCTACCTGCTACACACGTTTACCGCCCTTCACCTTCGGGAGTTTTCTTCAATTGGCGCATTCAGGATTGGTGGGTGGGTGACTGATCGATATGGCATATTGGAGTGACGGTTCTCCTGGTTTCTTTTCGATCAAAAGGCTTCATGGAAAAGCTACAGAATTTGGTACCGGAATAGCATCTCTTTCGCTGTCTACCGGACCGCATTACAATTCGGATTAGGTTATCCTGGTACATAGGTGGTGGTATCACTTTGGCTTCTGTCATTGATCTTGCCTAGTATCCGAATAAAATACAACGATTTACCTCTAAAACGTTTGAATTCTTACTCATGTTCGCTTCCAGACTCCAAATGTAGCATTGTAAATCAGAGCAAGATGTCGCAATAAGCCTTGGTGGTAGCTTCATGTTTCTTGACGCCTCCAGCCTCGCCCCATCGACGCTATGCAGCGCTTGCGGGCCGTTGCTCTCTTATCACAACATTGTCTCCACATGGGCGTCGATGAAGTCGAATTAATGCACTGCGTCATAATTGAGCATACCAAGAATTATACAAGACATTTAGCTCACTCCAAAGGTGAGACGGGCTGATGTTGAATTACACTTGCTAACAAAGACGGACATGGCTTGATAGATATGGCCTGTGCAGATAATCACATCAACCTCATCGCATCCACGCTTCCGCAACAACCATCAATCCTCACCACCGCTGTATCAATTCGATTCGCCCGGTCTCAATCTCCTACACTCCGCCGATCCAGTAGCACAATGTAGAAAAGAAATTATGCAGAAGATCTAGCCCTCCACCATTAGCCTCGATCCCATCCATCGGACCAAAAGCCTCGTCAAGAACGGTTTCCCGCCCCGCTAGCAAAGAGACGGGGGCATGCAGATCGGCAATCACGACATTCACCCCCGCGATGCCGAATATCACATCCCATCTGCTACCAGCGACTACCATTCACCTCTACTACCAGTTCATTCTGTAGCTCCCGCTCCCACGCTTAGACAGTAATCCCCAAAATGTCATCAGAATTCCCCTACGATCACCAATGATAAATGGTCCGCCATGAATTAGCTCATCGCATGGGGCAGGTTCGCGTCCGCCGCCATGTCCCAAAAACCCCAGTTACATGAGCGCCCACAACCCAATCAAGACTTCATTACCCCATGAAGCTTTGTCTCCGTGGCGTCTTGTTCAAGGACTCGCTTGCGTGATGACAGTCTTGTGGGTTGCCATTGCATCATGCAGGAGTCTGTCTGTGACGGCCGGCCAATGTCGCCGTTTTATTAAAGAGCTGCAGCGTGCTGTTCTCGTTGCTAGACCTGGATACTGGGACAGGGACAACGGTTTTCCTTCCTTCTGCCTGTACTTTTGGGATTGCAATTGAAAGTTGAATCATTCATCGATCACATCCTACTGGCGTTCCAACAACATGGCGACCGAGCAAGAGAAGCGTGAGCTCGACGCTACCAAAGGCGAGGGCCCGCCTGCGTCTAATACATCTGATTCCGAGCTCGAGGCTGAGAGCGGTGCCGTCAATGAGAAGAAGTTGCTGCGTGCATTGGACCTGAGATTGCTTCCCGCGGTATCGGTTCTCTACTTGTTATCTTTCCTCGACCGTAGCAATGGTATGCCAATCAACTACCCAGCACTATCTATCTTTTCTCCTCCGTCATGGTGCTGTTTGACGTCATGTGACTAACATAACAACCAACAGTCGCCAACGCGCGTATTGAGGGCCTCACCACCGATCTTGGAATGACAGGAAACCAGTACCTAACAGGTCTGACGTTGTACTTCATCGGCTACGTGCTCTTCGAAATACCATGCAACATCATTCTCAAGAGGACCACGCCCAAATTCTGGCTGCCAACTTTGACGCTCGCATGGGGGATCGTGGCTACGCTTATGGGTGTTACCCAGAATCTTGCTGGGTTCTTCGTCGTGCGCTTCTTGTAAGTTGCCGTGGCTGCTGGAGACGAATTGACTTTCTCGATGCTGATTGGGATGTAGTTTGGGTGTGACAGAGTCCGGCCTTTTCCCAGGTGTCGTGTACTATCTTTCCATGTGGTATAAGAGAGATGAGCGACAGTACCGCATTTCTCTGTTCTTCAGCTGCGCTTCGCTTGCGGGCGCATTTGGTGGTATCCTGGCTTGGGGTATTGCGCATATGAAGGGTGTTGGTGGGTATGCGGGATGGCGATGGATCTTCATTCTCGTGAGTTCGCTTTGAGTTTATATCTGTTCATCAATCTTACAATGATATAGGAAGGTATTCTTACCTGCGTCATTGCGGTCATTGCCTACTGGTTCATCTCCAACTATCCCGAGAACGTCAGCTGGTTGTCCAAGACGGAGCGTGCGTTCATCCAGGCTCGTCTGAAGGCTGATAGCGATGCAACGAACCAGGAGGCTTTCAGGTGGGCCGATGTATGGGAATCTTGCAAAGATATCAAGGTTTGGTTATACGGCCTTGGATTCCACACCATGAGTCTTCCCTTGTATACTCTGTCTCTTTTCATGGTAAGTCTCTTCCTGTAGACTTAATCAACGCGTTATGCTCACAACCTGCACAGCCAACAATCATTAAAGACATGGGCTACACCTCCGCGCATTCCCAACTCCTCACCATCCCCCCCTACGCCGTCGCCACCATCTTCACCGTCTTCTGGGCCATCCTCTCCGAGAAATACAAAAAGCGCGCCCTCTTCATCGTCATCACCTCCTCCTTCGCCATAATCGGCTACATCATCCTCCTCTCCAACCCCAACCCCAAACAGAAACCCGGCGTCTCCTACCTCGGCACCTTCTTCGCCGCCGTCGGCATCTACCCCTCCGTCGCCCTCGTCCTCTCCTGGCCCGCCATCAACGTCTCCGGGCAAACCAAGCGCGCAACCGCAAACGCTATGCAGATCTCCATCGGCAACCTCGGCGCCGTGCTGGGTACCCAGCTCTACCGCCCCAAGACCGCGCCGCGGTACCTCCTAGGTCACTCCTTCGCGCTCGGGTACCTCGTCATGAATATCGTCGTCGTGAGCACGCTTTGGGTCATCCTCAACAAGGAGAATAGACAGAAACAAGAGTATCTCGCCACGCACCCCGAGACGAATGGGTTCCATGACTCCGATGAGGATCTGAGGCAGGGTGATAGACATCCGAGGTGGCATTTCAACGCTTAGGGGGCGTACTGCTTGCTTGCTTTACTTACAAGACGCATCATTAAGAACGTAGGGGGTTTGTTGCTGATACACGAGATACCAAGACTGCTCAAGAATAGCTAATCACTATATGATAATAGTTCAATATTATTTCCATCTATCAAAGCTGATTTGCCCAGTGCCAACCTGCCCTGCATCTTTAAACGTATTTTTTTTGGAAAGCTCACATGCTTGGGAAAAGTATAACGTGTTTCTTCGTTTCATTTATCCACGTGCAGGGATTCCCCGCCATGTTGATTAAACCCCAGATAATTTCCCCATCGCTTGGGGAGCCAAGCGAGCGTTACTGTAATATGGAAGCTGTGTCGAATGTTCCGATACATGTGAGGGGACAGGGTGTGTTGGGGAAATGATATATCTGTCTTGTGGGAGAAACGGTCTTTTGGCAACTTCTGATAATTTATAGTCGGATGTTTGCATTGCGTACTTGAGCCTGCGAAGCTGGTCTTGGATTGTAATGACTTGTGATTCACTGACTGCCCAAGTCACCGTCTTATCCTTTTGATATACCTGCCCATTCAGCCTCAGGTTCTGCGAGCTACGATCTTCACGACTGCCAAAGAGATGGACGTAAAAGATGAAGTTCGACCACGGGATCCAAACACGATCAACGTAGGCTCTTATTCATAAACGTTCACACCCAAACTGTATCGATCTAACATCATCAGCAGAAGAACCCACGATCCCATTATAGACTTCCCATCTCTTCTGTAGCTCTTCTAGTGACAGTATCAGCAGTTCTTGGGACAGGAGTCCTCAACCAATTCCTCCCCGTGCAATTTCCACCCATCTTCAATACCTGGAATGATATCTCATCCACCAACACCAACTCATCAACATCCCACGACAACCTCCTCAACGACACCACCCCCTTCACCACCTTCACCCCCCTCACAACCTGCACCCCAAACCACACCTACACCACCACCATAATCTCAACCTCCCCCCTCGTAATCTACATAACCTCCTTCCTAACCCCCCTCGAATCCACCTCCCTCATCCACCTCGGCGCCTCCCTCTTCACCCCCTCCCACATCTCCACTCCCTCCGGCAATATCCCCGTCCACGGCCGCACCTCCACCTCCGCCGGCCTCCCTCTCACCTCGCCCCTAGTAACCTGCCTCCTCTCCCGCGCCCGCACCTTCATGGGCCCTCTCCTCCCCCCCTCCTCCCCCTTCTCAACCCCCCAACTCGTCCGCTACCACCCCACCCAGAAATTCGACCTCCACACCGACCACTGGCCCACCCACCAAGTCCTCCGCGCCCCAGGCGACCCCAACTCCGGCCGCCTGTACAATCGCCCCGCATCCTTCTTCGTGTTCCTCCGCGCGGACGCCCTCGAGGGCGGCGAGACGTGGTTCCCCGACGTGCGTCCTCTCACCAATGCCTCCGCGTTGCGGGAGGTGTATGGGGATACGGTGGTGCCGGGGGAGGATGTGGGCGTCGAGGGGGGCGTGGCGTTTAAGCCGGTTGTGGGGAATGCGGTGTTTTGGGTTAATGTTGATGGGGAGGGGGTTGGGGATGAGAGGGTTAGGCATGCGGGGTTGCCGGTGAGGAGGGGGGAGAAGATTGGATTGAATATTTGGCCGAGGAGGTGGTTTGGGTGGGAGGATGGGGAGGATGGGGAGGGGGGTAGGGGGAAGGAGAGGAAGAGGGGGGTTTTGGTTTGATGAGTTTGATTGTGTGTATGGAGAGAAGGGTTGTATGGGGTTCTCAGGTACTGGTTTGGTCGAGAGTGAAGGTTGGTTTTGTATCAGCGAAATCCTCTGGTGTTTGACGTCTTGCTTTTTAGTATCTGTCATAGCCTAAGAGAATCTAGAAACCTTGTCTCGGATTCCCGTTCCATATTTCACGGTAGCAATGACGTCGTTCTTCTAACTCGATGAAAGAATCCAGTCAATTTAAGGAGGTTTGCATGGAAAAGGGCTTTTCCTGTATTGCTATATTACAGAGGTGACAGACAGGTGTAGGACAAGATAGTAAAAACAAAAGTTAAAACAGTAGAAGCTGTTCATCTCTGGGGATTAAGATCTCTCGTATGGCTACTATCTTTTGAGAATTCTTCTACGCATCACAGTGAACATGAATTTGCCTTTGGGATGGTTGACATACAACTTCCAATGAACAGTCACTTCTATGTTGTATCCTAATTAAAGGATCAAAGATTAAAGGTTGTATTTGTATATATATAGAGGGTAATGTAATCGAAGTTCTGACCATGGCTGAAAAGCATACATCTCTATAGGTCATGCAGTTGAAGGCTGGTCCTGAAACCAGTTCCTACCAAAACAAACATCTTACATAGCTCGCCACAATGCCGTATTAGGGGTCCGTGGAAGATTTCCCATAACACAGGTTAAAGACAAATACCAAAGGCTAAAAAGAAACGACCCTCAGTCCTTCTTCATCGCCAACATACCAGTCTTCGGGTGGTGGATGACGAAGATGTGCCAGACGAACAGGCAGGGAAATCTTAATATTCAGCCAAAGGGAAACTGTGCCAAACATCATACCAGTCTTTTCTTCCCTTGGACTCTGGCCATAGTTCTTCCCAAACTGCCATGATCATTATTCTCTTTATTTGTCCTGATCCTGATGACTTCTCCCATCTGGACATAATTTCCTTGAAATTTCTATCCGATCTAAACGTACCTCTGTACCTAAACTGACCTAGGCACAATGGGCGCGAGAGCTCTTCGCAGTGGAGTTCCCCACACTCCAGACCCACCCGACGGCGTTCACATTGCCAGCGCCGAGACATATAAGCACAAATCTTTTCTGTAACGGCCAGCTTGGTAAACAGTGGGGCGCTTTGGATCTTTAGACGCTGAAGGGATGGGTTTAGTCCTTCTAGCTCTATACGATGCTTTTCGAAAATATATCGAAAGATCGCCTGAACGAGGGTTTGGTCGACTGCACCATCGATGAGCTCGCGACGTGTCCGATTGGTATTGATTTCATTGGGATTGTCTCTAAAGACATCATTCATAAGTTTTAGGGAGAGAGATTCCAGTCTCCGGAATCGACCCAGGGCTTTGTATAAGGCAACTTCCTTTACATCCCCGTTTTTTCGCAAGAGTGTAAGACTGAGGTGACGGAGATTAGGGCAACTTCCGTGAATTTCCTCGATTTCTCTAGTCATGCAAATGAGATATTCTACCTCCAGAGTTTTCAAAGATTGTCCGTGTTGCTTTCGGATGGCTTGTATGATATGATCGTTGACTGCCTCAAGTTTTAGTACAGTGAGTGGCGGCATGGCCACCAAAAACCGCATTATGAGTGCTCTTTCATGGGCCCGGAACGAGATCATGTTCACGACCACGGCTGCGAGGTTGCTCGAATCATAGTTTACCAACTCGTCGGACAACATCTTCAAAGCGTGCTTTGCGACACTGCTCCGAGAGTCGAGAGATCGACGTCTCTCGAGTTCTTTGAATAAATCCTGATCCAAGACGCATATCCACCGCTTCAAAGGTCCTGTGTTTTCGTAGGACTGTCCCTGGGGTTCGGCCTTAAATGGGTCGTGCCAAGTATACTTTGTCCGTGGATAATCCAGTCCCTCTCCCGCAATTGGCAGATCTTGTGGCCATAAACAGTGAGATCGTAAATTAGGAGCCAGTCCCCTCGCCATGGCGATTTTAATCTTATCATTGTAATCGAGATGTGCATAGCGGTTGGGATGTGTGGAATAGTCGAGACGTGGATGATGGACTGAAATGGAGGGACCCGATATGCTGACCAGGTTAGGCGACGAGATCAGAGCATATTCATCGGGATCAACTTCGCCATATTCCGTAGTCCCCTGATAGACGCTGCGTATACTAAAGGTGAGAACATGCAAAGTAACATTGACACATTCTGTGTGGAGAACATCTAACAAGCATCGTGGAACCTGATCAAAAGATACCCAAACTAGCTCTTTCAGTACTGGTAGCGTCCGTATAAATGCTGCAAATTTTCTCCATCTCAGGTTGGCTTGTCGCTTGTTCTTCTTCCATGAGAGATCTACGCCAACGAAAGATGTTTCTTGGTTTGGCCTTGTGAAAGGGTCTTCGTCATTGGTGAGTTCCTTCAGTCTTCTTTTCAAACAGGGATCCTTGGTTCACAATCGGGTTGAATCCGTGTACCTTCCTACCATGCTCCCAAAGACTTTCGCTCGACGAACATATCGCACACGGTCTTTTATCGAAAGCGTCTTTTGGATTTGTTCGATCAGGGATGCTGCATGCTCTTCGCCTTTCACGTCGAGCACAAGCCGTTCGAATCGTTCGCGTTCTGCTATTTCGCAACAGTGCTTACTGGCCAATGCAAATGCCAGAAGACTGGATCGCTTCTTATCTCCTGCACCAAGATATTCGCAGATCTGCTCGAGTGGGAGTAGTGGCAGGCGTTCCAATGGCGACAAAGTTGGTGGTGGATGGTGATTGTTGTCCATGGTTGTTGGATCCATTGAACAGTAGTCGAGACGTTTGTTGCAATAGATGTAGTGGAGAAGGAAGTCGAATTTCTTTTCTTCATATAGAACTGTTGATAAGAATCATTGTGAGACCTGATTAATCAGTTTACTGTGCTGCTGCAAGTGCCAGCCTCACATCTTTGGCTTGCTCCGTGCGCAATGAGAAATGAATCATGTGGCACCGATTCACCATAATTGTAGATGCCTAATGACAGCATCCAAGCACAGAGCTTCAAGTGAACTTCCTTCTTATCTTGCAGTCAATGCACCAGCGAGGTGCCTCAATCAATCACTCAACGTTTTGATAGGCGGTTTGAGTGAAAAGTGTCACGGCTTGGAAGGGTCTCAGCATACTTCGGACAACCGGAAACAGTCAACTCATTGGTGCTTTTAGCTCCAGCTTAATTCACCTCTAGGACATTTAGAATTGTATAATCTGTTCCCCCACGCTGCACTTACTCTTAAGGCCACAAGGCTGAAGCCTGGAAAGCAGGACGAAACCTGCCTTGAAACCTAAAATACATCTACGGACGCTATGGATCGTTGTTGAGCATAATGTAAACAACCGAAAGAGGCAGCTGGTTTGGCAGTTCCGACGCAATCATTTGCTTGGTTCCTTTTACGTGGTCGAAATATGTACACTGAACAAACTCTAATGGTCTTTATCTTTGCCGAGTTGGGGGCCACTTTACACAGCAAAGTGAATGTATCGGAGGATGTAGGCTTGTCGTTTTCAGCTCTATGTCACTTGCGCCCCTGATTGACCTCTAAACGCGACTCGTTCGATCGCAGCATCGCTTAAATACATTCTGGAAAGCGAATTGCATGCTTTTTTAGCAGTTCATGGTAGCAATTCGCACGTGGGTTAGCTGTGGGGGCCGGGTTGCGAGCGTTTGATACGTCCGCAAGCTGCCCCTGGGGCGTATGCGTAACACTTCTTCTTGATCGGTCTGTTTGGCTGCGCTAGTGTTCGCTTGGTCGACGAAACGCCATTATGCAGTCTCAAGGTAGAACATACTGGCGGCTATACCTACAAATTGGGATGAGAGGCCGAGCTCTACTAATTCGGAATATCTACAGGCGCCTATAGACGAGAATATAATCTGCTATACAGAATCATCATTATCATATTGTTTGATTCTACAGCTTTCAACAAATTCGGCAATATCAAACTTTGTATGACACTTGACAAACAGTTTGATCAGTGTCTTCTATATTATCTTTGCATCACCGAATTCGTCACATTTTAACAACTTACAACTACTTCTCTGGTTATATCAGCCACTGATCCATACTTTCCCCACATCACCAAGCTCCCTATAACCAACATGATCTTCCAGTCCTTACGAGGCAAATCCCCAGGCCTCAAACCAAGCTCCAAACGATTCTCCTGCCCCTGCTGCGGCACACTATCCTACTATTCCGATCTCAAAGATCCACTCACAGATGACCTCAACGACCGCGACGTACCCGAGCTCGACTATTCCGACAATGCCGACCCAGATTCCGACGACGTCTCGGACGACTCAGACTTAGAATACCTCGTCGACCCAATCGCCGAGCGCCCGCTCCCCAGAATCAAGATCTACCCGCCCCCGTCGTCACACGGCAGAACTAGGACGCATTCTCGTACGTCGTCCACTCAGAGTCATGACAGCATGTCGTTCAAGCCCACCACCGACGACGACGACGTCGTCGTGGGCATCAAACACGACCTCAAGCCCGCACTGAGATCCCGCAAAAGCCACAAGCACCACCACCATCACCACAAGCACCAACCCAATCACCACGACCACAACAATCCCAAAACCAAAACCACCTCAACCTCCAACTACAAATACACACACCACTCCCCCTCACCCCCCAAAATGGCCCGCAACAACGAACCCCCCACCCCCCTCCCGCACTTCCGCAAAGGCACCGCCATCTACAAAGACAGTCTCAGCGGCCGCAAACCCGCCACGGAGCGACGCTCCAAGTCCCCCGACTCCATCGCAGACATCGGGCCTCCCTCCGCGGAAGACCGCCTCATGAGCCGCACTCTCGACGCGCTGTGGGATCGGTTCGCGAGGGAGTATGCTCCGCAATGCAAGGACTTCGTGGGGCGTCGGCCTCGAGATGTGGTGGGGAGGGCGCTAAAGGAGAGGACGAGGTTGACGGAGGAGTTGACGCAGATTCTTTGCCTGGTTCCGACGGATGCTATTGCGGATGCTGAGGTGAGGGACCGGCGGAAGCGGTTGATCAATTTGATTCAGGGGTGGTTGGATATTGTGGCGGAGGTTAAGTGATGATGGTGATGAGAGATTGGGTTATACGAACCCAATTGATTTGTTACGTTGATGCAACTAAGTGTGGTTCTCTAACTAGCTGGACTGGTGTGAGAAAGATGTTGTCGAAAGGTTATCAAAAGTTGATGTTGTTCCGTTATTGGACTTTGTCAAATTTCTTATCACACACCATTTCCTTAGCACAGCAACACTGCCACTCAGATCTCTTTTATTGTTTCCCGTTCTGTCAACTCAGTTATAATTCGATTGAATAGGGAAAGAAATATACACAGTCCCTCTACCTAGCAATAATGTATAATAACTTTAACATAACAAAGCCTCTATACTTCAGTAATTAATCGTCTTAAAACCCTCACCATCTCCAAATCCCAAACACTTAAACCAAATGGAATCTCAAAACCCAACACAATCCTCTCACATGCCCCCGCCTCCAGCGCAACCAAACAAATACCTCAGTGGGCGACTAATTCAGCCAATGGAAAATGAGAAATGTGTGAGGTCAACTCGGGGTAGGTAGGGCGCGGTAGAGTCGGGTAAGCGTTGCTCCTCGTACTACATTGGCATCTCCTTCAATCATTCAATCATACCGAATCACCAAATGACAATGCAACGATAATGGCACGTCCGAAAGTCTGGCGGCACGAATCCTTCGTATGATTTGCACTCTTCTATATACCGAAAACACACATACATACATGTATTTGTGACACACCAGGACATCGATGGCCCCCAAAAGTCTAAAGCCCAATCCCCTTTGCCCGTTCGCGCACCCGGAGGAACAGCTTTCATGTCTCCGAAATTTTTTCTCAATCTCTCCCTCAAAACAAATCTGCTCTGCATGCTATGAACTCCCGGAAAGTGCAATGGAAATACCAGTTAAAACAGACCGCTTTGCTATGAAGAGGGAAAACGGGAAATCCCTTATATGCAGAAGAACGGAAATGATACAGTGAATATGAGTCGTGATGATGATGGTTCTTGTGCAGTCATCCATTTCGTCGTGATCGTTGTTGTCGCCTTTATGCGAAAGTTGTGGTTCTCCAATGAAGAATTTACATAGAATCGAATCGGAAAGCTTCTCTTTCATCTTACGTTGACTGCCTCTGCTCGCTTCACACAAAAGCAACGTCGACCGCCATCTTCAACGGTCCAATCCTCACTCAATGATTTCGGCCACGCTCTATCTTCTGTCACATTGATGGAATCTAACCCCGGCGTTGATGGTGGGCAAAACGCGCCGCCGCCTGGGCTTGGTCAAAGCTGGCACCGTACGGCTGTGCCTGCGGTTGTTGTTGCTGCATCATATGTTGCTGTTGTGGAAAGTACTGCCCTTGCATTGGCTGTGGACTAGGAGTTCCAAAACCCTGCTGCATGGCAGGAGACATGGAAGGCTGTGGAAAGTAGCCCTGTTGAGGCTGCTGATACATCTGCTGCATCTGGCTAGGGCTTGAATACGCAAAGGCTTGCTGGTATCCCTGGGGCGCTGCCATCATAGGAGGAGTGCCCATTACAGAGGGAGAGCCTCCGCCCATGACGGAAGGGGCGCCCATCATGGTTGGAGCGCCCATCATCGACGGAGCACCCATGACGGAAGGAGCATATTGGCTCTGCGCCATTGCCATTTGTTGGTTCGTCTGCTGTTGGTTCATGTGCTGCATTTCCATCATTTGACGCTGCTGAGCTGCCATCATTCGTCGATCAATTTCGGTTTGCATGGCGACTGAATTACGGTTTGCCTTGGTCTTTGCCTTTTCTTTCTCACGCTTATCGATATATGCAGTCAGGCCCGCGGATGATGGCTTCGGGGGTTCTTTCACATTGTGCTTCAGGTCAATAAGGGGGGTTCCGGTCATTCGGGCAACTTGCTCCTGTTCACGTGCAGATAGGGAGGTCGGCCGTTGATCTAACAAATGGGTTGCGCCACGTGAATTGGGACGGCTCAACGGGCGGCTTGGAGGACGGGCAGGCATCGCTTCTTGAAGCTGCGGCATATGGGACCAATCACCGGAGTGGTTCCGGGTGAGTAGCGTGGGCGTATGCGACCTGCTACGCCCATGCGAGTAGACCGGAGAAGCCTGTGGACCTGGAGCGGCACGCTGTGCCACCCATTCATCGGGAGTCAACTTGGGCCTCTCGGATGATACTTGAGAAGTCATGCCAGGCTGCCAGGCAACACTGCGAGTATCTGAGTAATTGGGTGATGCAGAAGAGCTTCGCATATGAGCAGCGGCAATAGGGGTTGTTCGTCCAGTGAGATAAGACTGACGCTTTTGCTCCGCCGGGGTTAGACTGAGTTTCTCTTGTGAGCGGGAAAAGCCACTATCGTGAAGGTCCTGAGTCATGGTTCCGCTGGTCCCGGGCCGTTTAGCATCAGGATTCAAAGAGTAAGTGGGACCAAAATCAATCTCAGGAATATCGGACGTGGGTTCTTCTTGTTTTGCCCCGGGATTATAGTGCACATCGCCCACCGTAACCTCCGTCTTCTTCTTATTCAGATCTGGATCACCAACAAACTTCAACATCCCACTACGCGGTCGCTCCTGACGCTCCGGTACCCTCTTGACAGGCGGTTTGCTTTCTTGACTATATACACTTGCGTAATCTGGAGTGGATGTCGACACCGTGTCATCATCGTAGACGCTGCTTGACATCGTTGCCGTCCTGAGCATGCTGGGGTCGGTGTAGTCCAGGGCCGCGAGGGCCGCTGGATCCATTAGGTCATTTCTGAAACTGCCGTGACTTGAGCTTTTTGTTGAACGATTATCAGGGTCCCCTCGCGAGGATAGTGAAGACCGACCTGGTACTGGTTTACGATGGATTTGGCTGCCGCTGCTGGTAGGACGCGGGCGGTGCGCAAGTTCTCCATCGGGTTGCGAAGGCACTTCCGCATACTCCGGTACAGCAGGTGCTGCAGGTTGATATACCGCGGGCGATTGCACGAATTCTGGTTGCTCGACGAAGGGAGAGGCGGGGATGGTCGGTAGCCTGGAGCCCGAATGGCCGGAACGGGAGCTATTCGCACTGTGTGGTTGTTGATCAGCTAGTTGCGGTCGTCCGTTTACATTTAGATGCATTGGGCTTCCGTCTCTGTCATGTTCACCACTCCGCCTGCTGGCCAAACTATCTTGGCTCTTCCAGGCTGCTGCAGCACCAGCAACTGCGATGCCTGCTGGTAGTGTTGCATGAGTGGCATCCGCCAATTGATGAAGAGTGGCCGAATCAATGTGGGCATTGGGCTTCATTGCATGTGCTTGGGCTGGTTGCACAGGTGGCCGTTGACTCGGTGCGTGAGCAAATGATGGGGGAGCGGCAACAGGATTGCTGGGAGGTGCACTTGGCGCTACCTGGACTTGCGGGAGATCGCGAATAGGGCTGGCTTCTCCGTCCGAAAAGATATCCTCACCACTGGTCGGGATGTAACCGTGCTGTGGCGGCGGAGGGGGAGTATCATAGTCATCGATGCCATTGTCGTGAGCAAAGCGCGACGGAGCCTCCTTACTTCGAGACCTGTAGCCAGTAGCTTCTGATACAGATCGCTGGTGGCGGGAATTAGACAAGTTAGACGTAGGAGGTGCGGAATCAACGCGTCGTGGACCTTGGGCCTCGAAATCGAGCTGGCGCGATGGGGATGACTGCCTGGTGGAAGGTTGGGAGCGAGCGGAGCCGTGTTCGTCGAACCGAACACCACCGTTTCGTCCGGACAGGCTTGCGCGACTGAGGGTGTTTCTCCGGCTACCAGCCCTGCTGGTACCGCGGGATGGGGTCGCCAGCATGCGTTTCGACGTCAACTCTTTTAGCTCTCTTCGCCATTGTCGCTCAGACCAGTTCTGGCTACCTTCGGCGTGAATGAGGCTGACAACATCCCACATCTCTAGATAACCATATCGCCTATCAGGAGGCATGGCGAACATGAGTCCTCGTGTGTCGAGAACATCGGAGATCAGTTTCTGAGGCCGGCCGTAGAGCGCAAAAGTATCAAACACAGGGAACAGGAAGCGAAGCATGATCTCGAAACCAGAGACTGCGGGGTGCGTTTCAGGCATGACAAAAACAAAGCCTTCGGTGACAGATTCCGGTTTAGAATGAATGGTGATCTTTCCCTCGATCTTTACAAGCGTAGACTGATCGATGAGTGGTTTGGATTGGGGATAGATGGCATAGCACGAGTAGGCCTCCCGGACAGTCGCAATTGGTCGTGTCTTCTTGGTGATCTTTTTGGTGTCGTAGAACTTAATGTCACCCTTGAGAACGATAGGTTTATGGCCATAAATGCTCTGCTTCTTCTGCGACTTCTGGAGTTTGGCGTACTCCTTTTCGTCTGGCGGGCTTACAACGCACCAGCACCGTCGCCAAGGAGTTCCAGCACCGAACCTGACGCGGGCCCAATCCTCGTGCAAACCACGCTGGCGGTCCAGAATAGCACGAATGTTGTTCAATTGCTTGCCCTTGCCTGCGATCAAAGCACCCGTATACGCCTCTTGCAATGTCGTATGCTCGTACATGGCGAGACGGATGCCGGCAGTCCACTGGGTAAGGGAATTGAAGGAGTTGAAGTGGAACAGATATTTGTTACTCGCCGCGGTCGAGATGCTGAGAATATTGTCGAGCTTTTTACCGTCGCTGAGGACCATGGAGGGCATCTAAAGAAGTTTAGCGGGACGGGACATTGGGGTACTGTGATATCTTGTCCTACCATGTGGATCGCCGCATCGGTCAGGTTGATGAAAGTGGGCAACACCTCCGCATCGCCGCCTACTTTGTCTAGCTCGCTAGCATCCCATAGAGAAAGAATTGTGCCTACAAGTTGGGCAAAACATTCTTGCCACACTCGATCGGCAGCGGGCCGGCCACCTAAACAAAGGTCAGTTGTGACGCGGGGTTTGGGTGACGCCGGGAAAGGCTAGACATACGCGAGTCTGTGTCGTGGAACTTCAAGAAATATCCCTCCTGATATAGCTTATTCGAATGGCTGTTGAGAAACGTGAATATGCGTTGGAGCTCGGGAAGCGTGTCCTGTGACACCTCCATTACGGGCGGTTGGTAGGTTTGTATCATTGACATGGGCCGTGACGAGGGTCTCGAGTCAGAACGATGCTGAGTATTCGCCGTTGTGCCGTCATATTGATCGAGAGCGGCGGAAGAGGCAGATGGGTTTGGGTATGCGGTTCCCGTGTTCTGCGGCGTATTGGAGGGGGACGGGGACGTTATGGGCGAAGCGGCCGCAGACGATTTCCTATGTGGTGAGCCGCCACCCCATTCTGACATAAAAGAAAGTACTGTAGAAGGGCGCACAGAGCGCAGCATTAGTGAAATATTCTAGACGGGTTGTAGATACTGAAAGATTTCGGGGGAGGTTGTGGTAAAGTTTGGGTCAGGATAGAGGGCTCGGGAGTTGATGCCGGGTGTACAACGTGAAGGGAATGCGAATGCAAAGGACGAACGAGGGAGGGAGGCTAGGGAGATATTTACCTCTTCTTGAGCGGACCATGGCTGCAAGCAGGGGAATTGGCTCAAAGGTGTAAGCGGCAGCTGGGTGTGAGTTGCCAGAAAAAGAGAAGTTGTGTGAATGCGCGTGGTGTTGATAGATCAGCCGCCCACGCCACGGAAGTTCCGGGTGGACGCAAGGGTGCTATTGAAAGGTCGTCTGTATGCGAGACTGGAACTGGACAGGCGGCACAGGCACAGACAGGCACAGGCACGAGACAAGCCGAGAGGAAGCGAGCGACTAGGGCCAAGGAGACAGGGAAGATGGCTGACGAGTGACTACAGCGGATCAGGTATGGTCAGTCGGTGCAAAAGAACCAAAAGAAGGCAGGATGCAGTGGAGGTGAATAGTAGATGCGGATCGGGAGACGGAGACGGTGGAGTTTTGTAGGAAAGAATGGAATGTGATGCGTAGTGTAGCTGTGTATCGGATGAGGGACAGAAAGGTGCAGGTGTATGTATCTTAAACTGCAGGTGACGATGGATGCGGGCGCAAGTGCGTGCGTGGACGGGAAAGCAGTAGGTCGCCTTTAGTGTACGAGCGAAGAACGGCGGAGGATGGAGTAAGTAGGTAGGTAGGAAATGAATCTGAGCAGGCGTGAATGAAGTAATGGTAATAACCAAACTCACCCGTTCTTTCTCCAAGGTAGGTGGCTGGCCTGATGCAGGTGTGTGTATCCAAGTCAGACACAAATGTCGTTCAATAATGGATTCCCTTCCCTTCTACGGTATTACTGTAAATGTGAGTCTGTGTACAATAATAGGTGGGGTTTTAATGGAGGAGACTAACTTGACTTCGAAATATTGGTAGAATGGAACAGAAGCAAAAGGATTCGAGGCGTATATGGCTATGCCGAGAACGTGGAGTGCACTTGGAGGAATGAAGCAGCTGCTTAGTGTACTCGTACAATCATGTAAACGCTAGGTCACAATATATAACAAAATAGATTTGCGACGCCGGAAGGGGATTCCTGAGACCCTGGCGCGTAGCTCGAAGCGGCGAGGAGTACGAGAAGGATTGGAGCGGAGGGGAGGCCTATACGAGCAGATGCTCCGAGGATAAAAGAATAAAGATATAGGCAAGAAAGCGACAGCAAGAGGGCGAGAGTACGAGTACGGTCACAGTGGTATATACCTAGGTAGACCAGTGCGGGCCAAGCTGTTGCTGGAATAGAAACAAGGCCGGGGGAGTTTCTAACCTTAAACCCTTGAGGGCGGACAGGGGAGGCCTTTTCAATAATTACAGTATTAGGACGATGACGAAAAGCGTAAAGGGTCCAAGGGCGGACACGGTCGCCCGCTTGCTTGGATGATGATGATGAATCTGGTCAACGGTTGATGGTCGATGAGATGAGATCAGATGCCAATGTAGTCAATGTTGGGCACGACTGTGTCTGGACTGCACAGAAGAATTATCACTCCAAAAAAGCCGGATTATTCCAAGTACACAGTCGACGAAAAAAACAATGCCAAATCGCAGATATAGAGGCACCACATAGTCTCCGTGTTATGTTCTCCTACTCGTACATATTCGTTGGTACAATTGTCATGATCCGCGGACTGATGTTCTTCCTCTTGTTGGCCTAGCAAGGTTCCAAGGCACATGGCATGGCGTGCACGGTGTGGGCAGCCGATGTCGTCGTCAGAGGCGTCAGAGCATTGGTAGAAAGGTGAGGACGGGAACATGGCAGATCTTGAAAGCCATTGTATGCCCGAGAAAAGCAAATGCTATTCGGAAACAAGAAGGAAAAATTATATCCTCAAAGACATGACCGTGGGAGAGCCCGAATGGCGCAAACAGCATATCATTTCATCTCTTCCGATTGATTCTTGATCGGAAACTTCGCTCAACAAGACGGCAAGCTGTTGTTGATGTAGCTATTGTGTAAACAATAATCGGACTAGACCGACTGATTCGCGCCGAGCTATTATTGGCGTCGTACTTGCAGGAGGCACGCGCGGCAATCTTCGACCATTAACAATGAAAAGGTTGGGGCATCAGGCTTGTCTCGTCTTAGACATAGACAGATGGTCACAGCGAATCGTCGTATTCCGAGCGAGGCGTCAGGACGGTGCCAGGCCAAAGCTTACGACTCCATTCTGTCACGATGGTCGCATTGGGTGCTTGGTAGCTGTAGAGCATTCGGACTATGTGCGGTAGCCTCCCAATCGGGCGCTACTCGTGTTCAGTGAACTCGCACTCTCCTCCTCTGTCTTCTTCTGCTTCCGCTTGTCCTCTTGCTCCAGCTTCTGCATCTGTCTGCTGTGCCATGCATACTGAGCGCGTTTGCCTCCCCCTTTTGAAACAAACCGGAGCAGTCTGGCGAATCGTGATCGAGTCCTCAACAAACAACGCTACTACTCGTAGCAGTAATCAATAATCAATATGTAATGTCATTCGTATGTATATGTGTATGCTGAAACGTGTTGGTATATGAGATTGGGGCAGTGCATCTCGGCCGGCTCAGCCAAGCTTTGGTCAATATTGTGCGCGCTGTAACCATTCGGTGCAGGATGACGAGGCGGGAGATGGGTGAAAAGGCGCACGCATGAACTGTGTAATACTTGAGCGAGGAATGTTTCCTCATTGCGATTGCTTCCTGCGAGAACGTCCGTGAGATGGAGAGATGGAGAAAGGGAGGACATGGAGTAACAATAAGGTGGCATCTCGATCATGCGAGAGTGGGGCCAATCAATGCAATGACTAAGTGGTTAGGTAATTCTACGATGATATCAAACATCACCAAGGTTTGAAGATAGTTGATCATGGAGAATTGTACTTCGTACAAGACTACGAGCTACTACTACTATTATTGCTTTCTATGGGTATTCTAAGATTCTAGTCGGGAACGCATTCTACCCGTTTCAGCCTTGGTCTCACGCTGTGGGACACCTCAGCTCGAATTGTCCAGGCATTGTTTCACGAATCACAATAAGGCAGGTTAATCGAATGTCAACGGTCTCTGGTTGATTAATCGGTTGTCTGCCGGGCCTGCCTTACGGCTCCATCGTTCATGTTGGTATTGGCTCGGGATGAACAGCCGGGTTGGCTGAATCATTGTAGTACTCTAAGCGGATACTATGTAGAAGCTGATATATCGTATCGGTATGCTATGTTCACAATGTTAGCATTTGTTCGCTCCAAGATCATCTAGAGAAGTGTCCTCTTTGTACACTAGGTATACACAGTACAGTAACGATAGATCAATTGAATCGCAATGGGTAAGGTATGTCGTCATTGGCGATTCACGTGATTTCGAGTGTACTATCCGCACGGACCCTCTCTCTCGTCGCGTTTTCTCGCGTGCTGTGGAGCATGACGCGCCCACAGCCCTACAACTTTTACAACCCACAGTCAGTACTCCATCCACTTACTGTTGCTATCATTTGCTACACACCATCCATCTGCCCCGTACTGCGTACTGGTTGGTGGACGGGGTACCTTCTGGAACGGCTTTTGTTTTTGGCCCTGAATTCTACTTTATTCATCTCTTTTGACGCTGTGTTTGCTACTTTGGTCGTGGCCGGCGCTGATCATCCATCTCACCTACAATTTTACGACAAAGTACTGCACGAGCGCCTGCGATATGCCACCAAAGCGCAAGTCTTCTCTTGGAACCGAGCCCTCTGTTGGCACTAAAAGCCCGGCCCATACTCCGGCCAAACGTCCGAAAGCGAATATCAACTGGTCCAAGTTGGAAGAGCTCCGCTTCAAGATTGAGCAATTGAAGCAGAGCGATGCTATCAAGTCAAACACTTTGCGAATCAAGAAATCTCAGTCGAGCAAGAAATCGGATTACGAGTACGATGATGCGCTGGTACCCGCAGAAAGGTACCAGCCGCCTCCATTTCATGACACAAGCGTTGGGGAGGTGTATTATCGTGTAACGCCGTCCAAATACTGGCTCGACGCTCGCCGCTACAGGCAGTTCAAAGGTATTTCATCAAAACATCGTCATGTGTAATACCAATGCTTACCACGAAGTTGCAGTGGGCGAGGATAGGATCTCGATCGGCGACTACGTCTTAGTCCGCAACACTCCGAGAAATGCGCAATTCCCCGGTCCCGAAGACGACCCCAAATGGATCGCAAAGGTTGTTGAGATACGGGCTGGGGGAGAACGACATGTGTATATCAGGATCTTGTGGATGTATTCGCCCGACGAAATTCACGGCGGTCGAAGGCCCTATCATGCACGGTATGAGTTGCTCGCAAGCAATCACATGGATGTAATACACGGGAACACTGTTGAGGGACGGATCTCGGTCGTGCACTGGAATGAGACCGCGGAGCGTAATGATGTGCTGGGATACGACCAGTTCTTCTATCGACAGACGTATGACTTCACCGCTCCGGCACCCAAGCGGCTTTCGGTATGATATAGCTTTCGACTGTCGTCATCTTTGACATCACTGACCCACCCATAGCAACTCCCACGCCATTGTATCGACAAGCGTGAGTGCAATCCAGATGAAATGCTCATCCAGTGCGACAGTTGTCTGGGCTGGCTACATGCTTCATGCCTCGAACAGGCAGCTGTTAAAGAGGCATACAGCTCCAACGATCTTGAACCGCCGGTGGTTGAGAACAAGGATGCTGCAACTAAGCGACGTGGACGTCCGAAGCGCAATGGTGTCAAACGCGCGAGCTCCACCGCTTCTTCCCAAGCTCCAGTCGAACAACTTTTCTCTGCAGAGCTCACAACCTCTCAGGAGAATAGTCTCTCATTGACCGTAACGGACCACCGCGAGGGCCACACGGGCGAAACCTGGCAAACTTCGCCCATCATCTGCTTGCTCTGTGCAGCGAATGTGGAGAGAGCCAGCAGTGAGCTTCCAGGTGGTGACACCATTCAGGTAGCTTCGGTTGAACAATCTGACGAAGAAGTCAGCCAAGAAGCTTCCGCAACTACCAACGATGAACAGGGAACCAAGAGTCCCAGCGCTGGTAGTGAAACGAGTGCTGATTGAGTCGCTAACGACAGGCTCAGGATCCTCCCAGAATCGCAATCCTGCCTTCCTCGAGACCTGAACCTTCCTTGTCAATACGGCAGCCTGCCCAACCGGAGTCTTGACCTCGAAAAATTGACATTCTGGACGCCAGACGACCTTCTTGGGAGCCATGAATGCCTCACCTTGCCTTCCTTGACTTATTTTGGACTTCCCTCCTGACGATAAAAACGAATATCCACTGTTACCCACCCTTTCCCCTTCTCAAATAGCATTTAGATACCCAATTGAGACACTTTTTCTTCTACTCCACTCCACTATTCATTGTGACGAACATGAATACAGCAGAACGTGCCCTCTACTCGTCTCGACACAGCAGATACACTGCTCTGCTTCCCTCGAGGGTCCGATGTGCCTTACACACTCACTCCCTCACCTCATCTAACCACATCCCCTAGTCTTCTCAAGCACAGCGACCCATCCCCACGCATACCACACACATCAACCCATCTCAAACAAACCCCAACAATCACACATCACGAATCAACACATCCACATCTCGAGTCAATAAAGATATTAGTTTTCTTTTTTCCTACGATTCCATATCCATTCTTTACTCCTAATATTTTCCGCCTCTTCCACTATCCGCCAGACGCCGAACTGACTCCGAACCCCGTCGTCGTCGTTCATATAGCCCGCGCGACTTAAGCCCTCATGAAAGAAAAAGGGTCTTCTCCAATTGTTCCGTCCACCAAAAGCACTAGGGTATTGATTTATGGGGTGTGGGGTTAATAATAATGTTTGTGTGATAAAAGTGTGAATAGGTGGGAAGAGTAAAAGGGTGGGGAATATAAATCGAAGGTGGTAGAAACGGGGAAATGGAAATTGGGAAGAAAAAAAAAGAAGAACGCCATTCGCTGATGCAAATATGTTGATATCCCTCCAGGTTGTTTTGTCGTGCGTTTGGGAGTTCGTTGATTGATTAAGCTCACACTCTCGAGGTGGAGTTGTTGTGTGAGCGAGGGATTCCGATGTGCTTTCCAGGAAACGCCAAATAGGAAGGAAGTAAAAGGGAGCATAATAGATAGCACGTCGTCTGAAGGGGGTCTGACCATTCAACCAGCATCACCCTAGAGTCGATGACGATGCCTGCGTGGAACTTGACGCCTGACTTAATTTGATCTTCTCCTTTTGCCTGATGGCTCTGCAGTTCTCTCTGCCAATCTTCAATTTGACAATCATCTTCGGCCTCTTTTTCTTCTTCTCCTTGAGTGCCGACGATTTATCTGCGCTCTTGAATCCGATCTTGAGACTGGGTTTACGGACCGGAGTGCCATTGACGATACCGTCCATGGGCTCACCAGCAGCGAAACCTATGTCGGTGCTCGCTTGGCGTTTCAAGCTTGGTTGGCCATCGGCCTGATCCAAGGCTTTACGCTTGATGCCAGATGAGAGACGTTGATCCTGGGCAATCTTAGAGAGAAGGGCCGGTCGGAGACGCAACTTCACGATAAGGGAAGGTGTCGACGATGTAGGCTTTCGAGGGGGTGGAGCTGCAATCGAAGGAGTGAGAGAAGTGGACGATGGCGAAGAAGAGGCGGACAGAGCGGCTGACATAGCGGCTGCGGTTGAAGGCGAAGGCTGGGCTTTCTTGAACTTGATCTTCGGGCCAGGCGGTTGGGAGGGTGGTGGCGTTGCTTTGGCTTGCACAGGTGCCGACACTGAGATTGGAGATGGGGCTGGTTTCGGTTTTGGAAGGCTGGCCGGTGGTTGAGGTTTAGGTTTCGAGGACGGCGCAGGTGCCGGTGAGGGCGCGGGCGAGGGCTTGGGCGAAGGCGCAGATGGCCCTACAGATGCAGGTGGAGCTGGTGATTTTGATGGTTTTGGAACCTTTGGCGGTTTAATGGGTATTTTCAGGATTGGGACAGACGGTTTGGACTCAGGCTCCGACTTTATGGGTGGGTTGGGAGCACGTGGAACAGGAGGAGCAACAACCAAAGGTTTAGGAGCGGTAGTTGTTGGGGGAGCTGCTGCTGCTGCAACGGCTGGTGACGGATGCTCCGATACAGTTGGAGTCTTCGGTTTGAATCCACTGAATTGTAGTTTGAGTTTTGGTGGTGGTGGTGCCGTAGCCGACGGCGGTGGTGGGATAGGCAATGGTGGCGCAGGAGGCAGCAGTACCTGCTTTTGAGGCATGAGGGACTCCAGCGTCACCTTTGGCTGCGTCCTGTATTTATCGGAATGGTAGAATCGCATATTGGCGTTACCCAGATGTTGCACTCGCCAGTACTTGGGATACTTGATTGTGACAGGCAGTTTGCTGTGTGGTGAATAGAAGACACTGCATACTTCCAAAAGCTCAGCAGCATCGTATACTGATGTTGTCGTGCTGAACAGCGCTTTCTCCAACGAGTGGCGCAGCGTCTCATTCCCAGCGTACTCTGTCTTAAGAGCACGGAGGGCACCCTCGAGCTTTCTCCTTGCCAACTCTGCTTCACGGTCCGAGGGGCCTTCGACATGTTGTTCAATCTTTAGGTCAAACATCGGCTGGCTCTCTGATTGCTTTGGCTTGAATACATCGCCTACAGCAACCTGCCCAAAAGCATAATTGAGTATACCAAGAAGGCCTCGACGAAAAGCTGGCGATGGATCGGAGGATATATCGTTGAGGATGTACTTGAGAATGCTGTCAGAGCGTATCACTCCAAGCTCGATCAAGCACTTCCATGCTCTAAGCCGCACATTATCTGCATTGCCAATTCGTGTGTACTGCAAGAAATCCGAAGGCTTGAGGGGGACGACACCGTTACGCATTAATAAAAGATCACACTCGAGTGCAGTCGTGGTGTAGATATTATGATATGTCGGAATCCATTCATCGAGTCGTTTGTGACGATGAAGCTCTTCAATAGCTTTTCTCCTGAATTCAAACTCTTCATTCTCTTGCTCGAGACTTAAAGTGGGATCATGATCCGTAGCTCCCTTCTTGGTGGTGGCAAGTGCTTGTGCCAAGCACTGCATAAGGGTTGCAAGGTAATGATCATCACTGAAATCATTCCCGCGATTATCGTTGTAGCGCATCATGTCGAGTAAGAACCGCTTTACCTCCAATGGTGCGGTTCCATCAACAGTCCTAATCCTGGCAATGGCCTTCGGAATTGCGCATTGGATAATGTAGGTGCTGCGATCAGAAAAGTCGTTTGAGCGGGTCATCAAAGTGTCATCGATGCAGAAAAGCTCTCGGAACGCTTTCTTCAGATGGAAAAGGCCGATCCAGCGAAGGCTTTCCTTTGCACTGTTTGCCATGACCTCTGCGGCTAGGGTCCGGACTCCATGGAAATATCTGTCATCCATCAAGGTCTTCACCAAGATGCTGGAAATAAGCGGATGTCCCTCCTTCAGTGCAAGCCACTGGATGGACTCCATCTGCGCAGCAACGTCCTTATCTTGCTGCAGTTGAGCAACATACATGTAGGCTGGCATGTCGTTGATGTTGGCCTTACAAATCCACTCGAAGTCGGCGTCGACCCTTAACCAGTCATAGGACTCTTGCTCCATTCGGGATTCATCCTCTGCGGACCAAGTATCAAGCCTCCACTCACTTATTTCCTCTGGCTTTTGGAGGAGATTTCCCAACTGGTATATCGGTGTGTCGTCCTGTGTCTCCCCTTCAAGGGCCTGGCCCTTCTCAGCTGCTTCTTGCTCCTTTCGAAGTCTATTCCGCTTGTTCCTCCTATATTTTGTGTTATAGGGTATTTCAACCTTGACAATGGAACTATTAATATCCACGATGTGTTCATATGGAGTTCCATCAGACTCGTGAACCCGTATAGTCATGGTACCGACGAAAGCAGGCCAATCTGCGCTAGGCCGAAAGCCATTGGCCTTCTCTTTGGCCTCTCTGAACAGCTCTTGGGGCGTCACCGTGCGGTCGTCCGGGTTCAATGACGAATCGCCTTGTGTCTGCTTGATGGTCAACTGAATGACTTGCTTCTTTTTGTTGAAAGAGGGGTGACATTCGAAAGTAGGACACCCAGAGCCGTGGATCCACTGGTTAAAGAACGTGTCAAGCTTCTGATGCCCAACCTTTTCGCAAATTTCCAGGAATTGATCTGTGCTGATGATACCGTTGGGCAACTTCTCGTTCCTGGCATTGAAGAGGAGTCGGTACAAGCAACGATCCACGCCATTTTTGCCGCTCTGCTTTACAAGTCGGTTGTGTAGAATATATAGAACCAGAGGAGCTTTGATTTCCATGAAATTGCGCTCCCCAGAATCCAATGCCAGGTATTCACCGAGGTTAAACAGCGACGGTCGGCGAGTGTCTAATTCCATGACCTTATCCGCCATGATTTTATGACGGTATCGGTGATCGTTGCGGCCGAACAGTTCGCGCAGATATAACTCAGTCATGAACCACGATCCACCAACGATGATCCAGTGATCATTTGGACGCTGTGGTGTTACATTGACGCCTATCCATTGACTTGCAACGGCATGGATGAGAGTCCTTGTAGTTGCCTCCAAGGGCTCCCAAACCGTTTCCGGGAAAAGGAGCTGGGAACTGCATATCGAGAGGGATGCAGAGTGTGCCACGTCGCAGTCGAGATCGTCCACAAAAGCCAGCTTGAATGCCTTTTCAAAGGGATAGCTCTGGTAACGTTCTGTGAAGCTGTCCAGGGTCCGAGCTAGTATCATAGCACTGTTACGCACTTCTTCGGCTCGTCCTGGAAGGCAGAAACCGTGGACCCGGATAGCATTGGATCCCAATCGTTCGTCATCTTGTGTGTCTCGGTATTCGGATAATTCGACAACCTGGAAGGGCCCAATAGCAATTCCGACGTGCTGAGGAAGAATGGGAACGGCACATGTAAAGCTCGCAGTCTTTCGCGTAGGATCGTTCGGGTCCGAAATCTAGAAAACATCAGTGAGAGGCTCTGGAATGTGGAGTAAATAATCCCTACGTCATCGGTCAGTTCCCCGGAGCAAACGACGGCCATTTCCAATCCCTTCTCTTCCTCTGAAAACTCTGCTGGATCGTCGTCCACATCGCTCATAACGCTATCCGCCTTTGGTGATTCGCCCGACTCAGGAACGACGCCGTTCTTCTGAGGCTTCTTCTGAGGCTTCGAATAAGTATCCCCCAAAGTTCGCGGATAGCGTATCGAAATTTCGAATGGGCATTTCGTCACACCATCATCCACGCAGGGAAATATTGATGAGGCCATGCCTGTGAATGGGGAATTCCGCGTATACACGTGAGGATATCTCGCGTCGCCATCCTCCACACCCACGAAATGCAGTCCATCCCGGAAGTCCTTCAAATAGTATTCTATCTCCACATTTATGGGCGCGTACAGACTCTCTCCAAGCGATCCGAAACTGTTCGCCGCCGCCACCTGGTCCATCGTTGCATCCTCCGCGCGCATTGGAACTATATCCACCCCTTTCGGGATGGAAATCTCCAACTCGATCTCCTGGTTCTGCGCATGTCTACGTATACGAGCTCTCGGGAAATGGTGTTGATAGATATCTGTGCCGGGGTGTAATTTCAAGCGCTTGTACAAGTCGGAGTAATCGTAGCCTATATCGCCAGGCGCCGAAACACTGCGTCCATCCACGCGGATAGCCTTGATTTTCAGCTGGCGGCAGTTGAACTGAATCGTGCGCAAGTTTTGCGACTGTGGTTGGATCTCGATTGTAGCTTTTCCTTTGACGAAGCGCGGGCAGAAGTTGAAGTCCAGGTCGAGCTTCTGCTTCAAAACAGTGAAGGCGGTCCCGGAGGCCTCGATATCGGGGACTTCAGCCATCGCGATGGCGCAACATGAGAGGCCTGCTCTCAACCAGGAACAGGATCGAATGAGAACGGATCGGGGTGGGGGAGCAGCTTGCGGCGAGGTGAGGGAGATGCTGTTGTCGCGATCTTCAAATGCGAAAGACGACGGGGAGCTTGAATGGGAAACGCCGACCAGCCTGAACGCACGTTCTCTTGGCGCGCGGCGCTCGGCTTTACTCCTTACCCGTGCGCTCCGCTCAACCTCCAGCGATCAAAACGTGTGGAAGGTTACACGAGCGGAACTTTAATGGTGATCTATATGCTCGAGATTGAGTTGAGGCGTTAAACTTCTTGGGTACTATTCTATGCTAAATATCTCAATACCCTCTATCGCCCGGAATAATTATTATGAAACTTCATATAGAACATGTATCACAACAATGCTATTTGCAATCTCATGCACCACCATTCCAACGTTTTCTCTCTCACGTCTTTGAGGGTCAGGAATAGGAAACTGATGACATATTCCGACACTGCGATATTTATTCAACTACAGGTCAGTCTAACAAATATCTCATTACATCATTGCCCATTTTGCCGGCCAGATACAATTTCTAGGATTTCTTTTGGTGATTACATGGGCCAGTTCAGACTAATACTGTCACCTCACATATAATTATACGGTTTGTAAGATCTGTTTTACTTCGGGCCTAAGACCAGCATTTTATTTTCTCTCTACTTCCTGGTCATGAACAGTGATTATTGATCCTGCGTGTGATAATGCTTTTGTTTGGTTCTATTGGGATCCTTCACACGGCGCTTACAGCTCGGTTTGAATGGTGTAGATGTTGCTGTGCAGGTACCACCTGAGAGCTTCACATTCCATGGTGGTGGACTAGAAGTCTACGTTATCGGCAGGAAATGACCATACAGACTTATCAGGCGCCAAACAGCTGGAAAACGTTAAAAAATGGAGGATTCTTCGTAGACTCGGCTTTCCTGTAGCTCGTCATGTTTTTTGTCTCTCGGCCATGCCACCTACAGTAGATTTTTTGACGAGAGTGATTCAAGCTTAGGATATTGGTATCTAGTATTCTAACTTTCCTTCGAAATGTAAACAGAGAGATCGTTATCACTGCTGACCTTTCATGATTTCTTGACCCACGGAAGGCCGAGCTTGTGCATCTCGACTGCAAGCTGTAAGATGTAATCAATACTATCGTACGTTAGTAGTGGAGCATTGTCTTGACAGATGATTACCATACCTTTCGCATTGTGTCTTCGCCTTGTGAACATTGTCCCCCCAGACATAACTACTTTCATTAGTCCTGGTCGTGTCGCAAAGCTTTGTTGTATACGCACATTCCATGCCTTCTAACCAGTACCGCATAAGCATCAGGGTATTTCTCCATAGCTTCTTCCAAGCTCTCCGTGAGGTCCTCCTCACTATCCCTTGATAAGCATTACGCTTCATAATATGGACCTGGGAACTCACTGCGCTGTGTTTTCGATGATTGGTATTGTCAACTTCTCGAAGTATCCAAGGTTGCCTTGCTTTCCTCGTCCCTTTGGTATTCCTTTAATCTGCTCAATCATTCCAATTTCAAAGGGGGCGTCGGAGCCAAATTCCCGTTCCACCAGCAAGGTAACAAGAACGGCCCATTGGGAATGCGTGTGTATGCAGCAACCTGCTCCTCGGGTGAAAGCAGCGTAGAAGAGGGGGGTGCAGGCGGAGGGCTTGTAGACCTGGTATGAGATAGGTGTGTTAGATTCTCTTCATCCCAACGAGGAACCTGAAAGCTAATGCAGACATACGGTAGGTCTTCGTAGGTATTCTTTGGTATTATAGTCCATCACGAACATGTCGGTAGGCTTCATGAGTTCTTTCTGCACACCCGACGGTGCAATATAGAGGAGGTCATCTTTTCGAATGCTTGTTCCACCGCCGGTGCCAGTGACCTGGCCCTTGAATATCAGCACATCTTCTATGAATAGCATTATAGAGCAGGAATTCGCCAAAACATACCCAGCCCAATTCGTAGAACTTTGCGCAAAGCGTGCAGATATGGTTGGCAGGGTGCTCAGGATCGTCGGAATGGATCAGATGCTCTGCATTGCTACCTGTCGCCATTTTGGGCAGTAGCTAAATACCTAGATATATATAGATAGGTACTGATTGCGAAGGTTGAAGCTCAAGTTAAAGTGTCGCGCTTTTTTTTGGAGGGACGACAATGACGCGATCTAGTGGGGTAGCAGACACGCCCACACGACGGCTTAATTGAACCCCACCATACTCAAATCGGTAATTCGAGGGAATGCTGCAATCCAGGCCATCTATTGGCCAGATGGGAGCATTCTGGTCGCTATACGAAATGGATGATAATGTGTGTGACTACACCACACCGTATTACTTGGGAACAGAAATCTTAAAGATTGTTCACAGCATAGCATTATGACTTTTAATCTCTAGCAGAAAATCAACATTAGCGAGCACATGGGGAATCTGTAGATAGGTCAAGGAATCGAGACTACTTTCCGATGCGAACGTGAACGATAATTCTTTGGAAACATAGACCACTTTAAGTCCAATGCCATTTCGATAATCTGCCCAGGCGCCACATCCACGGTTGCTGGCAAATATTTCCCACAAAGCCTCCGTAAATCAATCAAACTTGCCAGTCAATGCTCTGAATTCCTTAATACTACTGTCCCTGACATTTTCATGTCAAGATCTGCGCCCAATTTCGACAGCCAACAGACATCTTCGTTATGACTCTAAACCTTGGCCAGGTCCTCCCAGGAATGAAATGGAACTATCGCCTCATTGAGTGCATTGATCGAGGAACGGCTTGCTCGAGTGTCTTCAAGGCTGAAGTACTGCCAGGAGTGCGTAGCATCGTTCCAAGACAATGGTGAGTCTCGGTGACAATATCACCGCGACGAATCGAACTCTAGACTTTCGCAGGGCGGTCATCAGTCAAGCTTCAAGGAAAATGTCAAGGCAATGCTACGAAACGAGCGCAAATACTATGCCAATCCCGCCATAAGGTCATGCAGTCAGTTTCGAGCTCTTTGCGATGTCATTGACAGTCCAGAAGATATGGAACCTGAGTTGGGGTCCTGTTTGGCTTTCGAGTGGATGGATTGCACTCTCGCAGATCTGTCACCCGAATCCCATAAAAGCAACTCGACATTACACAAAAGCGTCTCGGAGGCAATGCTAAGCGCTTTGGATGTGTTGGGGTCGCAGCGTCTCATACATGCAGGTCAATCTAACCCTCAGAGGAAGAGTTTCCATTGCTCAGAGCTCATGCTGAAATAAATAGACGTAAAGAATGATAACATCCTCATATCCAATATCGACGGACCATCACCAATCGTTAAGCTAGGAGATCTAGGACTTGGTAAGTTTCACCTCTTACCAGGACTTACATATGCTAACAGTGCATAGTACGGCCTGAAGGGTTTAACAAAAGCCGCCTTCAAGCAATGGCGATGCGCGCTCCAGAAGTCTGGTCAGGAATTGGCTGCTTCCATACCTCCGATGTATGGTCTTTTGCCGCCACGGTCAGTCCCTAACTCCTCCCCTCTTCTTCATCATCTGAATCCATGAACCCTAGCTCTTTGACTGGTTCCGTCCTAGCGTCTTCGGAGACCACGACACAGACCCGTGGTTTTGGAACGAGCCTTATGGAGTAGCAAAGATGCTGCGGCTATTTCCCGGTTCAGTGACTGCTAATCATTCAAATCACCCAACCTACGAAGCGGAACTGAAAATCGGAACGATGGTCGAAGCAGCGGGAGACCGCGCCTTCACATACGGCGACTTTGACGAGGAGCTTGGGAAGCTCGATGTAGCACCGTCACTTGCGGACTTTCTTCGATATCTACTTGTTGTCGATCACACGAAGAGACCAACTGCTGGCGAAGCTCTGAAGTCGGAATACTTCAGCCGCCTGGCCTGATTTGCGCTACCATGGAATGTATTCAAGCACAATTTAAGTGCAGGAATCAACAGCCACTATACTAGTTTCTCGTTTCTCAATGAACGCCATCCCCGGAATTGTATCAATCGAGTTCGCTTGGCTCTCCTCTTCATGTAATTGTACCTTACCGTTTGATAACCCCCTCGCCTTTGGCAACCATAGATGACCTCTAGACGTAATACACAAAGACAGGCCTCTGTATTCGTCAAACGTTCAATGTCCCCTTTTTACACACTTTCAAGCTCGAGCCTGACCCACAATTGCTATCATCATTGAATTCAAAGTATCCAAATCAGTCGAAACCACTTCCTAACCTAGTCCGGTGTATTCATCCAAACCAAGTGAAAATATAAGCTTTTCCACCTGTTATGATCGCTATGGAATATCTATAATACGCACACGATCTATCGAAGTAGGTATGCCGTGCCAAGGTACCTGTGAACCTTCCCTCGATTTCGTCTTTATAAATAGTTATCGTTCAACATTCTTGGTAGCAAATGTTCCACCATAGTAAAGCTGCGGCCAGACTGTTCTGCTACCTGCAACTGTTTGCGACGTTGTCGAGCACCTTGATGGCTTCAATCTAGTAGGCGATCTTCCCTATGTCTCGAGTCAACGTACCGGACGCTGAAGGAAGAACTACCGAAAGACTAAAAACATGACAGCCTTTCTCTTCAGGCAATCTTGAGGAAATCAGTTTTCACATACGAAGTTCTGAAGTCTAGAGGGGTCGCTAATGTTGGCGTGTTCCAAAATTAAATTTACTCATGTGCCTATTTCGCGGAGATCTAAGTTAGCAGTGGAGTAGTCTTCACCATCCGAGTACTTCACACGATCAACGGAGAACCATGTCAGCTCCCTTAGAAGCGTTTACATTAGCACTAACAAGCCCAACACCTTCAACCCTCTTCAACCCCCATTTCTCAATCTCCAATCCCCTCTATCTACCCTCCTCCCATACATTCTAAAATCAATCAATCACAAAAAGGTATAACAACCCCTCCCCTAACCCATCCCCGTCTCTCACCTTACACAAAGGGAGAACAGCACATCACTCAACCCTTCGACTCATTAACCAACGGGCTTCCCTCGGCCTTCTTCTCCCCCTTATCCTTGTCCAAGTGCAAAACGTGCTTGATCTTGTCTCCCAGGCCCTTCTTGTCCTGCTGGGCGGCGAGATTGGGGCTGTGGCTGCCTTCTCTGTGGACGTTGCCTGAGCCGCCGCGCTGTGGATTTATTGGTTAGCGTGTGACCGGGGGTTGATTGGAGGGATGGGGAAGGTGACTTACGCCAGTGTGGTAGTTCTCCTCGTGGGGCCTGAGTGCGTTCTCGGGGATGTAGTCGATGGAGCGACGGCCCTCTGGGCGGGTGGGTTGGAGCGAGGGGGAGGCGCCTACGTTGCCTGCGCCGCCGCGCTGAGGGTGGGTTAGTAAGATGCGCTTTTGCTGGCGTTTGGATCTCGATTTGGTGGTGATGTTTGGGGTTTTGGGAGGCATTTCATGTTGTAGATGCAGAGGGGAGGAGAGGGAAACGTACGCCGGTGGAGTAAGGTCCATCTACGCTCTCGCCTACGATGCCTTCGCGGACGATGCCGCCGTCGGTGTAGCTATTGGTTCGTGATGTGGTTAGTTTTGATTCTTCATAAATGAAAGGTTCTCAGGGGATCGAAGATCTTGCCCGCGGCGAGAGGTAGTACTGATTTGCGCGGGCTTTCAAATGGCATATTTGCTTTTTGGCTTCCCCTCTCTTTCTTGGAATTCCTTGAATTGCGATGAAAAGGTAAGGAAATTCGACGTACACAGTGCTGTCAGGTCCAATGTTTCCGGCGCCTGTATTTGCACGTGTCAGCCGTGTTTGTTGCGATATAGCTTCAATCGATACATGAAGCACATGATCAAAGCGCGGAGGATGATATGAACGGGAGATTTACCGCCACGGCCGGTGGAGTGGATGGGTGCTGATGTTGGCTCAGGCATGATGTCTATTGTTACAAATTCCTGGCTCTTTCTCTTGAATTGTTTGTTTTTGTTGCTTGTTTTGTCTGGGGATTCGATTTAGGTGGGATATGATATTCGCGCAATCTAGTTCAAAAGACTCAGTCAGGTGTTCGGTCGCGGATGTAGTCGCAAGTCGAGAAAGGGTACTTGTAGTCGAACAAAGAAAGCCCCCGGCGGGAATCAATTATTACCAAATATTCTTATCGGATTTTCCCAACTTTTGGCGTATGCCTAAGACAGGTAAATTATGGGAGATATCTAAATTGTAGTTTGAACGAAAATGCGCCGGCGCGAAGAAATGAGCGACCGGCGCAGACAATATATGCTGCCTCCCTAGAGAACGATCCCAAATGAACGTCGTGTCCAGACCAAGGAAAACGCAACCAGAAAAAAACCCAATGGATGCAGCTCGTAAGATCACACGGCGGAACAGAAATGAGTTGATAGGTAACTAAGGACTATGACGCAACGCCTCCCTTGGGCGCGGGATGTACATCCTTTCAGCCACTCGCAGGCTCGCCGCAGAGAGTTCACAGGCGGCGCGGAGACGTCACGTCCGGCGGCCACCCTTTTGCGATGGATGAACCATTCGGAGGAGGCCAGGAAGTATGGAGATGTCTGTGAGTGCCTGTAATTTGTATGTGAGTGTATGCGAAAGAGGCTACCAAGTGCTTGGCTGAGGAGATTCGCCGTAAAGGGAATTGTGGTTGAGTGATGCGGTGATGTTATGCTTTGGATGTGTTATCTGTCTGATAAGGGCGGAGCATTCTGATTGGCCGGGCACCTGCCAGTCTAAGCGAAGAGGATGTATCCCACCCCCCTCGTTCTCCTCCATTGCCAGTTAAGGATTGGAGAGTCACAGGCGCAATGGGCGCGTCATATTGTACACTGTTCATTTCAGGAATGCAAAGCGGATGATCTATTCTGTAATTGCGGAAAGTATTGCGGAATATTAAGTTGTCGCCTATTCGATATCAATACAATCGAGCGGCCAGCATCAGACATACTCCTAATGGACAGGTACAACGACACAACTTAACTATACAATTGCATAAAAAACGCCCCAGGATATATGGCTGGGAAACTCAAGGCGCACTACCAGGCATGAGGCGCCACAATTGCTGGGAGCCACCCAGAATATCCGGATGCTTTGGAAATGAAATCATACACGTCACGAATTCCCTCCTACTCACTTCTTCTGTTCCTCCTGAGAAGCTCCGCCGGTGGTTGGCAGACCCATGAAGATCTTGAAGTAATCATAGATCATCCATTGCAGACCGGTAAGCGTACCGATCATGACGATACGGACGGGAAGGCCGTTCCAGAGACCGCCGAAACCGATGTCCTTGTAGATGCGGCCAGTGGCCGCGCCGAACGCCTCACCAGGCTTGCGGGTGGCATTGAGTTTCGAAACCATAACATCGGCTGGATGGCTGACAATTGCACAGAGAATACCGGCAATGTAACCACCCGTGAAGCTGACGAGGGTTTGGGCGCCCTTGCCGTAGTCGCCCTTGGAGCCGGGCAGGTAGTTGTAAATCATCTCCACGGCGGTTTCGAACGAGGCAAACTGCAAACATTTAGCGATGTAAAATGCTGTTACATGGGAGGATGACCCACTTTCATCATGGTATACGGGATCTGGCGTCCCCAGAGAGGGTACAAACCCTTGTACAAGCTTGAAACCGATTAGCTCGAACTTCATGCAAACAAGCATTGCGAAGCTTTTTCATCTAAACTTACCCTCCGAAACCTTCGGTGCTAACGACATGGCTGATGCCTCCGAGAGTGGTGCGAGCAAAAGGTGGAATGGTCGTCTGCATGCGAACCTTGACAGACTCGAATGGGCAGAGACCGATGTCGGCAATCAATTCAGCAGAAGCAGAACCAGCGAGGTAGATGGCGGTCTTGTACTTGTGAAAGTTCTCTTCGCCCGCGAGGTCGCCGTAGAACTTCTTGAAGAACTCATAACCACCGTACTTGAATCCACCTTGGACGGAGTAGCCCCAGAAGGTAGGTCCCCAACCGGTGAAGACACCACGAAGACCCTCCGCGCGGCCAATCTTACCCCAGGCTTCGAAGTTGCCCTTGTACATTTTGCTGTCGACCTGGCGACGGCATTTGACTAAATCCAAAGGCGTCACGGCAGTATGCGTAAGACCACAAGCAAGAATACCACCAATTGTGCATGCACCATAGAACTTAGGCGAATAGAGCTCGATCTTGCCAGCCTTATCCTGGGCCTTAGAGCTGGCCTTCTCAAACTCGGCAGCAGCAGCATCGCTCAGCTTCGCTGCTTTGTTCTTCGCATCGTCGACAGCGCTCCACGCTGGGTAGAGCTCATGTCGCGCAGTCCACTTATTCGGCGTCGGTTTGCGGTTCGGCAGAGAGGAACATCCGATGAAGGTCTGCGACAATGTCGCCTGTGTCGGGAAGAGGCTCTGCATTGATGCGATAGCTAAATGCCATTCAGCCAACGTCTCAGCTTGGCGCCATCATTGTTTGTAAACTTGAAACTAACCTTCAATCAATTAGTGTACCGTGTAGGCCCGGACGATCACAGGGCGGCGGGTGGGACTGGGGAACGGAAGCCGGAGCTATTATTGCTACTCGAACTACGGTTACGAGACGTGTCCTGCACGGCGGCGTCAAGAGGTTCTCCCGCTCGTCAATTGCGAGATTTCGAATGATGAGGTATTAAAGACTCAGGATTAACGGAGAGAAGGAAGAAACAAGAGGGAGTAAGCAGGTTAAAGGGATTGAACGAGTGTTTGGCAAGTCACAGGGCAATTCGGATTTGGTGCGACGTCATTGGCCTTGGCCTGACACCCTTGTACGCCCGGATGTAGGGCACTCCAACCTAAACTCCGCCTGTCCAAGACGACTCTCTTAATAGTAAAGACTACACCTCCTTCGGGTATTCCATCGTCGAAACCATTCAATCTCTGGCCTAATATCTGTGGGGACATCTCGATTCAGATAGACTGGTATAATGCTAATAAGTACTTGGGGGACACAAGTCACTATCAACTATTCACGGCCCACATATACGAATCGGACTCGGGTGCTCACCGGAGATAGGTCATTATTTTACACCGATTCATGTTGATAATGGAACTTTGTATCTTTGAGCAATCTTGAGGTTACGATAGATTCATGTAGGAAACAATGGGCAGATTGTAAATGCGCAGGAGTTCCCTACATCGTCTACATATCCTGTTTGATCAAATCCGCTGCCCTTTCAGCAACAGCATAGACCGAACTGATGATATTCCCACTAACATTGCCAGGGAAAACACTTGCATCAGCAACACGCAAGTTCTGTACTCCTTTCACCCTGAGCTTGCTGTCCAATGCATCTCCCATGGCTACGCTTCCACAGGCGTGGTATTCGCCAAACATCGTTCCATCGACAGCATTGAGACAATCTTGGAAACTCTGCAGGTCGCTGGAGGGCGATGGAAGCGTACGCTCAGCCAGAGAGTCCTTGATGAACGTGTTTTGTGTCACTTTGTCGACCCAGCGTAGGCCGCTTGCCAGGATCATGCGGTCGACCTCATGACCTCCGTAGTTGGGATTGATCACTGGTTGTTTTGTGGGATCTTACATAATGTTAGCACGATCTTAAATCTTAGAAGGCTGAGAAAAGGAACTGGAATCCCATACCTGGTCCAATATGAACGGAACCCCGACTCAAGGGGTACTGAGAACATATCATGAACGTGACACCGGCCGGGTCCTCTGGCTTGTTCTGAGGAAACAACTTCCCCTGATGAGGAATACCATTGCCGAAATCGCATGTCATTGGAAACAGGATGAGTTGCAGACTGGCCGACCCTTCGCCCTCCAGCTGTTCTGCTATCTGCTCCAATTGACGTTTGTGGAGCTCGCTCACAGGTTTTGTGCTCTTGATACCACTCGTCACGGCCTCTAACTCGTCTTTGCTCATGATGTCCTTGAAAGACAAGAATCCCTGGGCACTCATCGCCGAAGCCAGTAGACCTGAACCAGACTTTGCATGCTCGGCCATAGCTTCCTGCAAAACCTCTGGCCGTTGAGTCAAAGCATCCAAGGTGAACACTCCAGGCTTGACTGTGTGCACCAACGGCGAGACAACATGGTCCTGTAAATTAGCTCCAACTCCTCTATTGACAACCCGACATTCCACTCCAGCTGCTTTCAAGACCTCCAGGTCGCCGATTCCAGAGAGTTCGAGGATCTGGGGAGAGTGTATGGCGCCGCCGCAAACGATGATTTCTTTCGCGGCTGACACTTGTAATTTACGATCGCCAACGGTGAATTCCGCGCCTGTGGCTTTCGTGCCATCCAGAATGACTCTGTTTACATGCGCCTCGCATAGAATCTTCAAATTCGGGCGAGTGTTTGCAAGATCGAGGTAGTTGACAGCATAGCTCCTTTTCCCTTTCTGTGGACCCGACCGTGCAATCGTTCCAAGATTGTTGAAAAAGCCGAGATGGTTTCCAGACCATGCATCTTCTGAAGCCTTCGTGGGAAACACGTCGTTGCACGCATTAATCACCGCTTCTCCAATGTCGAGCATATTGTCGTTGAAACTGGTTCGCACTGGGCCTTCAGTACCATGATGTTCCTTTCCGTACGCAATTGTCGAGAGACTTGCGACCTTGGGATCGATTTCCTCCATCGTCTACATTCCTCCAAATCAGTTTCCATAGCCAGTCAAATAATCACACGCCGAAAGGATTGACGTACCTCATGCTTCCGCATATACCCCATCATACTCTCCGCCGCCCACCCCTCATCCCCCAAAATCCTCCCCCATCTATCATAATCCTGCGTCGACCCCCTCACATACATCAACCCATTAATCGCACTACTCCCTCCCAGCGCCTTCCCCCGCGGAATATTATGCCTCACACCTCCCGCATTCTCCTACCAATCCCACAATATCAGTCAGCCAATCACCTCCATCCCGAGAGGAAGGTAGACAAGTCTCACCTGCGGCGTGGTATACATACACCAATCATACGCCGGGTTCTCGAACAACGCGCCCACAAGGCCGGGGGTGTTGATGAAAGGGTCGTCAGGGAGATACTTCCCCGCTTCGAGGACGCCGACGGTGATGTTGGGGTCTGAGGATAGGCGGCCAGCGACCACGCAACCTGCTGTGCCGCCGCCGAGGATCAGATAGTCGAACCTGGTGGTTGTGAAGTCTTCGACCGTGACGATGGCCATGTGTGCTCTGTATAGATCTTTTGCTCAATGTCGAAATCGAAGTAAACTATTCAATGTATGCGCGGAACTCTCAATCGCTTTGGTGGAAGGAAGGAATGATCTTGAAGATTGAAGATTGACTCACGTCGACGCCCCTTATATATCTACCCACCTACTTACCCACATCTTCCAAGAGACAGTTTTCAGCTTCTTACATTGCGCATCACACGACTGTCCCCATGTAAGAAGCTTGATGTTTTACTGGCAAGACTCATCGATCTACATGTTTTTGTACAGAAAGACAAGCTGTCTAGCGCTTACAATACTGGGGATGCGTTTGGATGCAAAATATAAGCCGAGGCAGGTCTCACGCGTCCTTCGCTTCCCGTGTCAAGCTGTGCCTCTGTCTATAGGATATAGTAATTTATTCACAATGTGCTAAAGATGTAGATAGATTGCCGAGTAGCCGTTCGGCTATTGGGAGGTTGGTACGTGTGAGATGGATTTTGTCGTGGTTTGGGCTGTAGTGCTGATGCTGCAAATGTGTTGTAGGGATTTTGCTAAATGCGGAGATGTGTGCGATGTTAAAATAAAGGCGGGTCAAGATTGGTTGTTACAGACTTAGGAAAGAGAGCTGAGATATTTGAAGCAAAATTATTAGCAGTTTAATTTTTCTAAGTCATGAGGGTTTTGTATGTTGACATAGTGACATGAATGGTATAGACATAACCCCCGATTAATTACTCTGTTCAACAATCAGCCATGACTCAAGCTATGTATAGAATTGCAAAATTGCAATGGCATCCCAAGGTCTAAGATAAATAATTTTAGAATAGAATTAAATCCCACAGCGCCCTCTATTCTTCTGCTTGTCCTGTACGATCATCGTATGATCAGCCCTCGTATGATCGACAGAGTATGATGAACACCGCTTTACCATAACTAACAATCCGTAACCCAACATCTACCAAAACGGTCGCCTATCAAATGCGCGATTGCTGCGAATACCTGTTATTTTCGTACTTTCGGATTCGGATCTGTTGGACCTTCGAGACAACGCGTTGTACATCGCAGTAAAGAGAAAATTGATGATGGGCAGAGACAGAATCTGTATAAATTCTAGGATGGACCATTGTCTTGGCTACATCACGAACTCCTCGATGTTCGGAGACACAACTCCAAGACGTCGAACGCAACTCCTATTCAAGCTCTCATGGTCAACGCCAGACCTCTCTACCTCACCACCTTCATCGCAACCGCAGTCCCAACGCCCTCCATAGACGTTGCTCCCAATATCACCCCCCTCACCCCACGCGTAAGAAACGCAACCGGCTGCGTCCAAGCCCACTGCACCACGATCCAAGAAACCCTCCTAACCCCCAAAGCTCTCGAATACCAAATCTACTGGAACGCCCAACTGCTCTTCAAGTACCTCGCCACCCCACCCTCCAATGCCCAACCCCAACTAACTCCCCCAACTCAGCATAACCGGCAAGCCCTCCTCATCTCTTGAATGGCGCGATCTCTCCGACCCCCAGGGCCGCAAATGGGGGATCTTCTCCGTCGGCGACTGCGAGAGTCTGTCGTACATCAACAATTTCCAGGAGGAGTACGAGTGGTACGAACTCACGAGGACACAGCGCGAGGAGAGTCGGCATGACTGCGGGCCGTGTTTGGGGAGGAGGCAGAAGTGCGGGACGTGTAGGGATTACGAGGCGGTTTTCTCGGACGGGGAGAGTGGAGAGTGTTATGGGTATGAGGGGTTGGGGATGTGTGATTTTAAGGTGAGGTGTTAGGGGGTGGGGGAGGCGGTGTTGGGATGGCAAAAGAAGTTGGGAGACGTGATGTTGGAGGGAATAATTGGAGATTTGATGTGGTACAACGAAAAAAGCAGTGCGTTGCTACCAAGGTAGAAAAGATCTGAGCCTGAAGCAGGGGATAGTTATATATTATGAATTAGTGAGCTATTCGAAGAATCTAATATGGGTATAACTGAGCAACTGAATGGCATCTTATAGCATTTTTTCGTGTAAAATCGTAGCAATCGTTTCCTCAAAACACTCACGACCGAAGGCCCTCCTCATCACTGGGTCTCGCCCTCCCTTCCTCTGCAGTCGACGCTTGCACTTTACTCTGATCAGCATGTTTCGCGGGATCAAAGACGTAGATCGGGAACTCCAGGAAGATGGTTCGCTTTAGGAACACTGGCATCTTCTCGTACAGTTGAGGAGGGAAAGGAATAAGGATGCTGGTTCGATTAAGCCAGCGTCGGTACTCTTCCCATCGGTTACCCTTTTCGTATCTCTTCTTTGCACCAGGTCTCTCCTGCAATGGCAGTCCGGAGAGAAACATGAGCAGAGCAGTTAGGAGGAAAGGTCCAAGTATGGATGAGTATAGAGCGGCATATGCACCGCCTTTGGTGTAGCCATGTGCTGCTGGCGTTACTGCAATCATGAAGATTGCTATCAAGAAACAATTAGCAAAGAAACATTACTCCAGTCTGCCATGTTAGACTTACAGAACTGGATGATGATCTCTCCAAAATAGTTTGGATGCCTCGACCACGCGAACAATCCAACACTGCAAACCGCCCCGTCGCTTCCGTGCGCGCTACGGAACCTGTACTTCTGGATGTCGGACACGCTCTCCATGAGCAGGCCAATGGAATACAACACCACGCCCGCAATGTCACGCCCCGTTCCAAAACTAGGCTGACCGTACTGAGTGACGTTTGGCGAGTTGAGCAGTGTCACTGGTAAGGAAACAACCCACACCCATATCATCTGACTGCATACGATGTTAGTCGGAGACGATCACGGGGGAGCGGACAAAACAGAGAATACGAGGGTTTGAACGTACAACACCCAGAAGCCAAGGAAAGACCAAAACTTGTCGCGCTTGTCGTCAAAGCGATCGTCTTTGCCGGTCTTCAAGATTCGGAATAGTAGGAATGCGGACAATCGTGCTCCCCAGACCATGATGAACACGGACACGACAATGTTGCGTGCATTGTCTCTGGCATCGCTGAATGCAAGGGTGAGGATAGCAAGAAGGACAAAGTTGGTTCCTCCAGCGAAGTCGGTGAGTTTGTCGAATTTGAATGTGAATGCGATGGAGAAGAAGAAGAGCTGGTAGGCGATGGTGATGAGGAGGGTGATGGCTAGGTAGTAGTTGTCTAGGACATGGACGGCGCCCATGCTTACGAGGCGAGTATGAAGTTTTATGTTTCTATCAAAACGATGTTGTTGATCCGGGATTTTCAAACAAAATAAACTGATGAAATGGTTGAAAGCGTGCGTGCTGTATTGACATTATATGGCTTCTACGGTCGCATTCGCTACTGCACCTAAATACGAGTAGTATCGAACGGGTCAATTAGGTTGATGAGTTGTCCCGATTCCGACTATGACGAAGATGACTTTGGTCTAGTAATAATACTCGTAGTTTCTATTGAAAAGAAGGTTGAGGCTGTGGATAGAAATGGGACGAAAAGAGAACGCGATGACGCATTTGATCTTTGCCAAGCGATCGTTGGTGTTAGAGATTCGGCCCATCGATCATGACAACCAACACTAATCGCACGACACTCCATCATCTCTCCAAACAATGCTACGCCTTCCACGGCTCCCGCTGACTACTTTGCCATTGATGTTTTACTGATTAGTGAGGCAGACAGAGAACATGCGGTAGCCCATGTTTTAATGTTCTCGTACCTTTGCCGGACTCATCAGCCGGAGCCTCATGGAACATGACTCCTGGACCCGGCCTTTATGAAACACAGCCGGTACGGGGGCACCAGTTCCCACGCACCTCGCGTCTCATGTCCCCCAGCCCCAGCGCGAAGCCAGACCGTCTTGATACCTCTTGTTCTCCAAAAATCAGCTGGTTTCTCCCCATAACGGTATAGCTGCCCTGAATCGCAGCACAATCTGATGCTTGGCCGCGTAAGTTCTCGCAATGCGACCGCAGGGCAAAACATGAGCATCCACCCTTTCAATCTTCCAATCCATACATTGAGACTCTGCCCAGACCCTCCCAGACTCTATCCAGCCATGACAGCGAGGATTAAGCTCTTACTAGAAACAGGCACAGGGTGTGGGTCCGCAGTTCTGTGAAGTAGCTTACACTATTATTGGTTTCGTACAATAATCGCCATGCGCCTGAGGCTGTTGCGCTCATCCTAGTTGGTTTGGGTCTTTCTTGTCCGGCGCGCCTCTCACGCTCTCTTTGCTCCTCCGGACATACACACACTCTCTTTCTCTCGCGCCCTCCTCCTATTCCTCTTTCTTTCCCTCTTCACTACTCTCTCTTTCGATTCTTGCTCTTCGATAGTCTGCTGTGCAGTTCTCGAATGAGTCTGCATGTCTGTGACATTTACGCTCTTTATCACTTTGACTTCCAGCTGGACTGTGTGTTGCTACTAATACATTGATCAACTCATTTCATTCAACAATATACCCTTCCACAGCAATACGAACACAATTCTTACCAGTCACAATCAACAATTATTAGCGCCAAAATGAAGAGAATCAAGTCATCAATAGGGTTCGCCCTCGAGCTTATGCTGATCACCTCCACAGTTCGTGAAGCCCTTCTCATTGTTCTGGTCTATCGCATGTCTTCTTCAATACTAATGCGGTAACAGGTGGTCGTCGCCGCCCCCGAGCCAGGAATTAACCTCAGCAACAACATCGGCCCTGGCATCCAAGGAAGAAAAGTACCAAACCTCCGTGTGGGCACCGTCAATGTCGACAACAACGCGCAGCAAGAGGCGGCAATTGAAAACCTAAAGGTTCATCGCGCACTCGACATCGGCAATCCCAACCCTGTCGCAGGCCTGGATGCAAACGCGCTACTTAGTGGCCTCGACAACGGCCGGCCCGGTGCTGGAAAGGGGGGTGGAATTGACGACTCTTTACTCCAGGGATTGGGTGGCCAGACTCTTGGTAGACCTGCTGGTAGCGTGGAAGCCGGAAAGTTAGGGGAGTCTTTGGGTAGTGGTCTGGGTAATGCGCAAGTCGGTCGACCTGGTGGAATCGATGCCGGTGCTCTCTTGGACGGCCAGAACGAGCTGCAACAGAAGGGTGGCAAGGACTTTGGCTCGATTATCGTTGGACCGGAAGGCCCCCAGCAACAGGGTGGAATTGATGCTGGCGCTATTCTGAACGGAGAAAAAGGCCAACAGCAGAATGGCGGTATCGGATTGGAGGGACAGCTCAGCCATGGCAAGAAACCGGAGATGCCTGTCGAGGAGCGACCTAAAGAAACGGCAGTCGCCCCAGAGGCTCCAGCTGCCACAGCCCCGGGTAATGTAGATGATATCGACTTTATTCTTTTCGACCCGAAAAATCCGGATCAAGGCGAGGGAGAGGGTCAAGGAGAAAAAGGAAAGGGAGGCCGCGAAGGGGGAGGCCGTGAAGGAGGAGGCAAAGGAGAGGAGGGCGGCAAAGGCAAAGGGGGCAAAGGAGAGGAGCGCGAAGGAGAAGGACGCAAAGGAAAAGACGACGACAAAGGCAAGGGAGGGAAAGGAAAAGGAGGAAAAGGAGAGAAGGGCAAAGGTCAACAGGGTATCAACATCATCGAGATCGTCCCAGTCATCATTATCCCAGGAGGTGGTGGACAGCAACACACGTCTATGATGACTATGAAGACCGAACTTGCCCCAGGTGGAAACGTGAGTTTCTGGGTCCAACTACCTTCACATTTGACATGATTGCTGACATTTGCTCCAGATCGCTAACGAAACTTCCACTTCTTATGCAGCACCGATTACTATCACTGCAGGCGTAAGGTTCCTTTTACAAAGCCCCTTTGAATGCAATAGCTAACATGATGAACAGGGAGGCAACGCAACAACAACTACTGCTGCAGCTGAGGCACCACCTCCACCACCTCCGGCTGCAGAGGCTCCTCCAGCGGCCGAACACACTTCAGCAGCGCCCCCTATGGCAGAGCATACATCCGCAGCACCCCCAGCAGCAGAGGTTCCTCCGGCAGTTGAGCATACTTCAGCAGCACCTCCAGCAGCTGCAGCGCCCCCCATGGCAGAGCATACATCGGTCGCAGCGGCGCCTCCTATGGTAGAACATACCTCTGCAGCACCCCCAGCCGCCGCAGCGCCTCCTCCAGCAGAGCATACTTCAGCAGCACCTCCCGCAGCAGCAGTTCCTCCGGCTGTTGAGCATACTTCAGCAGCACCTCCAGCAGCTGCAGCGCCACCCATGGCAGAGCATACATCCGTTGCAGCAGCACCTCCTATGGTAGAGCACACATCTGCGGCGCCTCCAGCAGCGGCAGCGCCTCCAGCTTCGCAAATTACTGTCATTGCAGGCCACCCTGGCGCAGCACCAGCCGTAAGTCTTGTCTTCGAATTCTATTTTCCATTCACTAATCCCCCCTCTAGGCCAGTAACGAGACAACCGTGGCCGCGGCGGCTCCACCTCCCGCAGCGGCTATCACAGTCATTGCAGGAGGATCCGGTGCAGCCTCCGCTACGACAGCAGCAGCGGCACCACCTCTCCAAGCGGGTGGCAATCCTATGGGTGGGAACGAAACCGCGGCAGCAGTGGAAACATCCTCCAAGCCGGCACCCCCAGCCATAACTGTCATTGCTACCCATGCCACCGCTCCAGCAGCAGGAGGAGCAGCAGGCAGTGTTACTGTCATAGCCGGGTCTTCTGCCGCTGGAGTAGTTGCGCCCCCAGCAGCCTCTGCCCAAGCAGATTCATGCAACTGCCAGTGTTCTTGCCCTCTGGGATCTTTCCCCATGGTCGCACCCGCAGCTCCACCATTCCAGCTTCAACCAGATCTCCTAGGAAGCATGTCGGCGCCCCCTAATACCCTTCAAACCGTCGTCGCTACCTCGTCCTCAGCAGCAGCTCTCGTCACTGATCCCGCCGCTCCACCTCCACCCCCAGCCGCTGAAATCCCCTTGTCCTCGTCCGCCGCCTTCGAACTCGCGCCCCCAGCACCCCTCAACGACACCGCCCCCCTCCCACCAGCCGTCACCACAGCACCCCCAGCAGAAGAAGCCGCACCTCCCGCCGCGTCCTCTCCCGAATCCTCCACCCCTGAGTCCTCCGCCCCACCAGCACAATCCCAAATCCGCTCGCCGACCCTCGTCTCCGGCACCCCAACTCCCTCAGCAACCACCACAGAACTCCAACAGAACCGCCTCCCCTTCGACATCAACACCGTCGACCTCCAAAGCGTCGTCACCGCCGTCCTGGGCCGCCGAGCCGTCCAAACAGGCACGCCCCAGGAACTCGACATCGAGGACTTCAGCCGTCGACAGCGTCAGCGGCGCGGCGCGGTGAGGTCAGGTACGCCGGAGGAGCTGGCCGACGATGAACTCGTGCGGGCGAGGAGGGCGGTGCAGACTGGCACGCCGAGTGAGTTCGATATCTCGGATCTGTCGTAGTGTAATCGTTGGAAGCTGAGCGGGATGTGATTTCTAAAGAAAATATAGTAGATATGTTTGTATGTAGTACGAAAAACCGTGCCCCGAATCTCCCGACCTTGTCGCTTACTCACTGAGTTTTGTACTTCCTTTTTTTTCCTTTTCTTTTACGTCACTTTTATTTGGGGGTTGGCTGGCTGGCTGGCTTGGCTGTACAGGATGGAATATATGAGGATGGATGGAATGAGATAGTATAGATGTAATATATACACCACCTTTTTACTTTTACTCCTACTTCAAACATATATGATGATATGAATCACGGGTCTCGGAGATCTGGATAACGATCTGGTTTGGTGGAATGGTATGAAGTTTTGTATTCTAACTTTTGAAAGGGGGTATCATAGTTTTGTGTATGGAAATCGAACATGAAGGGCGCGAAGTCGAAATGTCTAGATGCTATTTAGCGGACTGGACTTTCGACTTCTTGCTTCCCTTCTCGAGGTTATCTCCTTTCCTCTTGTTCTGCTGCTGTTGCGACTGACCCTTCTGACCCTTTTGTTGCCGTTCGACCACCGCCGGTTTCTCACCACCATACACGACATCCACGACGCCCCTATAACTCTCCTTCTTCAGCCTCGCAAACTCCACCACACTCCTCGGCTCCTTGCTCAACCCATCCTTCCCCCTCTCCCTGCCCAGTCCCCACACGCTCGCGAGATTGATAACATCCGCCGGCGCCCTCAGCGCAAGCACGCTCCTCGCATCGCTACTAAACACCAAACCCCTCCCCCTACTAACCCTAATCAACTGCGTCGCATTCCCAATCACCAACCTCTTCCTATTCGCATCCTGAGTCCCGACGCCCTGCCCGTAGCACAACTCGATCTTGACGCCCCTCGCGATCGCGCTACCGAGCGTCGGGAACTTGAAGTGCGTCTCGAACTTCTGCGTCAGGTCGAGGGAGATGATGTCGACGTCGAGGGTCTGGCAGGCCTGCTGCAGCGTGCGCTCGGAGGTCGGGCGCGCGGCCACGATGTCGTAGCTGCTGCGGAGGTCTGGGAGCTTGTTGTTCGTGGTGCTGTCGGTTAGGAGGAGGGTGCAGCGGCGGAGGATGCGCAGGCGGGACGGGACGGTGAAGGGAAGGGTTGCTGGGATTGGTGAGGTCTGTGGTCGGTGAGTTAGTTGAGATATTGGATGGAGGCGTTGGGATTGATTTGGAAGGGAAGCGTATGTGACTGGTCGACCGCTATAGATAAGGAGGATGGATGTGTATCGAAACGTGTTTCAGGGTTCCGAATATCCAGTATGCGACGACGGTCCCCAATCCCATGGGAAAGGAAACCATAAAAAAAACCAATTACTCACATGATCGCTAGGGATCTTTCCCGATAGGGTGTGTGTGAGTGCAACGACGTCGTATCCTACTGCAGATCCGGGTCAGTTCTGGTTGCCTCCTTTATTGTTTCTTGCTGGAATCGTCTGGTTGTTGAGACGAGGGAAAGTACTTACACTCGTCGAGGAACGCGATGGCTCGCTGCATTTCCCTCTGATTGTCTGTCCATGGAACGTTCAAGTCGTAATACATTTTTGCGAGCGACCGAGGCGATACGAACGGTGCGAATATGACTATGAAGAAGGCATGGGATAGTAAGGTCCGTAAGAGAGATCTGACAGGTGAGTGAATTGCTCAAAAGTATTAATAGTTGTTGAAGCTTTGGATTGGAGAGAGGATGTCGCAAGGTCGGCAACTCTTTTGGCCGGAGCTTCGTACTCGTATTAGCCCAAGAGAGAGAGAAGAGAAGACCCCGCCAATCACGTGCTCGAATCCGCTGACTGAAAGGCACAAAAACAAGCGACCAGCAACAACAGGACGAAGACGAACACCAGCAGACAGGACGACGACACCAAAGGCAGCCGTCCGAGTCGTCCCGTACAACCAGACGATAACGACGCTGGACTCTCCAAACACGCTCCCACGCCCTCTATTTCCTACGCCCACCCCTGCGCCCACAGAAGATTCATCTTCCTCGCTATCATCGGACTCCTCGGCTGCATCCTCTACTACACCTCTTCCATCTCGCCCAACCTTCGACAGCTGCAGCCTTCCACTCTCCTCCATAACCACCATCACCTCCCCCACCGCAACGACGTGTCACAGAGCTGTTCCGGAAGCCCCGCAGTGAAGGAGCCCGAGCTCGAGGTCTGGGCTGAGCAAGATAAATCTACCACTATGGCGCTCAATTCCAATGGCGGCGCCAGCATCGCCAGGGTTTACGCCGATGTCAATGCCAACATGCCGCGCCCCTACTGGGACTACGACAGCGTAAACATCTCCTGGGGCGTCCTGGAGAATTATGAGGTGGTGCGCAAGATCGGTATGTCCTCGACTTTCTTATGGTGCGGCGCGACATGGTGCGGGGGAGTCGGACATGGTCAATGGGCGGATGCGCTGTGTTTTCATCCTCTCCGCCACGGTTTACCGCCAATATTAAGGTCCATTGCTAACAACCATCTTTTCTTTTAGGTCGAGGAAAGTACTCGGAAGTCTTCGAAGGTATCAACGTCGTCAACTACCAGAAGTGTGTCATCAAGGTCCTCAAACCTGTTAAGAAGAAGAAGATAAAGCGTGAGATCAAGATCTTGCAGAACTTATCTGGAGGCCCCAATATCGTCGCACTGCTTGATGTTGTCCGCGATAACCAGGTCTGTGCATCCCAGAGATAGAGGGGGCTTAAATGTCTCCCTTCCATCTATCGACTCTCTTTCTAACGATCGCGTGCAGAGCAAGACCCCTTCGCTCATCTTTGAGCACGTCAACAACACCGACTTCCGTAGCTTATACCCTAAATTCACCGATTATGACGTCCGATTCTACATCAACGAGCTCCTCAAAGCGCTAGACTACTGCCACAGCAAGGGCATCATGCACCGAGACGTTAAACCCCACAACGTCATGATCGACCACGAGAAGCGCAAATTGCGATTGATCGATTGGGGTCTCGCCGAGTTCTACCATGCTGGCACCGAGTACAACGTTCGTGTAGGTTTACATTGGTTTAAACCTGTCTTCCCCAGCTCCGTTACTTATTTTCCCGTAGGTTGCATCTCGTTACTTCAAGGGTCCTGAACTTCTTGTTGATTTCCAGGAGTACGATTACTCCCTCGACATGTGGTCCCTCGGTGCCATGTTCGCGTCGATGATCTTCCGCAAAGAGCCCTTTTTCCACGGCAACAGCAACTCAGATCAGTTGGTCAAGATCGCCAAGGTCCTCGGTACCGAGGATCTCTTCGATTACCTTGACAAGTACGACATCGAGCTCGATGCGCAGTACGACGACATTCTCTCGAGATACCCCAAGAAGCCGTGGCACTCGTTCATCAATGCAGAGAACCAGCGCTTCGTTAGCAACGACGCGATAGACTTCCTTGACAAGCTGCTCCGATACGACCATCAGGTATGTAACTCTTGTGATTATTCTACCTACATTGTACTAATATGACGTAGGAACGTCTCACCGCTCAAGAGGCTATGGCCCATCCATACTTCGCACCCGTGCGACAGAATGCGCAGAACCACGCCAGTGCTACGCCGCATTCATGATTGAGATACCCATTGACATTTGCGAACATGTACAATCTGGCATTAACTATCTGACACGCACCAACCGCGCTCAATCCCAACCGACAAGACCCGGCGCGGGGACTGGACTTCGGAACCCCATTTGCAAGCATCCTTTACGTTGATGGAAGCGGCTGGGTGGCTAGGCGACAACATTGAGCAAATTCATGCGGTCAAGGGACCACGGACCAGGGGATTCTGCCGCATGCTCCTCCGAAGCCTCTCCCCCCTGTAACATTGAGCGTCGTTATTATTTGTTGTTCGCTGTTAGAGTTACAAGGGATGGATGGAACGTGGATGGAGGACGGTTTGTAGATTACACCGGGATGGGAAACAGACTATTCAGCCAGGGAGATTGAGGGGGGAAGGAGTATGGGGAAACATGAGTAACAATGGTCGAACGTATGGCGAGACTTTTAATTCTTTTGATTACGGGGATATCCTACAAAGCCGAAAACACATTCAAAATCTTCATCTTCAGCCGCACTGCATTGACTCAAGATGGATTGACTCAGGATACAACTACTTGTCCTGTATCATTGTATGAGTCGAGACGGTAATGCAGCACGTGACCATGTATACGCTCGGATTTGGCGAGGTACGATGACGTTTATGAGATCAATGATGCACTAATCGTAGATATATCGTATCTGCGGTTACTAAATGTACTGTGCCTCATATGGTGACTGCTCTCCTTTTAGATACGAGTCGAAATTCAGAGGGTGGTCGATTAGACATGCGATAGAATGCGGTAGAGAGAGTTCAGAATAGAGTATAGACTCTTCTCTATTGCTCTATCAACTCCTTCTATGAATCTTGTGTTTGGTTTTGCCATCATCTCGTAACTAAGAACAATGTTGAAGCATATATCTACTACTAATTAGTGTTTAGATGTAAAGAAGAGTTAGCGGGGCGGCGAATGCCAAGAGATCGGTGGAGGGCGAATTCCGACTGACAACAATTTTAGACAAGTTCAGTCATTAAATTTTTGATGACCCGGCCAGTCATTCACTATTAGCCAGTCATAGCCAGTCATAGTCCATAATTTACCTATTCACGGTACTACAGTACACAGTAATTGGTTGCACAAGTCCTATCCCGTTCTGTGTAGTGCAAGTAGTCAGTCATACTCGTACTCACAGTAGGGCAAGGTAGTATGACTGAATAATTCACTGCCCTTTCTACTTATGCTGCCCCGCCGACGAGCGTTACCCCCGCGCTCCTACTCATCCTCCTACTACCACTACTACACACACACATATCTTTTCTCCCAAACCAGACGCTCCCTACACCTGCGTCCCGCATACATCCAGCTTGCTCAATCGCAATTGAGCACCCACAGCCCTATTGCGGACGCAGCACATCCACCCTCCTCCCGCCGTCCCCTCGTGCCCACCACACATTTCCGACACACACAACCTCAACACCGACGCTTCACCACCGCCAGAATGGCGCTCAACGCCGCCTCCCACAATGCCACCGGCGAGCCCACAGGCCCCGTAACCTCCGAGCCCCCCAAGGTGTCCCCAGAGACCAAGAACGACGTCCTCGCGGCCGCCTCGTCGGATCCCACAGGCCAATCCGCGCCCGGTAAAGATGGAGGCGACAGCGCGGCGCCTAAGAAGGTGAAGACGGAGAAGGAGCTCGAGAAGGAGAGGAAGAAGGCGGAGAAGGACGCCAAGTTCAAGGCGAAGAAGGCCGCGCAGAGCGCTGGAGGTGCTGCTGGCGCTGCGGGCGGCAAGGACGCCGCTGCGAAGCCGAAGAAAGAGAAGAAGAAGGAGGAGGCGCTGCCGGAGTACGTCGAGGAGACTAAGCCTGGCGAGAAGAAGATTCTCAAGTCGCTCGAGGATCCTCACCTCAAGGCGTATGTGCCGAAGGTTGTCGAGAGCGCTTGGGGTGCATGGTGGTATGTTTTTTTCCTTATTCCCTGTGGGAATTTTCTTGAATTGGATTGAGAGTTCGGACTGATCATATTGTGCGCAGGGAAAAGGAAGGCTTCTTCAAGCCTGAGTACAATGAGGAGCGTGCGAAGGCCGAGGGCAAGGGCAGCTTCGTAATTCCCATTCCTCCCCCCAACGTCACTGGAAAACTTCACTGCGGTACGTTTGCGCCGGGACACATAATTCCAGGCATAAGGCAGTTGGAACAGGACTGACAAGTCTTAGGTCACGCTTTGGCTACCGCGCTGCAAGATGTCATGATCCGATGGCATCGTATGCAGGGTTACCGTACCCTCTACCTCCCCGGCTGCGATCACGCCGGTATCTCCACACAGAACGTCGTCGAGAACATGCTCTGGCGGAAAAACAAGCAGACAAGACATGATCTTGGCCGACAGAAGTTCGTTGAGACGACGATGGAGTGGAAAAATGAGTATCATGATTCGATCGTCTCTGTGCTTAAGCGCCTTGGTGGTAGCTTCGACTGGGAGCGTGAGGCTTTCACTATGGGTATGTCTAACGTTTGCGTGTAGTGTTTGAAGATATGGACTAACTGTCGTTCAGACGAGAACCTCTCCGTCGCTGTTACTGAGACCTTCGTCCAACTTCAAGAGGAGGGACTCATCTACCGTGCCAACCGTCTTGTCAACTGGTGCACACAATTGAACACCGCACTCTCGAACTTGGAGGTCGTCAACAAGGAATTGGCTGGCAGGACGCTCCTTGATGTGCCAGGATATGAGCGCAAGGTCGAGTTCGGTGTGATCACACATTTCAAGTACCCCATCGATGGAAGCTCAGAAACCGTCGAGGTTGCGACAACACGTCCTGAGACAATGTTGGGTGATACCGCCATTGCTGTCCATCCCAACGACGAGCGCTACAAGCACCTCCACGGGAAGTTCGCCAAGCACCCCTTCGTCGACCGCTTGATCCCCATCATCGCCGACGACTACGTCGATCCCGAGTTCGGAACTGGTGCCGTCAAGATCACCCCCGCGCACGACCCTAACGATTTCGCCATCGGCCAGAGGCACAACCTGGAGTTTATCAACATCCTGACTGACAACGGTTATCTCAACAAGAACACCGGATCTTTTGCGGGTCAGAAGCGTTTCGATGCCAGGTACTCCGTCGTCGAGAAGTTGACCGAGCTTGGATTGTTCGTGAAGAAGGAGGACAACCCAATGAAGGTCCCTCTCTGCGAGAAGACCAAGGATGTCATTGAGCCTCTGCAGAAGCCTCAGTGGTGGTAAGTTCAGACAATGGTGTTTGAAGACTGAAATTGATTCTGACTGTATTTTAGGATGCGAATGAAGGAGTTGGCCCAGCCTGCCATCGACGCCGTCCGCAACGGTGACATCAAGATCCGACCAGAGACCTCTGAGCGCGTCTACTACCACTGGATGGAGAAGTGAGTTCCCAATATTGTTTTGATCCTGATCTACCTACTAAACTTATCCTAGCGTCAACGACTGGTGCTTGTCTCGACAGCTGTGGTGGGGTCACCAGATCCCAGCCTACTTCGTCAAGATCGAAGGCGAGGAGGGAGACCGGGCTGAGAACGATCTCTGGATCACCGGCCGCACCGAGGAAGAGGCGCGCAAGAAGGCGGAGGAGAAGTTCAAGGGCAAGAAGTTCACCCTTGAGCGTGACGAGGACGTCCTCGACACATGGTTCTCGTCTGGTCTCTGGCCTTTCAGCACTTTGGGCTGGCCCAAGGAGACTCCCGACTTGAAGAACCTCTTCCCCACCTCCGTCCTCGAGACTGGTTGGGACATTCTCTTCTTCTGGGTTGCTAGGATGATCTTCCTGTCGCTCAAGCTCACTGGCAAGGTGCCTTTCAAGGAGGTCTACTGCCACTCGTTGATCAGAGATAGCGAGGGCAGGAAGATGAGCAAGTCTCTCGGAAACGTCATTGACCCGATTGGTATGTGCTCTAACGTGTCTTCAAAATTTATGAACAGCTACTAACTTCGGCTATAGACATCATGCAAGGTATCAGCCTCGCTGACCTCAATGCCAAACTCCGCACTGGTAACCTCGACCCCAAGGAGCTCAAGACCGCCGAGAAATACCAGAAGACGTCCTTCCCTCAAGGCATCCCCGAGTGCGGTGCCGATGCCCTGAGACTGGCGCTATGCGGTTACACCACTGGTGGCGGCGACATCAGCTTCGACGTTGCCGTCATCCACGGTTACCGACGATTCTGCAACAAGATGTACCAGGCCACCAAGTACGTCCTCGGCCGTCTTGGTGACTTCACCCCCCGCGCTGGCATCGAGAAATCTGGCAACGAGACCCTTCCCGAGCGCTGGATCCTCCACAAGCTCACCACCGCGTCCAAGGAGATCAACACCCTTCTCCAGCAGCGCGACTTCTCCTCCGCAACGCAGGTCGCATACAAGTACTTCCTCAACAGCCTCTGCGACGTCTTCATCGAGAACAGCAAGGCCATCCTTGAAGGCGGCTCCGACCAGGAGAAAGAGAGCACCAAGCAAACCCTCTACACTGCCCTCGAAGGCGGCCTCCTCATGCTCCACCCCTTCATGCCCTTCCTGACTGAAGAGCTCTGGCAACGCATTCCCCGCCGCCAGCGCGACACCACGCCCTCCATCACCGTGGCCGTGTACCCGCAATTCATCTCCACCTTCTCGGATCCCTCCGCAGAAAAGGAATACGAGCTCCTCGTCGACTGCTCCAAGGGCCTCCGGTCCCTGATCTCCGAATACGCCATCAAAGACTCCGCAACCACCTTCATCCAGCCCCTCGACGACGCCACCACCACGATCCTCCAATCCCCAACCTCCCGCTCCTCCATCCTCTCCCTCGCCGGAAAATCAATCTCCAACCTCACCATCCTCTCCCCCTCCGACGCCCAGCCCACCGGCTGCGCCGTCTACACTGTCGGCACGGCCGCCACCGTCTTCCTCGACGTCAAGGGCCGCATCGACATCGACAAGGAGATCGCGAAGGCGAAGGACCGCCTCAAGAAGGCGAACGAGACCGCGGAGAAGCAGAAGAAGATCATGGACCAGGCGTGGGAGGAGAAGGTGTCTGATGCCGTCAAGGAGACGGAGAGGGAGAGGCTGAAGGCAGCCGAGGTGGAGGGCAGGAATTGGGAGGCGAGTATTGAGCAGTTTGAGAGGCTGAAGCTTGAGTAGAGGATGGTAGGATCTGTTAGAGATGGTGGGTGATGTGAATGAGGAATCGAGCTAGTTGCACGTTGTCGTTACTGGTAGCTTTCGATTAGACAGATAAAAAAGATTGTTATGTTTTCACCTGGAAATATCTTTTCGAAGAAATGCATGTTCTCATTGACAATGATACTCACCACCACCGTTCCACCGTAATGATGATACTCATCACCATCACCAACATCCATCCCACACAAGCCCTCCCCCCATATCGCTTTTCCATCAAATGGAATCAACGCACTCGCCAGCTCCATAGGCTATCTTGCAGGTATATTCAAGCAGCCAACGCGCCCAGTCATACATCTTGGTTATTTATTGTTCGAACGGCGCTGGCCCATTGTCGCTGATGAATGACTGTTTTGTTGGATCCAAAACGACAACATAAGATCATCATCCGTGTCTGGTTGTTTTGTTGGATCCAAAACAACAACATAAGATGCCTTGAAAGGAGATTAAAGCCACCGACGCGCCCAGTCATGCGTCATGAGCATTTGCTGTTCGAACAGCGCTCCCCCATTACTGCTCATCAATTGTGCTTTATTCGCCACAAAACAATCACATATGCGGTCGTTCAAAGGCACCGACGCACCCAGTCATGCGTCATTAGGATTACGGATTTTCGAATGGCGCTCGATCATCGAGTGTCAATTCCGTTACTTTGTTCGCCCCGGCGGCCATGACATCTGTATGTTCGACGTTTTTATGGGTGATAGGGCTGGGCGTGTTATCATACGCCGAAAACTCCCAAGCTTGCTCATTTCTCTTTTATGTATATAGTTGTTCGCCGCGACGGCCACATGTATGTGTTCGCGCTGAAGGTTGTTCCATGGGTGATAGTGCCTGGTATGTGTTGTCATGCTTCGAAAAACCTCACAGCTTGCTCATAAAGTTGACGGACAGTCCTTTGCTCAGTTCGAGGGCCACATGAGCGGTTAATTCGAAACTACCGACACGTCCGGACATTTTGTCACGACATTGAGCTTTCGAACAGCGCTCCACCATCATATGTCATGTATGTTACTTTGTTCGCCGCGACGGCCACATATGTACCCTTTTTATTGAGTTTGTTCTATGAAGTGCCTCCGCGCGAGTTGTCATACGCTGAACACTCCAAAGATTGCTCATGGCGTTTCCATCCCATATATTCAGCTCGACGGCAACATAAGCGGTAGTTCAAAGGCACCAACGCACCATAAATTGTCAAGGAATTGTGCTTTCGAAGCAGCGCTCGCTCCTCGAGTGACAATTCCGTTTCTTTTTCGCCGCGACGGCCACATGCGTTCGCTCAGTAACCTTGTTCCATGAAATGCCTCCGCACGAGTTGTCATGCGGTGCGAACTTCAAAGCTTGCTCAGGAGAGCTCATGTAGACGTTTTTTCGCCTCGATGACCGTATAAGCGGTTATCTCAAGGCACAGATACGTCCAGTCATGTGAGCACCGACGTGTTCCTTCGAAGCAGCGCTGCACCATCATATGTCGTATGTAATACTTTGTTCGGCTCGACAATCATGTTGTTGGATTTAGTGTCTTTACATGAATGATGGGACCGGTCGTGCATTGCCATGCTTCGGAATGCCCCACAGCTTTCTCATGAGAAGGTATTATAGTCTTTTATTCAGGACGGCCGCATAAGCAGTTATGCAAAGCTACCGACACGTCCAAACATGAGATCAACGACGTTTATATTCGAATTTCCTCTCATCACATCCTTCCAGAATAGATTATCCGCCCCCCGCGGCACTCATGTCATTTCGTGAACCCCCTTTCGAAAAGATTTCTCCACGGGCGAGAACATGATGATAATTTGCATTCTTGCTTTTTCTGCGATTCGTGTTCTCATGTTGCCTCTCTCATTCGAAAGATGTTGTGGCGGGTCGGGCGGTCGGGCATGTATTGTCGAAAGAAGAAATTCGATGCTCATGAACCTGCTCAAGTACAGCGTTCATTGCACCAACGGACACACGGTTGCACTCAAGACAAGTTCTCTCCCATAGAATCGGTCGTGAGGAGTTGATCGAACAGATGCCGTTGATGTAGCCGGGCGTGTGATGTCATGTATGCGACGAAAACTTCACAGCTTGCTCATGATCTGATCATGATGCCAACTATTCTCCTCGAGGGCCACATCGGTGGGATTTATGGTGAGCTTGTTCCATGAGTTAAGCAGTGATGTATAGTCGAAAGGACGCCATTGATGTACCCGTGCGTGTGTTGTCATGTATGCAACGAAAACTTCACAACTCGCTCATGGACGGATCATGAAGTCTACTGTTCGTCTTGACGGCTCCATTCATGGATCCAGGATAATGATTTTGAAGGTTGCTCATGGGGTCTGAATGGCTGGGTTTATTCACCCTCACGGGCATAAAGACTGATAGCAACGGGTTTTCCACAGCAAGGTCTCTGGGTGTGCGTTTGAGACAGAGGTGAGGGCTGAGGAGTGGACACATAAGTAGAGAGGTAGTGAAAGGTTGATCCGGAAGCTGTTTTGGGACATATACTGGCACAGCGTACTGTTTGAAAAACATTAACGCTGCGTTGAGATTTGTTTTCTCGCGGCGCTCATGCATTTGACGGATCCGGCTTTCTTCTATGCCTTTCGCAGGAAATCTCTCCGAGGAAGATGTGTGGTGTGAAGCACGGGTTGTGCACCATGATCGCCAATTGTAGACCTTTGTTCGGAAATGTATTGTCGCAATCTAGGGTTTGAAACTCATCACGTGTTATATTTTGAACTTCGTTTTCTCGCGGTGGTCATTTTATGGATGTTTATGGGTTTCCCATTGCAAGGATATAGTCACCTTATGACTGATTGATATAGAAAGAAAGGGGTGGTGGTCGGACATGAGGCGATAATCATGGATCTTGCTCATGTGTTCTGTTTGGTGCTTTCTGATATATGCATCTGTTTTCCCACAGTGGTCATTTGAATGCATACTGCATGTTTCTTGCGTGCAAGACATATGAGAGTATCTTTGAGAAGGGGACGAGGTGGTGAATTAGTGGTGAAGCAGGTCGACTCCCATTAAACCAACCCATAGTCCGTACTGGAAATGAAGAGTGATATAGAGTTATAGATGAGTCCCAGTCATAGTCCTTCGATCATACGTACTCTTGATTGGGAGGTCGAATGTTGTGCATGCTCTTCCGATATATACAGCTATTTTCTTCGCAGTGGTCATTTAGATGCATGCCCGATGATTTTTTTTCTGTGCATATGACAGGGTGTGCGTTTGGGAGAGAGGCATGTGTGTGATCATAGGCAATAGCTTGTACGTCGTGATCGGGGATGTCGTGGCTGTGGTCAGACATAAAGTGCCAGTCGTCAATATTTGGAGCTCATCAGTTCCGGTTGAAACAATTGTTTCTTCGCGGTGGGTGTTTGAACGGGTGTTGAATGGTATTTCCATAAGGTGCCTGTAACAATGGTTACAGTTGTCTTGTTCGTGTGTTTGGATGTGAATCTTTGATGGACCAAATGCACAGGCTGTGCTTTCCCATATCCATGTATGTGTCTAGCTCACTCGATTCTTGTAGGTATCTCATGGATTTGCGATGTAGTTTTCTTTGGTCATTTGCATCAATGTCGAAATGTCTTTCCAGCGCGAAGACATCATTCAGAGTGAAGTAAGTCTTTTTGGTATGATTTTGCATGTAGAGCCTTATTGAACATTTACTTACGTAGATGTTGTGGGCAATAGTTGGTTGATGCAGGAGGCGTGCCCGGACATCGTGCGATAATCTCGAATGTTGTAGCTCTCTCATGGGTTAGCTGTATAGTAGTCGTTAGCACCGCGGTGATCTGGGTGAATGTCGAAAAGCTCTTCCAGTGCGAAGACATCAATGGGGTCGATATCTTCTTTCCAGTGTCTTGCATGAGGACTTTGATGGAGGGGACGCATTGGCTGGTGTTTCATTCACGATTGATGTGAAGAGCGCTGCCGGACATGTATTGTGGCAATGAGATATTCAAAACTCGCTCATGAAATTCTAGACGTAGCACTTGTTCAGCCAGCGGTGATGTATAGCAGGAATCAAGAATTTCTTTCTGGAAAGTTGGTAGGTTTTTACGGTGAAAGGGGGTGCGTGAAGTTCGGCCATAGGTCGTGCTCTAAGATTGCTTGATGTGTTTGATGCGAACGGTGCGGCTGGACATGTGTTGTCGCAATCGACATTTGAAGTTCATCGAGTTTCAATGAAGCGTTCGTTTGCCCAAGCAGCCATTTAGCTGGTGACAAGTATTCTTCCATGCTTATGGAAGATCCCGCGTTGAGGAAGGTGTTGGATACTAAGCAATAAGTAGTGCTTAATGATTGGTAGAGACCATCAATGTGGTCAGTGATATGTTGTCACAATCCAGGGCTCGAAGCTTGCTCATGGGTTTCTAGTGTGTCTCCCTTTGGCACAGCGGTCATATGAAGACGTATCAAAGGATTTCTTCCATACTTATAGGGAAGTGCGTTGAGGAAGGTCTAGGAAATTGACACATGGGTTATAGGCCATGATGTAATTGATGTGAAAGGTGCAGCCGGACATGTGTTGTCACAGTCAAACCTTAAAGCAGGTTAAACGTTGATTTGAGCATCTATTCGCCCTGGCGGTCATCTGGCCTAGTGTCGTTGAATTTCTCTCAGGGCGAGGACATTGGCTTTCAAGAAACCTTTCGATAGTAAGAAACAAGCTGGGCATCATAGACATCATAAAATAGTACTATCGAGGACGAGGATGAGAAGAAGCTTTTGATGTGGGCGGACATGTCTTATCACAATTCAGCAATTCAAGCTCCTAGCTCGCTCATCTTTTTCGGCCTTGCCATCTGTTTCTGGTGATGGAAGTATATGAAGAATCTTCTCCCAGAAAGCAACAGCGCTTTTACCGGCAGATCTTTGTTAATGGTGCAGGGTCTCTCATTGAATCCTAGTCCGTAGCCTGTCGTTCGTAGCAGTTCCCAACTCGAAAAATTGCC